TTTTTGATTATGGCAGAAAATTCCAAATGCCGGCAAGGCAATAAGCAACAAAACATTGAAATAAAAGGTTTTAATTTAAAATAACCACAACTCCAACTACCATTATTATTTATTACGCCCCCTGGTGCCCATTTCAGGAACTCGAAAACAATTTCTAACATGTTCTCTTAGCCGATTTACTTTTTTTTTTTTCAAAGTTCTAGTACCATTTCTCCAACAGCGTACCTTGTTGCCCTTATTAGGAGATTCAGTGTGTCCCTCATTCTATCAGCGAGAAAATTTTAAAAATTCGAAAAGGATTTTCGTTTGTTTTTGGTTTGTACAAATTTGCATAAAATCCCTAATTTTCAACATTCGGTTTGCTTGTTCTTAGATGTAACTACAATTGTTAATCCAGAAGATGGGTTAACTTTAGGCCTTTATTTCGCCAGTTTTCCAGTCTCATATAAGTATGATGATCCTAGGAGGCCAGCTGTATACGAAGTGTGTCATTCAATTTATCTCGCTTCAGTCAGTTGGGTCGGCGCTACCATTACTTTGGTTATGAAAAAAAGAAAACGCGATATGAATGTTATTGTATAATATTATTATTACTTATTTGATTTTCTGATTTTGATTTGATTTGATTGCACAACGGTCGTAGTAGTTAGCGGAAAATGGAATACACAAAATACCTATATATAACTTTCAATTTTTTTATCCGATACTTTTAGAGAAATATGGTTATAAAATTCTTTTTTCTAATTAATTAATCTTACTTAACGTCATACCTTATATATTTCAAAAAATAGTATAACATAGATTTTATGCATTGTCTGCCTCAGTAGTCCTATGGTTTCAAATATGTAATGTTATGTAATGTTATTCTTAACGCTCCTTTCAAGTAATATTGTTCTATTGTTCTTTTTATTTAACCGTAACTTTGAGATTGAATTTTTCGAATTTGCCGCCATGACATTGGGGACTCATGTCAAAGTGTACTTTCAGGTTATCAGATATGCAGGAACGATTGCACATAGAAAGATTTCTCATATCTTACAAACCACAAAATTTCCCATATATAGTGAACATTACGGGCGACATTACTATTCTGTGATAATGGAAAATATCTTTTGGAATTACTCTTTTTATTCTATGCGTAGGTAGGATGCAGAAATATACCGGAGATCTACATAACGGCCATGGAAATAAAATAGCTATAATAAAACTTTTTTTCTTTATCAGAAAAAAAATCTTCATTAGTCTGTGTTAAGCGCTTTGCATTTAGTTAGACGGATGCACAAATTATTGTCAATGCGAATTGTGCAGTATGGAATATTAATTAATATAGTCTTGCGACTGTTTCTGAGTAGTTTATAAACGAAAGATTTATATATTTTCAAATGCTATACTTAAATCCCAAAAGTATACTTATGTTTTTAAAGAAAAAAAAAATCCGCAATATCGTCTTTAAAAAATTGGAAAAATATTTCTTCATGAGCTACGACATATTAATAAAAATTACGGAATATTTATTAACGTATTGGTTCATGTGCGATGATAAACAATTCGTTGGAATTCCAACATTAATCGACGACGTAACCCCAATTTTTGCACTTTTTGGGAAGTTTCCAGAAAAATGTGTAAGATAAACGGGCCTTACTTTGTCATAAATACTGGTTCCGTTGACGCAATACATCAAAACACTACCGATATCGCCAGGAAACACGCTAAACACTGGAATATGTTAATCCACTGTCAAATGGCGAAACGCGACACGGACAACACCATCGCGCGCTACTCTGCAGTGTCGGAACGTTACTGACTAATGTTTATTTTCTGCGATACAGTCGGGCGTCCGTAGACGACGGGCGTCGCGCAGTGTTGCCGCCCACGCGCAATTCCCCGAGAAACGCGAGATATTTCGCAAGACAGAATTTCTTCGAAGCTAATTCCCTTGGGGTCCTATTTGAACTCTTCGCGACAACGTGGTGTCGCGACGCATGCGCGCTGGACATTATTCGATCACGTTTTTCGGAGAAGGTGCAATGGGAAACGAATTTCTCGTATTGCGGTGCATCCGTAAATAATTACGAATGTACTTTATTTAGATTTTGCGACTTGCGTGGAAAAGCAAACAAATACAGACATAGGTTCGTCCCTTGCTGTATTGACATGCATGTTTTTCCAAGATTTTACATAATGTTTACTTTTGCTACGTATAGTTGCTTAAGCGGTTTTTTTTCGAAAAGATTTATGACATTTCCGCTTACAAAATTAACGTCAGATAGGCTTCGCGCAATCAGAAATTTGAATAGTTAGTTAGTTATGACATGGAACCAAACACGGCGCTCATTACTGCGATACAGAGTATTTTGTTGTTTTGTTGTTATATAAACAACCAACTCCAACATCACTTAATGTAATACGCTAAAGCAATCTAAAATAAAACGATCAAAAACGGTGATCAGAAAACCACAATAAAATGAATGCGAGTGCGGTTTCAGAGCTTCTTCGTCATCTTTCAAGATAGTTTCTTATATGGAAGGTGGTCTTCTGGGTTTTCTTTGGACTAGTATATTGTTTTTTGCCAATTTTCTGTCATCGTTCATTCTGTTTACGTTTTTATTCCAGAATTTTCTTCTAATTCTTATCCATTTTGTTGGTTTCCACTTTATTATTATTCTCTTCAATTGTTACTCTGTCGTATAGTCTTACAGTTTTCATTTCATTAACTTGGTAGTCTCTGATCTTGTCTCTGCTGCATAGGTTAATAAAGGTCCTTTATTTAAAGGCGCTTTTATATATCCTGGCTCTGCTCTCAGTGTTTAGATATTTGTTCCTCCATATCTTTTAGGCGTCCAGAAATAAAAGAAGCTTCAGCTATTCTTGTAATTTTTAAATATCCATCGTTTGCACCAGGTACGTAAATTAATTGACTCGTTTAACGATTTTCGCAACAATTTCTAATTGTCATCTTATCGGGTCATATGATGTGCATTTAGTCTTGTTGATGTTCACTATCATGTTTAATCGCTTAGCTTCTTGATTAAAAAGGTGAAGTAGCTGTTGCAAATTGTCCTCTGAATCGTCCCATTCTAGATCTAAGCTTAGGCTGTTTTTAATGTTATCCAATCCCCTTGTCTGATTCCTCTTTTTATGTTTAGTTTTAGTAACTGTAGTACTATGATGTTAGTACTACAGTGTCTGTTTTAATTCCGATACTAATTGTATCAAATGGTGATTCACATTTTGATTAAGTCGATTAAATTCTAATGATTTATCTAATAATCGTTTTTATGATGATGATTATTTGAATGTTTTTGTCTATTTCTTCAAGTAACACTTTTGTGAATAGTTTAATTATAAAATAGTATTAGAGTAGAAACAATCCACAGACCTTAACAAAGCTAATTCTAATGGAAGCCGAGAATTTGTTGTAGAATACAGTTAATCGTATATTATAGAACAAGCTTTATAAGAGATGCTTTAATCACGAGTTTGTTTGAGCACGAGAGTAGCAGAGGTGTGCGTTTTAGATTAGGAAGCACTATATTTTTTTAATTTAACGCTTCATAGGAACTTTCAGCACTGACAAACATCAAAATACCAATAGTGTTTCAAATATCTACCGAAAACCCCTTACTAAACACACGGCTCTCGACTGTATTTAATGAATTAACATTTGCGCATACCTGGTCAGTGCACAACTGGTTGTTTTAGAGTCGTACCCTTTAATTTTAAAGTACAACTTAACCCCGTTGCCCTCTGCTCGTGCCAAATCAAAATGGCGTTCATCAAACATGTTGCTTAATATACTATTGACATTTGTCAAACCTGATGGGTTATTTTATATTTTTTTATCATTGCTGTGAAATATTAATGATCTTAAAAATTACCAAATCAAAAGTTCTATTGGTGGATGTACATTGTATGTACGTTGTATTTATACAATACATTTATTCCAACAACTTTGAAAATGAAAATTTCACGAATAAATAAAAATTAAAAAGCAACATACTAATTTCACTTATCGTGGTGTTCGACTGGATTTGTGTTAATGGAAATGAAATTAAACGAAATTAAAAAAAAAATCAATAGTGATATAGTATAATACAATATAGTTAATGTATTTGAATGAATTTCCGTTTTATAAAAATGGAATCTGAAATAACAAATGTATTTTGTTATAACGACCTTCTATTTTCTGAAAACTCCATAATGCAATGGCATTTGCACCCATTCGTTGTACAAGTGCGTTTGATACAAAACTGTTAAGTATCGATCGAAAATTGCAGGAAAATGCAATAGAAGCGCGGCTCATAGCTACAAAACGTGCAGCTGACAGCTATCGCATTCTTCAATCTGTCTGGCCCCATTGTTTTTCTTTAATAATTATAAATTATTGTGCAGAAGGTGTTAGAAAAATTGCATATCTGGAAAACCTGCTGCCAGAGTTTTAGAAAACTGCAGGAATGTCAGGATGTTTTCACAATTACCCAAAATATATGGGTAAGCGCCACACACTACAGTTAAGTGTCAAAAGAGCCAGCGCGATAGACCGTGAGGAATCATAACTAATAATAATAAATAATTATTATTATTTAATTTTATTTGTTATATATTAAAAATTCCGGTAAAGAAACCTTTTCGTTTTTAAGTATGGTGCTGTCATCTATTTGATAAAACAGAAGTTCTCGCAGATTTTTAAATGTAACTTTAATTCACATTGCTGGACAAGTTATTCAAAAAATGCAGAAAGGATATTTTACTGAACCATTTTTAAATGTCTGATCTGAGGAAACTCAATAATTCATGCATATTTATTATTAACTTTTGTTAAACGATCTAATTTAAATGTGTATCCTACAAATATGACTTGCTGAATATATCAGGGCAAGCAGGAATAACACATTTTCTATAACGTTCTCGATAATGACAGCAAATACCAAAAAAATGTCAAAAAATTTGTTATAACATTAAAGATCATTCAAAATTCTCAGTTTATTGCACTTGCGGCAATGAGCAGGAGAATGCGGCTGGAAGAAGAGAGATTACAACTCTTAAAAGAGGAATTACAAGAGGAAGAGGATAAGATTAAATTGATGCAAGAAAAAATTTTTGCTCCTTTGGTTTGGCGGAGATTGGGTAGCGGAATTAAAATTCAAGATCTAAAATCGAATTATTATGAAGATGCGGTAGCTATAATTTTGGTAATTCGCTACGAACAAATAAATTATTTTGTAAACACCTCTCCCTTAAAGCTTAACTGAACCCTATCCTATTTACCAACAAGCGAGTTCACTAAATTAAACATTTATTTAATAAATGAAACTGCTTATTAACATACCACCTACGTTCTTCTCTCTTCAATTTAAATTTCTTAAAGAATGTTTTCCTGATATTCGCCTGAAAGTTTGAGTAGAGCTAAAAATAATTAATTTGAAACCACTCCCACCAAGAATCAAATATCGACATTAAAATTTATGGCATTTATATATTTTAATTTTTCGGTCATATCAATTTTTGAAGTTTTTTTTTTAATCGAAGAAGGGGAATTTTTACAATTTACGAAATAATTAATTTATTTATTCTTCTTGTTTGGATAATGCATGCTTCTACCGAACAATATCGTTGTGATGCTTCAAAGTATGATTTAAGCTATACTTCCTTGCGCATTCACCGTAATAAATAGAAATAATTATTTTGTTCTGCTTTAGGGAGAAGGGAGAGTCTGATGAGATTAGCTTTGAGGTTTTCTTACAGTCTCTTAAGTCCTAACATAAAGAAGCTTGTTCGTGAAGCAGAAATTGACTGAGATAGAATATAAAAAATGTGGCTTGTGGTGTTTCAATTAGTGTGTAGGCTACTGTTTTTCTTTCGTTATATAGTTAAAAACTGGTGAATTTATTTTAGTTTGTTGTGTGCATGTTGTGGCAAATGTTAATAGTAGGCGATGATAATGAGATTATGTTAAAATTTTAGTAAATTTGTTTGCAGTAATATCATTGATGCATGACAATCAACTTGTCTTGTCAACACATTTATTCTTACATTCGTAGACGATAGGACACTAATTATGTTTTTATTATCTTTATCCGCTTAGAAACTGGCCATTGTATTTTTTTTTAATTTTGTTTTTTTACTTCCTCTTTGTTCCTAATCTTTCCTATTCCTAATTATTTACATTGTGTATATATTCTAGGCGGAATAAATTGTTTAAAATATTTTTAGAAATATTTTATAAACGAGGATGTCCTGTTTCGCAATACGAAGATTGCTGATGATCCTTCATCACAAGAATCGTTCGGAAGAAGAATTATGTATAAACTTAAAGACAGCACTTCTATTATAGCTATAGATGAAGGTATATTGAAGAATATTTGAAGAATATTGAGTATTGAGTATTCTTATTTATTACAATGCATTCCAAATTCGTTGTGCCCTAAATCGTATTTTAAGATACAAACATCTAATATTTATATGATTGCATGATTTCATAATATGTGTATCTTTAAAGGTACCCAGTATTTCGTCAGTCTCTAGTGATATTAAAATGATAAAAACAGTTTTTGATTGTTGTTTTTATGCTGAATTTATTGGCATAAGATGTGATGGCATAGAAAAACAAATGGCGCACCATTAGAAATGTTTAGAAAAGTTAAAATTTAATCGCAAAATTGCCTAAAGGAGACTTTGGGTAGCATAATACAGGGTCATCGTAACTGGAATGTTTTAATAGGAACAGGAAAGAACTATTTCTCTATCTCTGATTTATCTTGTATAGAAAAACTCTGTCCCTGTTAAAATACTTTAATTATGATCACTCTACACAATTGCATACAATACAATCATCTTATTTCAATTTTAAAATGAAAGTCAACAACTCTTCTAGGACATGAAAATAAAGTAACAGGCATTCTTCTGCTCAATGTGGTAAACAAAAGCGATTTCGCTCGGATTTACAGCAGAACGATGTTGGTCGAAGGCAACGCCTACAAGAGTATATCAGAATTTATGAATTTTGTTAACCGAAAAGTGGATGTGTTTGAAGAATGCCAGCATGACACCTATCTTCAATTTTACTTGCTCTGTATTGTGCCAGAGTACAGAGGTCAAGGTCTGTCTATTCTTAAGTATCCACTACAGTTGCATTGCATTAGCTATTTTTATAAGCGATCTTAAGACGCATTTTTTTCCACCCATTAAAACGGCCAAGAGCCCAATTTTAATTCCTTCTACATAACTTATAGAACGTTAAAGCAAATTAAATACGTGATTTAATTATCGAAGTTGGCTTTGGAATAGAATAAATTAAAAGTCACCTCCAACACCCGTAAGTTGTTAGGAAAGAAACTTAAAAGCTACCGAAAGCACACTAGTCTATTATTGCCAACGGAACTTCAACAGAACAATTGAATTACTATTTCTTAAAGGGTTATAATACATTTCGATTTATTGTCTTCTAAATATTTATATTACATCATTCATATCTAAATCATAGATTCATTACTATTCCATTTAAAGCTTCCGGCGGTTCGTGACCCACTATTCAATCTGAAGGTGCGGCCGGTTGCCTAACTGACTGTAAGATCGCGTGGTCTAATTTGTCCTTTTCTCTACCTTTCTATAGTTAGTCTTCCAATTATGAGTTAAATACCTCTTATCATTCAATTTGATGAAGACCCGATGTCACAACCCGCGTACTACATTATACATTATTAAAATTTTATTTATTTCCCTATATATAGGTACAACTACTTCCGTCAACTCAATTCACACTATGTTCTAAAAATTTTGTCAGCGTTTATTGCAGTCTTTTGATATCATGATATCATTGACATTAGCGCCATTTTTTTAATTCAGAATTTGTACATTCCCTAAAAACGATCAATGACCATATTAAATTATATTGCAGGGTTGGGGTATCATCTAATGAGAGCGGGCATGGACGTGGCTAGACATTTGAAGATTCCCACAGTGATGGGTATATTTAATAGCTACAGCATGCAGAAACTCGCCACAAGAGTGGGCATAGATCGGGTGAGTTTAGAGGAAATGAAAAAGTATAGTTAAAAATATCATCCCTTGCAGACACTGTATGAAGTTGAATATGCGAACTGGGTGGACCCACTTGGAGAACTGGTTTTTTGCGATCCTGGACCTGGGAATTATACATGTGCGATGATGGTTGGCACGGTACCACTAACTGCTCAGGACACGACTTGCAAATAAGAGTACTTATTAAAAAAAAGTGGCGAGAAGTGGTACGATGACTGATAAATTAATAATGCGGTATACGAAACATCTCATGTAAGTTTAACGTTTAAGTTTTTTTAATAGACAAAAATTCACATGTTTATTCTCCCGAAATCATCTGAATAAAGAATAACAATAATTTTACTTTAATTTTGAATTACCCAGAATACCTATCGTGGCACTCAAAAAAAAATTGGATATTGAATATGTCCCTTCAAATATAGTCTTGCTGTATTATTTTATATAAACGTTTTATATATTTTTTATACATTTTTTAGACTAAATGAGAATAATTATTCAAATCTTAACTGGGAAAAGAGATAATTACGGTCCAAGACCGAAATAAAACATTAAGGAAAAAAACTGCAGCTTTGTAATTGTTTTGGTTACTTATTAGTGTAAAAACTATTAGGTTATATATATATCTAAAGCGTAATAAACCGCTTACATATTTAAAAAATATATTCTCAACACGGACACACATTACTATTACTATAACTATTCTTAGAGGATGCGCAAATTATAACAACTTGAAAAATTAAATTATTAAGAGATTGTGAGATTCTTCAAAGAATACGCCACAGAAAAATCGTGTGGTCACATAAAAATTATTTAAACAAAAAGTTGGATTTATGAATCATTTAGATTGGTTCGCCCATAGATAAATACAATAAAATTATACGATTAAAAAAAATAAAATTAAATAATACACTCTTTTGATATTTATTTTTTGATATATATATATATAGTGTTTGAACAGAATATATTTTTTGTTTTCTTTTAGGAATAATTTTGCTATCAAACTCAGGCTTATTTATTTTTTTACTCTCCAAATATTAAACTTGTAATAAACCCCTCAGTCGGTAGTAAATTTTGTTAAAACTTAATTTTTTCAGAATTTTTTTTAATTGATATTTTGCAACCTTTTGGACTTATTTCGAAAAAACCAAACTTTTCGGAAAGTACACGAAACAGGAATGCGTATTAATATACCAATATTATATACACTCTCCTCAGTTAACAATTTCAATCACTCGGTGAAATTAATGAATTAATGAATGTGAATAATATAAAAATAAATTTGTTTTCTTAAATTGCGTGAAAATTGCTTAAATTATGAGAACTACAGTCCGGCAACAAACTCAACGTCTTGCATCAGTAATTAAAGTGGTAAAAAAATAACTCGCTATTTCCTTATGATCTGTGTTAAGCAAGGTCACATTTTTCCAATTATCCTTGCTATCATTACAAGACAAATTTTAGTGTTACATCGGAGGAAAACAATTTTCATCAATTATGAAACGAATAAAAATTTTTAATTGTATTGTATTGTACTATATAAAGCTCTCATCACCCGTAACCGTATTTCTAAATTTTTGCACGAACTAAGTTTTAAAGAACTTGAAAAACCTAAAAATATTTTTTGTTCTTCACTTTCACTTACACTAGGAATAAAAAATATGTATGCCTGTTGAAACAATTTTGAAATAAAAAAATTTTTGGAGTCCTCAGCAATTTACTTCTAAAATAAATTTAATCAGATTTGTCGCTTTTGTATAAGCAGCAGTTTACATACTTTTAATTGAACTTTGCATGTATAAATTAAGTTGTGAGACATTCAACCGCTTACTATAAGTTCCCACCTGTTATATTTAAAGCAACTAAATTGATAAATCTTCGCAAATCTCTTACCAGCTCATATCTATCATTTATCTACTGGTAAGCGCGGCGAGAGTTCAAATTTGATTGGCCCACGATGAAAATCCGGGCTTTGTTTCTTGCATTGGTGGTTTTCGTTAGTTTTTGTGATGGAAAAATACCACAAGTGAAATGCGAAAGTGGTGTCATTAGCGGAAGCTACATGACAACTCGAAACGGTAAAACTTTCAGCGGTTTTATGGGCATTCCTTATGCTGAACCACCCATTGGTGATTTGCGTTTTAAGGTAAACATGGCATTAAAAATATGGAGCGAAAATCTTACTACGAACTACTAGAAACCAAACATTTTCATTCATTGGAAAATATTAATATTCCAAAAATAAGGAAAAGCAAAAAGAATTTATTACAAACTTTTGAAAATTCCGTAGTTACGTGGAATAATTGATTTGAATTTTTAGTTTTTAATTTTCCTCTTTTGGTACTTATGTAATATTTCATTCTTTTTGTGTTGATATTATTTCAATTACAAACATTAAGTGAAGTGTTTTACAAACGTGTTACTAAAACCCACGAATACTTTCACTACAAGTTTATAGGTTCGCGGAACCAAATTTTACTACTCTCTTTTTTCCAATCTGCATAATTATATACAATTTTGAGATCCATAGTCAATCAGAAGTAACTTATTTTATCAGTATTGGTCCTACTTACGAAATACGTATAATTAAATTTTATTTCGAACTGCCCGGAAAAAGGTTTATAAACATACATCGTTGTCGTAGCAATGTATTTTTTGTAAAAAAAAACCTTTGCTAGTATCTAAATCGAATCGGTATATATTATATATAAAATATATTACATATAAAATAAAAACATGTCAATAAATGATCATTATATCAGTTTATACAGGGTGTTTCAATAAACATCAAGATCTTGGGGATATAGTTTTGGAAATTAAACATAAGTTTTTTCCTATTAACCTAGACGTTTCCTGAAAGATCTTCATGGTCAATCTGAAAATTACTTATTGCAAAATAAAAGATTTGTATTAAGAATACAATAAAAAATTGACTCAGTACACTATTTAGATTTATTCTTTAAGTTAAAATTATAACAATAATATATTATTTTCATTATTTGTAACAAATGGTGATAAAAAATAACAAATAAAAGATAGTATTAATATCTATTAACCCTGCTATTGTTTCCTCGTGCAATTAGGATGGGCCGTTTATCTTGGGAAAAAGTTAAATAGAAAAGTTAATGGGGATATTACAAACCTTCAATTTATTTTGATGTGTGTGTTCAGAGTGGTTCATTTTTCGTGGGCTAGTATCAACATCCTTATTTTAAATGGAACGTCTGGTATATTGCTTCATTTTTTAATTCTATACAAAATTCTAGACTATATCTAAATCTAAATGATTTTAATATTTTTAATTTTTTATGTGGAAAATGACGTTTGCAAGACCTGAAATATCTGCCAATTTCTTCATTCGGAAGCATTTATTGTTTCACTTGAGTAAGTTTGGTTGTAGGCAAAGGACTGGAATAACGGATTTCATAAGAAATTTCGATACATAATAATACAGGGTACTCGAAAAATAAGATTAAAAATGATTTTTTTTTTAAATAATCTTGTTATATTTAGAATTCAAAAATAAAGGAAATTTTATATAACGTTTCATATGCCTAATATTTTTACTGTTGCCATATAAGTTCACTTAATGTAAGCAAAACAAGTGCTAGCAGGCTGCTTCCGTATTATGTTTAAAACAGAGGAAGAGATTGATATCTTAGTTACATATCGAACAATAAAAATCGGACCCTGGCGATTATATTAGAAAATTTTCATTAAGGAGGCGCCCCGAAAAAAAAGATCTTCCACAGGGTTTATTTTGAATAATGAAGAGCACCTTAATATTTTGTTGCATTTTGCAGACACACCTGAAGATTTAACACGAAATGCGTCTTTAGATGTCAAAAGAACAACGCTTTGAACGTGCTTTTAAATAAACAACTGGAAGCACTATAAGTTCTGTTCAGTGCAGAATAGTGCAACGGGATTACATCATGTTAGATTTTTGCAACAATCTTACCGATGAGTCCGTATTTACAACTTCAACTAAAATTTAATCGGAAAAATACCAATTACTGGAAAAACAAGAATAATAAAAAACATATGGAAGTTAGAAGTTCAGGTGGAACTTCTGTCAAAGTATGGTGGTCCATTTAGGGGTTCAGAATAATAGATCCAGTATTTTTTGATCAGAATGTAAATTCCCAACGCTACTGACAGCTTTTAAATATTATCTATCTCTTTGTTGAAAATGAAATGCCTGAAAAGGGACGTCGAAACTTAATTTGGCTAGTCAGAAGTCAAGAAATGAGTACCTATTTAAGACCATTAATTTTGGAGAATGGTAGTTACGCCTAGGAGCAACGACTTAACTTAGATTTTTTTCTATGGGATACACTTAAAGATTTAGTTAGTTTATAAACACAATCCGCCCACTCCCGACGAACTTATTCGTCGGATTAAGAGAAGGTATCGGATATTTAATGCTACTTGTATTGTATATATTGAACAACTGTTACAATTAGTATTATTCCTTGTTAACTTCTAATTTTTGATTGTTCGTTAAATACAATTAACTATTGTGTTTAACTTTTGGGTCCATTCCCTATAGTTTCTGAGATAAGGTAGTCTCCCAAAATAAAAGGCCCACCCTATACATAATAGTGCCTTCATTAAATTAATAAATTAAAACTATCCCACCTATATAATTATAAACATCTTGAAGCAAGTTGCAGAACAATCAACTCTTTTGGGGAAGACCTTAACCAAGAACAAATTTTATTTCAATTGCGTTTGGTTGAGAATTAGAATTGTTTTATTTTGGTATTTTTATATCAAAATACTGGGTCTTGTTGAAATAATGTATAAAAATTTGTTTGGCGATGGTATCAGTTAAATCCTTAGGGCAAGTTGCAAATACTACTCTTTAACAAAAAAAAACAGTGAATGTATTTTGTACTGAAAATGACGTGGTTTAAATATACTAATATTATGCAATGACGAATTTTTTGAAAATTTCCCTTTCTAAAAACAATTATGTGTAAAAATTGTCATGTTATGCCATTATAAAATCGACATGCGATCAAATCAAATAAATATTGTAATTAATTAAAACCGTTGAATATTTATTTACGCGCTCACGCACTTAATTGTGTATAATACGGTAAGGCATATCGAATTTCGCGCATTACCATCCCGTGCAGTTTAATCTAGGTTGCCGCAATAACACTTTCGCGCTTTTTGCGATTAAATGGGAATTTTCTGCTCGCTGAATCCGGACTATTTACTTACGGTTACTTATAACAATTAGTAATCTCGCAAGGATAACGAGAAACCAATAACAAAAAAAAATCTTTTAGAACCAAGCTCGAGGCAAATATTTTCGGGACATAGGCATTAAAAGGTGCTCGTAAGATATTTTAAACAATCGTAGCCTGCGTGCGAATTGCATAACCTTACATTGAAAAATATTGGCCCAACATTTCAAAGGCGAGATGGGAAAATTAATGTTGTTGCGATATCGGTCTTTTCTCACTAATATCGAGTGCACAATTTATAATGAATCATAAATCTCGGATTAAGATATAAAAAGTATAAAATATAAGAAATATAATAAAATAAAGACGCAATAAAAAGACTCAAGTGACTAAAAATGGTATTTATTATGGGAATAACATCATAAACAAAGGATATGCACAAATAAACTTTCCATATTCCATTGGTACAAGAAACGGCAAACATAAAATTAAACTCGCAAAAAGTAAAGAGTAATGACAAACAAATTCTCAATATTGACGAAGACTATTTTTTAAATAAAGGTTTTATCATATAACAAATTATTTTTCAACATTGCCAATATAATATTTGAACAATATTGAGTGGGCCAACTGATACAGTTTAAGCCTGAGCATAGAATTACAGGATAGGATAGGATAGGATAATAATATAGCGTATTTTTTTTTCGTGTTTTAGCCACCAGTTCCATTACCTCCATTTAAAGGGGTATTCAACGCAACTAAAATTCACCCCGTGTGTCCCCAAAGGGATATTTACCGACGGTCCAATATTTTCAAAGGGGAAGAGGATTGCTTGTATTTAAATGTCTACACGCCAAAGGTATTTGATATATATATTATAAAATAGTAAATAATCAAAAAACTGTAGCGGAATAGAAAAAAGTAGGTAGAGTGTTGACCACGAGCCATGTTATTTCGATTATTTTCATTTTCATATTACTGTGCTTATTTTGGAATGCATGATGTTGCTGAAAACATCGTTTCTACAAAAGTGAAGTGAAAAATGTAGTTTTCATCCATTTTAATCAAACAATTTATACCCGTTGCTTCTACGAGGAAACTTGTTTAGATTCCAACCCAAGATAGTGATTTACTTCCTGTGATGGTGTTTTTCCACGGGGGCGGTTGGCTATGCGGGGGAGGCAACTCGGAATGGTACGGTCCCGATATACTCCTCGACAGAGATGTGATTTTGGTCATCCCTAATTACCGACTGGGTAAGTATATGCATTCATTTAATAATAAGACAATTTTTTTAACAATCCTGTTATTTAGGTGCATTGGGATTTTTAAGTACCGGCGATGAAGTGGTGCCCGGCAACAACGGACTAAAGGATCAAAATTTGGCTTTAAAGTGGATTCAAAAGAACATCGAATCATTTGGCGGTGATCCCAAGAGTGTGACTCTGTTTGGTGAATCGGCTGGAGGAGCCAGCGTTCATTACCACATGTTGTCACCAATGAGTAAAGGTAAATGCTGTATTTAGATGTCACCAATACATTTAAACAAGCGCTTGATATCTAAATAATTGAAAATAGGGCGAGAAATAAATCGTTTGGGTTATTTTTAACGTAAACAAGTTGTCGCCGCGAAATTGCAGTTCTCATTTTAATTATTGAACTATGGATAAGTTTTTAAATTAATGTAAGGCAAAAAGAAATATTATAAGGCAACATTTATTCAGAAATTGTTCCACTGTAGCACATGGTTGCACATCAACTAATAGTCATGATAAATCATAGTTTTTGGTATCTAACTGAAATTTAAATTAATAACTTTGAAACATGTGTAAAAGATGTCTTGTAAAATATTTTCTTTAATACTGAATATTACTGCCCATTAGAGAGGTCTTCCAGTGCCAGCGGTTTTGAAAAGTTCAAGCAAATATTTTGATAGATGGCAGATGCGAGAAATAGTGAGACATGTGGTTTATCTCCAGTGTTGGACCAAATATCGGTACTGTTACTATTAATTTTGGATTTTCTTACCAATGAGATTTGTACATTTACTGACATTTTAGTAATTAAAATAAATAGTTTTAACAAAACCATGAGATTCCTATGATATATATACTATGTAATAAAAAAAGTGTACTATATCCATTAAAAAAAAATAAGCCTATATATACATAGGAATGGATTTGACTATATCTCAATGTCACACTAGTTTATTTTCATTATTATTCTTTATAGCCACAAGTAACTCCACTTAGTTCTCGATATGCGTAGGAAATTAAATTTAAAACAGCATAATTCTATTATAAAAAACTTATCGTGATTTAATATTCACTATAAATCATAAAATTGATTGATGGACTGACTTATGTCCTTGTTTTGATTTAAATTTTCCTTTTATCGGAACCGATATTTTTTGTTAACGCTAATTATTCTAATAATGAATACGTGCGTTGCTTTCAATATCACATATTTTAGGTCTGTTTAGTAGAGGTATAGCACAGAGTGGCACTTCGCAATGCATATGGGCCTTCGCCCCGAAAGGAGAGTCAGTCGACCACTCCAAAAAACTTGCTGTGACGTTAAACTGCCCGACGAACTGTTCCACACAAATGGTGGAATGTTTGAGGAGGATTGGGGATCCCCTGGACTTTGTACGAAACGACGTAATGTTTATGGTATATTGAACGTTTCCTAATGAAAATTAAAAAGTAAAAAAGTATGTTCTTTCAGGAATGGGATTTCGATCCGATGATACCATTTAAGCCTACAGTGGAACCAAACGTGGAGGGTGCTTTTTTAACGGAAGAACCGGTGACTATAATAAAGGCGGCAAAAGTGCTCAGGTACCTTTCGTCGTCGGTGTTACTTCTGAAGATGGCGGCCTTAGAGGAGCGGGTAAGTTCATTTCCAATGTACTTATCATGATTGTAAAAGGTTTGGCATGACCTATATAATAAAACTTACCTTTACCAATGCAGTGTTGCCATATATATATATTGAAAATATAAAATTCTAACTTACATTCTAACAAGATAGGTTGAATAAATATTATTTTGTAGAAAATCCTAGGTAAATAAATTTAATGTTTATTTACATTCACAAGTTACTCAAAAATTCAATTTTCTGAAATTTGATAATTATAAAAAATGATTTCTTGTTAATGCAACACAGTGTGTATTGCTATACCCATCTCCCACCGATTTTGCACCGTTTTTCAAGATCCCAGGCATCGGTTTAATAAGTAACAAAAAGTTTTGTTTTAACTCGGCCCAGTCAAGTATTTCATTAAAATTACTGGATAATTTCGCCTATCTAAAGTCAAACAAAAGAATTTGATTAGTTGCCACTAGCTTTGGGTACATACGACAATGCTGCATTTGCCAAAATATATATATATATATATATATATATATATATATATATATATATATATATATATATATATATATATATATATATAATGTTTAAAAGTTAGTTCACTAGAATTTTTAAGAACCACCTGAAGATTATTATTCATTTTAAAGATTCACGGTGACCAAGAAATTTCAAACGCCCTTTCCCTTATACAAAATAAATATTAGTATTAATAACTTCAGAGCATTATTTTCTTTGGCAATGGTGAGTATTAGTGTTGGGACAGAATTTAAAATAATGGAATTCAATAAAGAGAGATGGTTATTTTTCTACAGTCGTTAGTAAATTCTCGTTTTACCTATGTATTACCCATTAAGCATCTACTTAACTGTTGTTATCGAACTGCAGGTGTGTTAGGGAATCCGCATCTTTTGACGGAATTGGATAGGGAGTTTGACAAGGTGGTACCGATAAGTTTGATGTACCAGAAAACGGCTGCAGATGTCAGCTCGGTTACCAAGCAAATAAGACAATTCTACTTTGGCGGCGACAAAGTCAATGCTTCGAAGTCCAAGGAAGTGGTAAACGTAAGTGAAACCAAATCTATGTTTTGCACAGAATCAGGCAATTACGCAAAATTCTGCTGTAGTGATTTTTCAAATTTTCGAGCTGTATTTTAGTAGTGGATCTATGTACCCCTAATTACCTAAATAATTATAACTAAAAAAGGTTTTTAAAACAAATAATATCAAAGTACAAGCATATTAAAAATAAGTACGATGCAAACGAAACTTATCTTTCTTGAAATAGCACTTCTTAAAAAAATATATAAATTCTGACATGTATTCAGGATATGACAAAACATATTTTGACACACCCAATCTAGACAAAAAAAACATAAAAGTCAGCAAATAAAACGATTTTTTGGTAAATTCTACAACAAATTAACAACATATAGTTCACAGCTAAAATCTAAGTCATCATTCATCATTCATATTTGGCAAATTATTGTATTTTGATATCATTCTTTAGTTTTAATAGTGTAGTCCAAAAAAAAAAAATTTCATCCACAGCACATATTCGGGAGTCGCTCGGTAGACAAACACAAATTAAAAAAATGATTTTTATATTAGTAAGTTACTAAATGGTGAAGTTCTTGAAGGGATTCTTTTAGATTACAGTTGTTTGTTTGTGGTTTTAAGAAATTTTCAAATTTTACAATATTTTGTCTCTCATCTTATAGTATAGCATATTCTTCTATTTCTACAGAACTTAAGTTTACGATATTTCAGAAACCTGCTTTGAGCGACCTAAAAAATTCAATTACCTAATATTATCAATATAATTCCAGTATACTTCCACCAATTACTTGTAATTTCCATAACGAAATCATAGGTCAAAGAGGATAAAAAAAAGTTTTAATTGATTCATATTATTTTAATGTTTAATAGTATATTATGCAACCAGTGTGGTAAATGGCATTTGAGTTACAAGCTTATTTGGCACGACCGGAGCGAGTGCTTAATAAACGAGTGGCTTATAAAGTTTACCAAACGTGTTGCATACACTAAATTTTTTCTACAACCGTTATTTTTTGGGGTACATACAAAACGGGAAAATTCCAGCCGTTCGGTAATATCTCCGAAAACATCCGATTGTTCGCAAACCCGTGCAGTAATTTCCCGGAGATGTCCGAAGTGGCTCAGATCCGTGAAAAACAAAACTGACATACGCTAGATCGGTGTATAACTGGGCATTTTCGAGAAGCGAGTAGAAAATATAGAATAAGTCTAGAGATTCATCATAGATAGACACTTTAAAAATGTTATTTTATTTTTTTAAATGAATCATTCGAAAAAAATTCTTTGTATCTATTTTTGATATCAAAATTATTACCAGACGTTTTTATATATGCCATTGTTTTCACAGAGGCTTTATTATGTGTTTTAATATAATCCTTTAGCAGAGTATTATAAGTCGGTTTTAATAAAAGTTTAATTCAATAATCTTCTTCCTATCGTCGTTTTTGAAACAGGCGGTACTGCACCTTCAGTAGAGATTATATTATTAGTCCCGAAAAAAACAAATTTATAAATAAAAATCACTTTTAGATGTTTTTAGTACTTTTCCTCATATTTTTTAGCTAGTGATTATTAAAGAACAAACTAGGAATTCTAATAACCAATGCACCTATTGCGTTAAACTTCTTAGACGTGTTGTATTATAGATGTACACCGACGGGTGGTTTTTGAATTGCGCTGACGAGACTGCCGTGTTGCACAAAACATATTCGCAGCACCCCGTCTATTACTATCTTTTCGGGTATCGAGGTTCGGCGAGTTTCTCCAAGATATTCGGCGGGGGAGATACCGATTACGGTGAGTAAGAAACAAATGTCTTTAACCCATTTTGTCTGAGTCTGATATTTACTGGTGCTGGTTTTATCTGTGAAACAAAACTTTAGCAACAATTAGCGTCTTCTTTAGTATTAGTTTGTGCCTTGTGCAGTGAACGTTATAGTTCGTAAAATATGGCATTTCCGAGGTATTTGACTCAAAAGGAATTAGAGGTGGCTATGGAGGAGATCGTGATGGATGAGGACATTAACAATGAAAGTCGTAAGTATTATTTGGATTTACGTATTCTTATGTATTGTAGCATTCCATTCCTTGTAAATTTATGCTAAAAATAACGTGAAAACATATTTACAGAACATATTGATGAGGTCTATATTCCACCCGACGTAGATACCTTGACTGACGAAGAAGATTTGAACTATAACATAAATCTACAACAGTTTGGATATAGATATAGTTGGAACTTTCGAGTTATATACACCGAATGACACAGCTGTCCTTCAACAGTCCTGTAATTCATCAACTACTGAACCTGAATGGGACTCATCAGATGATGAAACCCTGGAATTCAAAACAAGACGTATGCTTTCTGCAAGAGACAAACTTGCTTCTTTCTACTGTCAAATGGAAGAAAGATCAGATTGAGTACACTCACACACCTATATCCGATGAATTTAGATCATGTGAGGAACTAAAAAAATAGGCTTTCTGGTTACCTCATGATTGTTCATACTTATAAAGCCCGTAGGAGATGTAGAATCTGCCACAGCCACACAATTTACGTTTGTAATAAGTGCAATGTGCATTTACATACTTCATGCATTGTAAAATATCACCAAAAATGAAACCGGGTGTTACCAGTGGTGCGCTCACGCACCATAAAATATTGTGCGTTTTTTTGTATCAAATCAGGTTTTATTTGGAAAACAATCTTCTTTTAGTTGTTTTCTGTCGAATTTGAACTTTCTTTTGTATAATTATGTATACATTATATGTTACATCTTATGTGCCCCAAAACATTATTTAATGTTTTTTCCCAGTGATTCGTTTACGCACCAGTATTTTTTTTGTATGTTTCGAGGTTTAAATAAATAAATAATTTCAGAGCAAAAAAGTATTTTTTCATTTTTTTTTGCTTGGGATAATATGGGTTAATTTTGACTGCACTTTTCTGCCTCACGTGACAATTTTCTTCTCAACGACGCGCGTGTGTATTGTAGGGGTATGCCACGCGGATGACCTACAATATTTGTTCCCTGTGGGTCTTGACCTTTTCCCAGACGTTAAGCCAAATGATGACGACATTTATGTGACGGAACTATTCACCAAGCTATGGACAAATTTTGCGAGAACTGGGTGAGTTTTTTTTCATAAATATTAGGCTATTTATACTTTTTCAGACATTCGGTAATTGAAAACATTCATTCTGTTTTAAGTGAACCTACGCCCGATGACTCAGACGAAACAATCCGCGAGAAGTGGCACCCTATACAGTCGGACAATATGGAATACTATTACATCGATTCCAAGGGCAGCGGGATGAGAAACGGGTTGTTGCTCGACAGGGCTAAATTTTGGAGGCAATTGAATGCAAATCCTCGGCTAGTTGAAAACGAAATAGGCAAAAGGGATGAATTGTGATAATATTAACATGGTTGAAAGTATTTATCACAGAGGTTCATTATTCTTTATTATTTTATTTCAGTTGAAGCATCTTACAAATTTTATAATGTAAAACCGATTAAATACTGATTCATTTTTATTTAGTAGATTTCTTCCATGGTAGGGCGAAGTTATCTTCAATGTTATTTTACTAGCTTTTTAATTATTACCAGTTGTTTAGTATATGGCAAATCACATATAGCATCAAAATTATCTTAATTTATTTGCGTTTGTAAATATGAATGTACGTATTTTATAAATTAAAATATATATTATTTCTCTTAACGAAATATTGAATAAATTAGAAAACTTTAGAGAGAAAATGGCGCTGGGGCCGGGTTTAAAATTCACTCGGGAAACAAAACCCGGATCGGATACTTATGAAATATTTTGTTGGAAAACTTTTTGAAAATTTTTGCTATTGTATCCTCAAGCACGGGTTTAATTTCTTTCGACACGCTCTTCCAGTTGTCGTTTAAAAATAGATTCATCGCTTCTCCTGCAACAACAGTAGAAATTAAAGTCCGCAAAGGGCTTCAAGAAAAGCTTACCTAATTGGGGTTCTCCGTTGAAAAGGTTGTCGAAAAATAACGAAGCCTTGCCGATGTTAAAATCGACGAAAAAATCTTTAATATTATAAAAAGTTTCATTGCCCTTTTGTAGCCTTTGAGCTTTCATGGATACTGTGGCGTCTATGTCGGCTACAAACAATTACGAAATTGCGCGGGGTGATTTCCTAATTATTTTTTAGGTAAAAAGTTTCTATAAATGTATGGTCAAAGTCAAAGGTTTATTTATATTTTTGTTTTTTCCGATTAAAAAAAATGGAATTTGAAGTTTTTCTGGCATGGAAAATTTGAATTTGTTGCTCATTAAACAATTTCTTGGAGAGGGCGGAATCTACATGTTTTTTCTCACTTTCAAAGGGTCTTGAGTTTATGTAGGACACCGTATTATATTTTTGGTATAAAAAGTAAATTCCTTAATCATTTTTACGTAAATTAATCGATGTTTATATTTTCTTTAATGCAGACTAATAAGTTTATTCTACATTTTTTTTATTTTTTGTATTGTATGCATTTTATATAGGTTATAGTAACTTTTTACTTTATAAATATTTGAAAAATCACCCTGTGAAATGTAGGAGTTCGTAACAGTGGTAGAAAGTAGAATAAAGCTTACTGTAATTGCCGTAGCTCAATCCTGATCCTTTGATCGGCATCATTAGAATCCTGCCGTCCATGGAATAGTTCGTGTTTACTTGTAGCCAAGGGAACCAAATTTTCACCTTTACTTTGTCCTTATCGAAGTCGAATCTAAAATAATAAATTGCTAAATGAAATTTGTGGCAATACACGCTGCATCAAAAACAAATTAACTACCTTAATAATGTTACGAATAATGAAAGACACCGCAAACACAATTTCCACGATTAGTTCCTGAGACATATGTTATTTAAAATTTTCCAGTAATAAAAATATATTGCTTTAAATTTTTACATTGCGTGCTTGGTTTATAATAGAAAATATCTTATTTTTGGAAAACTTAAAGCTGCTTTTTTTTCATGCAAAACCAAATTTTGTTCGAGCTTTGTTGTTTTCACATTTCAAATTGGCTGAAATGCTTGCAGTAGCAGAAACTTTGAAATAATAAAGTAATGACAAAGTAATACGACCCCTACAGCATTATTTATAAATAATACACCAACAATGGGACTGCTTGCTGCCTATTTTTAAGAAATAAATAAAAACTACAAGTTTATTTTCTCGAAAATATGCAACTATATAAAAATGACTTTTGCCATTTAGTGATAGAGATCAGTAAGTATTGTAAAATTATATTCTTACTTCCATTTCTATAAAAAGAAAAGAAACGCCACAGAAAACTTCCAAAAACTGGATATCTGTATCTGTATCTGTATCTGTATCTGTAGACTTACCTGACATTTTTGATTACAAATTCTGAGGGTCCGTGTACATTGATGTCTCGGTATATCGATTTGACGGATACCGGTCCATTTCCTTGATCTATGATCACCTCCGGAATAATCAGAGGTTCTATACTAGGTATATCAAATTCAGGAATACCATCGACCAATAGGGGACGCAGGGTTTCTATCGACTCCTTCATGCATTCTTTCAGCTTAGTGTCAGACCTCCGGCAAATTTTTAAAAATGACGCTAAAACATATTTAGATTAATTTACAATTACGCTGAATGAGGCGGATATATAAAAAATAGACGAACACCTTTGTACATGCTTTAATATATTTTGTATTTATGTTCATAAAAAAATAAGAGCTCTTTATTATTATTATTTACTCGAACGAACTTTTGTTTTATTTAGGGTGAATTAAAGCATTGATTGATTGGTTGTATCTTTATTAGTGAAATGAAATATAAGTTGTGTTTACATAAAGGCAAAATCCTTTAGCAACAACCATTGTTAGCTCAAAATAGAGTAACTTGCCTATTTTTAGGTTAAAATATGTAAAAGCACAGCAGACTTAGAAACGGATACCCAATTGCCGCTTTCTTTGGAATGAAAGTGGAAACAACTAAACATCCGTATTTAATGAATGAATGAATGAATGCATTCCAAACTTGTTACTTGGTCTGACATTTATGTCAGGGAGTTTAATTAATATACATACATGAGTCCCTTCATAAGTCATTGCATATATAATAATAACGATCTTTACTCTCTGACAATTTCATCTTGAGAACTATAACTATAAATACAATAAGTAGTCAACTATATACACTCCGGCAAAGTAATAGTGAATAGTATTTGAAATTTACTTTTAATCAATGTGGTAAACTGTGAGCGACTAAGACAAAAAACGTCAATATCATTACAGAAGTCATTCAATCATTTCATCGACCGATAGAGAGGACCTTTGATCAAAAAATTGTCTTGCAGTTACTAATGAAATACAGGTGATGCCTTTACACTCCTTAAAGGAATATGAAAGTTCAGCTGTCTCAGTAACTCAGAGCAATCCGCTAATGAATTGCACGAATCATTCCGCAGAGACACACAATCAACCACACATTGAATATATCAATATATAACATATCCATGATGTTGTGTTTTATTTTACATGTACCTAATACGTAACACGAGATTAAAACATTTGAGCGGTACTATATATATTATACATCTAATTTTTAGCTTCGTCACTTAAATGAAATATCGCAAGCAGCTTAAAAAAAAATTAATTAATTCCAATAATTTTTACAGTTTTCAAGTTATCACTTTATTTATCACTCCGTCATATAAATAATAAATAGTTGTATACCATTATAGAACGCTCACTCTGTATAAACGACCAGCAACCAATACAAACGAATGAATATAGTTTACGCCACTCTATTTATTAACTAATTCGTTAGACGCGTCTCCGAGAACCGAATAAAAAAAATGGTTACGCCATTTAAGAAAAAAAATGATGAAGAACTTACGTAATGCGTCTTTTCCCTGAACGGCCGGGGTCTCCAAAGCTACACTAATTATTGCTATCAGGACCAAGTACACGTTGATGTTACCAGTTTTCATTTTATTTCTATAATTACGTCGGCCGCTCATAACATCGGTAATGACACGCATTTGAAAAAATTAAATTGCGGGTCAGCACTAAATCAAATAAACATTTTGTAAATTTGTTTAGAAAATATTAAAAGAGGCAGCTCTGGAAGCGCATGACCCAGTTTTTGCCAAGGTTGAATAATTGGCGATGTTTTTCATTCGTTATTTTTTGTCGCATCAGGAATGAAGCAAATTTAGTTGCGGATCCTATGTAAATCAATTTTTTCTCATAAAGACATGTATTGAGCTGAGAACGAAAAGAAAAATGGCCGACTAATTAGTTTTCTTGGCAAGGGAAGAGTGAAATAATATTTCATATTGACAGTTCTCTCTTTTCTCTGAAACAACCAAGCGATTTTTGTTAATTGTAAATCACAATTTATGGGTGTCACAAGAATCTACCCTCAGCCCATTGTTGTTTTATTGTTTGTTATTGTTACACAAGTAACGCAATATTGCTCTTTGCGGGCGATACGAATATTTATTTCAAAAAAACAATAAATATTTCATCCCTTACAGCAATAAACTGTTTGGAAGGACAGCGGGTAGTAAGTTGGACAAAATTATTATAAATAATTAAGAAATTGTAATTTGAGAAACATTGTTTCACTTTCTTAAATTATTTCAACTATTGAAACTAAAAGTATATAATAATTAATTACAAAATTTTTGTTTGTCATTAATATTCCATTTCTTATATACAAGGCCTTTTTGAAACCTATAAATGATTGCCAATATACAAATATTCATTTAGCATTTTCACTTCAGAAAAGCCGGGGTCAAAGCGAGTTTATTATAATTAACTGATGTTCTCTGTTGACATTACATATTAATAAATTATGATCAGTAGCCCGTTTTCTTTTACTCAATCCGAAGATTTTATATGTTACTTGTATATAAGAAACGGGTAAAACTAACTTACAGCTTAGGTCTCTCTTTGATCATATTTTAAAACAAAAATTAGCTTCATTTAGTTATATATTTTTACTTACTTCTTACTTACTTACTACCTGCCTATTTAATTGCTATTTTCGGTTTACCACTTGTTGGTGGTGCTGTTAAATTTAATAAATAATTTCCGACGGATTTCGCAAGCGAAATCATCAAAAATTATACATAAATATTTAAGACCGGTGCTTGTTTTTGGCCAATTAAGATAGATCTCGGGCGAACCAGAGAAGGCCATCCAACATTACACTTTTGCGATTTTTTATGTTAAATTTGACCTCTGTAACTACTACAATATACACAATAACATTTTACTGAGAAGGCAAGCTTACCGAGATTTCCACGACATGCTACAATTTAGATGCGTTACATACATTTTTGCCAACAATTATTTACTTCTGTCCTTTTTTCTTCTCAAATTTTTAAAGTATTTGACTAAATTTCGTTAATAGTTAAATTAAGACATCACCGACGGAGAATGTTTATAATTCAATTACGCATTATTTTTAAAACTTTGAGTTTCTTTTCATTTAGTCCCGTGTTCAATGCGATAATATAGGCTGTTGACTGGTCTCGCCACAAGACTTGCTATTTACGAACTGCTATAAGGATAATAAGAGGTCTTTATTATTACAATTATAACAAGATAATTTGATACTAGATACTAGAATATACAAGATACTAGAATTGTAGTAAAAAAAAAATATCATCGAGATTTTTTTACGGTACGTCTTTTTTATTACGTCTGCAATTAACCTTCTACCCCTGAGTAAAGTAGGCGTCCTCTGTAGGTATTGAATTATTATATTAATTAGATAAAAATATATAATTTAAGTCAAAATTATAGTCCATTGATATCGCTTGCAATAAATTACATGAAGTGTTAGAATAGTAAAGGACAAGTGGTGTTCCAATATCATAATATGATAACAATATGTATAACATATACAATAACAAAACTAAATTTTAAATTATCTCCCCTCGCCTATAAATATGAATATGTGCGCTATAAAATTCTCAAATCTTTTTTTTTTCAAAGATACTTCCATAGGCTACTGCACTACATTTTACAAAACTTCTGGATTCCTCCTGCGTCGGTTTTTGTAGCAAATTCCACTCAACAAAAACCGACGCAGGAGGAATTCCTTTATTTATTTAGTAATTATACCTTGCTGAATGCAACCGTGGTACAAAATCAGAATATAAAAATAATAAGAAGAATAATATAGAATAATGAAAAGTCGAAAAAGCTTCATTAAAATTAAAGGGTCTGCAGTGGCAATTTAATCTTTACTTTATACTTAATTAAATTGAATGAAAGAAGCAAAACAGTCTTGTTTTCGCAATCTACAATTTTTTTTACCAGGTTGGCGCCTTGCGAATATGTACTTGGTAATCCCCTCTAGGTCTATGCAGCCGTCCCTGAAATTTGGGTCCCGCGCGTACCCAACCAAAAGTGATGAGTAAACCAACTGGTGCATCAACGAAATAATTCTATAAAAGTGACCGGGCGCTAAATGACCGCACTAGTCGCTCAGAAGTATCCGCGGCAATGATATCACTATTAACACTTATTGATAACATGAAACCAGTTTTTTTAGTTTCGGCAGTAATATGTGCGATTTATTTTGAAGATGTCGCGGCCAAAGGTCTACGTAAGTATTTCAATAGATTATTTGTGAATAGTGTAAAACAGAGAAATTGAAAAAAAAAACTATTTCCCCCTATTCCTCTAAATAATTTAATAAAATATTTTCCGTTCTATTTTATATGTATTTTATAATCTAGAGGGATTGAAGCTAACTTCGCTTAATGAACGTTAATGGTAAAAAAACAATTTAGCGTTTTTACCAGAAACAGATCAAGAATATCTACTAGGTATAGATGTTGACCTTAACGTTGATGATGACACTTTTACTTTCCACTGTTAATTGTTTTTTTACTAGGTGGTGTTAGAACATGTAATTTAATTGTCGTTGGGGATTTTGCAAGTATTTTGTTAATTAATTAATATACACCATAACAGGATGTCAGATTTTCGTTCACGTGCATTATTATTTTGAAATAGTAAATAAATAAATAATATGTGCTAATTTTTTTATTATGTTTTTGGTTTAATGTTCAAAATAGCTTAAACACGTCACACAATGGTGAGAACAAATCAGCTATAATTTTGTATGACGCATGAGTTACACGTTTCTTATGGACATATACAGGGCCTGTGGAGAAAGCTTCCATTGGATGATAATTGGGATTATTTTCAATCTAGTTCGCCATATATCATCAGAGATAACAGCTCTTTTAAGTATTTTTACTAAATGGCGTATCCATTACTAACATTTTTTTTGAGGTGTGAAAGATACTTGAAATATTTTGTTTAGTAGTAAGTATGCATTTTATTAAAATATTACTAAATAACAAATAATAATAAAAAATTTTCTATGGAAAATTACGTATTTTACTTCAGATAAAGTTATCATTTATGCTATTTCATATCTTTCAGAAAAACATCCGCAATCTATTAAATATTTTATCTTTAAATATGCTTAAAATAAGAGTAAACGTAATTTAATTGTATGTAGTTTAGTAGTTAGTTTTGGTAATATCGCTTATACCAACCACTCTTCTATCATTTGATCTGGAACTATTTTGATTTTGCTTCAAAATAGTTCCAGCCGTCATTCAAAAAAATATTTTGTACGAAAAATATTTAAATCTCCATTGAAATTTTATGGTAAACTCCTCAAAACGGTTTTGGTTTTTTATGAATAATATGCTAAACCCTTATTAGTTTTATATACAACTTCATTATACCATTCGTCAAGAAATAAATGACCGTTTAAATATTATAAGATCGCCGATGTACTGTCTATGGATAACATATTTCTTTTTAAATAACATTTCCCATCCAAGTTTCATTATAGTTCAGAGAATTGGTTAGCTGGATGTGAATACGGAGCGGTTTCGGTGCTAGGGGTTAATTTTATAACAAGTTAGGAAGCAAAGGATGTTACTTAAATTACTTAAATACTTTTCGAAGGTATTTATTGTTCCTATCAATTTATTTTATTTTTTCACTACTTCCTAATTCTATTTAACCAAATTGTGAATATCAAATATTTTGAACAAAAAAGTTTGCGTCATTGATTGTTCTTAATTTTAATTTAATTTTGGTTAGTTTTGTTAGTTCGTTGTTGCAAATATATAAATACATATTACAGAAAAAAGAAGTGGCACACGTTCATTCCAAATTCAATTCAATTCATTCAAAAAGTTTATTTGCACTTTTTATCTTAAAATCACTCACAGGATTCTCCGCTTTAGAGGTATCATGTACACCGTATATAACATTTATTAATTCATTTAAAAAAAGTTCAAAATTATTAATCATTTTTCATTGTGTTTCTCGCTGTCAACAACATTCCAGTGACGTCCAAAAGCAGTCCTCGTAGGTATATCAGCAGATCTTGTTTTTCAAGGGCGCCGACTTGCTTTTTTAAACTAATTAACCATTGCAAAAAAAGTTGTTTTGAGTCAACGCATATTCTTCTTTTGTTCTATTTAAAGTTGATTAATTGCGGTCCATTACAGCGTCTTACCTGAAACTATGCAACCGCAACGATCCGAACCTCAGCAAATGCATCAACGAAAACGTCGAAATCATAAGGCCGAAATTGAAACAAGGTATTCCGGAGCTCTTCATACCTTCCCTTGACCCGCTGCTGATATCTCGAGCTACTCTTGACAGCGGCAACGCTTTCAAAGCCACTTTCACAAATATCGAGCTTTTCTACGCCGACAAATTCCACTTGCACAATTTTGACATGGATTTGGAGAAATACAAAGTAGATATCAAAATCGGATTTCCAACCCTGAGGATCAAATCGATCTACAATATCAACGGAAGGTTGTTGGTTTTGAATTTGAACGGCAAAGGACCGGCAGATGGAAATTATAGTAAGTTATGCTAGTTGCTTTTTTTGAGTGGTTAAATAACGTTTTTCATATTTTCAGCCAACGTTCAGGCACATCTCAACCTGAAAGGCACTCCTTTTAATAAAAACAACAAAAATTTTGTAAAATGGGAACGAGAAAAAATCGATATTACCATCGAAAAGAGTCATCTGTTCTTTGACAAAATATTCGGAGACAACGAGCAGCTCAACGATCAAACGAACAGGGTTATTAACGAAAACATCGACACTATCATCGAGGAACTTCAGCCAGTCATTCAAGGAGTTGTCAGCGACTTCGTTTTCGGCGTGGTGAATAGGCTATTCTCGCGATATTCAATTAATGATTTATTTCCAATTTCTTAAACTTGATGGACGACCTTATTTTTAAATCACCTTGGAAAAACCCCTAATATGTAAAAATAACAAATTTTTTTCCGTTTTAAAATTGCGCTTTCAAAGCCGCGGATTTAAATTCAAAGTAATTACCCAACCCAAAGATGATTGCTTTTCATTAGGGTAACTCAGAAACAGCGCGTCCATCTTTTGAATTGTGTAGTTTTTTTATCTTTAACATACGTAACTAAAAAGAATACATATGGAACTGAAATGTGAACATACCAAACGGCTCTGAGCTTGTGATTTAACTTAATAAACTACTATTTTACAAAGAAATCTTTTACGAATTTATTTTTTAGCCTTCCCAAAATCAATGTAATAATCTCAGATTATTTTTATTTGTTCTTAGAACTACAATTACCAATCCGTAACTACTTATGAGGCAAAATTCTCACAGTGATATTAACAAAAATAAGTCGATTTATTTAAAAAATAATAAATAACTGATAATGTAAATGTTTAAAATTACAGACTCAAAAATAAATAAATCCAAGTTTCATTGTTTAATTAAACTAATCCCGCATCAGTGGCCTTCAGCGATAAAAGCTTCATAAGGTACTTCAGATAGGACATTTCCCACGAAATCTCTCATTATGGCCAGCAGCTTCTTTTTGAGGTGCGGTTTCATTTCCTTCAACAGTTCTTGGGAATTCGAGTTTATGAAAAGGTTTAACGCGGCTTCTGCAAATACATTTTTCTTTTCAGAGCATTCGATTATTTTAAAATGAAATTATGTGATTCGGTATAAAAACTATAATTTTAATGAAAAATAAATTTAGTTTTAGGATATGAAAATGGAACTTACGCAAAACGCTGTTGCCTTTATGTATTCCGTCGACCCCCATTTTGATATTTTTTACACTAAAGTCCATTTTCATCTGTTGAAGTTGAAGGTAGGTAAGATCATCGTCTGCTGGGACCCTGGCTCCTTTCAAGTATACTTTCACTTTGACGCCGTCTAAGAAAAATTTTAACAGTCAAAAATAAGGAAATCGGAATTGAAAATTGGACTGGTATATAAAGCTATTCCACAACAAAAACAATAGATAAATTGTAGTCAAAATCTTAACCTAATATATCGAATAATACAAGACTAGGATTCGGCGCTGCTCACAAAAAATAGGTAAAACCCATGAAAACGCCCAGCATTCCCGCAACCATATAAACACAGCTATGGGAATTATTGATTTAGTTTAGTTGATTGTGATCAGTATATAGCAAGAAACTTATTTATATTTCAAATTAAACTGAGTTGACAGTATTTCAATCTGTAGGGCAAATTCGAGGTGTATTTATTATTAACTTTGTATTTTTACCGTATTCTCCCCAATAGTTTCCTCCGCCAGAGGCCTGTATCAATATAAGCGTTCCACTTGATTCATACTTGGCAGTTGCTGAAATTTTCGGTATATACAGGGTGAATTGAAACTGGTTTGTATCTATGTCCGACCTGTAAAGAAAAAGACCAAATTATTTTTTTAAATAGCCGTAACAAGTAAGTACCATATAAAAACATTTTTTTTACCTGACTGCGGTTACTGTGCAGTTGCTAACTCCATACGCTTCTATGTTCCTGAACGTTGCCTTATAACCATCAGGTCCGCTGCCTAAAGCTAGTTGGATTTGATCGATCAGAATAGGTTCTGGTTCGCTCAGACGCAATTCCGGAATTCCTCTGTTGATGTTAGCTATTAGGTGATTGGTAGCTTGTTTAAGGCAAATGTTGACGTTCGGGTCTTCCTTGTGGCACTGCTTTATGTAATAGAATGCTAAAAACTTCACCATTTCAGATGTGAAAAGCAAGAAGAAAATTAAAGTTAGATGTAGCAACTATAAGTTCTAGGTTGTTGTTAAAAATAACAAAAGCAATTAAAAAACTCACAAATACTGAAATAAAAGTACGTATTGCTTATGTAGAAACGGTATATATAAACGTGACAACCTGAATAAGTTTAAATAACTTCTCCTGGATATAGCTGGAATATTAGATTCTATCAAAAAAGTAAATTTTCGCATTTTTACCAATTTCTTAAAATATACAAAATGTTTCTTGTTTCCTCTTCTATTTTTAAATTCCACATCCTGTATATATGATATGCAGTTGTTAGCCCAATTTGGGGGTAGTTTACCTATGTCTATTTTCATTTTCACATGAGAATTGAGCGACTCAGTGGACATATTTATACATGTAAGATTGAAGAACTATTGAAAAACATACTTTCTTTTGATTCCAGTTAACTTGAAATCTTTGGGGTTTGTTGGGTAACATTTTATGAAATCCATTTTTTGTACTCTCGCTAATTTGAAATTTGAAATTGAATTAGATTTGTTTAGAATTTTGTGATAAAGATGTATATGCAATATGCTTAAAGAAATGCTTATTAGAAAATACAGTAATGTGTGTTTTTAGTTAATCTACAAATTCATACTTACGGTTTTGGCTAGCCACATCTTCAGTTGCAAGAAACACTAAAACGATCACAGAAAATGGTAACGTACACATAATACTGTATAGTAATTCGACAACTAACGGTGAATCCTAAAGAATTTAATTCCTGAAGATATAAAGAAGTCCGTCGGTCGTCGACTGACCTCGTAAGAAAAGTCGACATTGACCGAGGATGTTGGCTTTTGGGACACTCACTCTCTTCATTGTTGACTGATTGAAAATTCGATAGGATTGTTCCCAGCGCATTGAATCGACTATTATAATTGAATATTTCATAGTAGCGAAATAGTGCTAATGACTAATTTCTAATGATAATACGCTTACTTGTATTCACCTAAGCAACACTAACCCGCTGGTTTTTGAGTATAAAACAAAATTGTTAGTTTATTTATCGAAACTTGTTTTTAAAAAGTTAAATGGTAATTACACTATTGTCGGAAGCGATATTTCCCTATCTACTTTTTGTAAATTAAATATTTTCTATTTTAGTTCTCGAATCAATTTTCAAATTTTCCCAGTTATGTACGCTATTTAAAATCGACAATGTAGATAGTGGTGACCATCCTTATAGACGCCATCGTGGCTAAAAGTAAGAAGTGAAGAAATGCGTTAAAAGCGACTTGCGCGTAATTGTGTCGAAGCAAGTATGCTTGAAAAAACTTTTCCTTTCAAATTTAGGTAGATCCGATATTAAAAAATATTCATACAAATAGAAACTGAAACAAATGATTGGCAAATATATAAAATAAAAAAATATGTAATTGGAAAGAGTTAGTTCTATGGAAAAAAGTCTAGGGTTTCCTTGCCAAAAAAATAACCATCTGAGGTTTGAAAATTTTACTGTATGCAAGTTATCTAGATCCTGTTTTATAAAACAACGTTATAGTGACCAGATGCAAAAGCTATTAGTCGTATATCTAAGACTAGTCAGTCATATAATATTTTGAGGTGCTGTTTATTGTATTGTTGTATTGAATTGTGGCATCTTAATGTTAATGTTTAAGTCAAAGTTTGCATAATTTTCATACCAACGCCTGGAATGTGACGAAATTCGGCAGTTTATGGTATAATTTGAAAAATATCCGTTCGAAAAAACAGGTTTTAGTAATTTTATATATTTAATATCAAACCGAAAAGTATTTGATATTGCAAAACCTCCTCCTCCCAATTAATACGCAGATTTCGTTGAAGTATACAATATACCCAGCTGTTGATTATTAAAACATACTTTTTTTTATGTTTCCCTTTTAACATTTTTGATAGTACAGTGCCGTAAAGTACATTTTGCTTGGACCTAAACATGTTAAAAGGACCTTATTATAGCTTCAACATTTTCGTACATGTCTTCGTTAGAAGTACGACAGTAATTAGGTTCGCTACTTTTCGACCATAGCCAGCATTCTAGTGAAGATAATGCTGCAAAAAAGCTAGTCTTATTTGACAAAAAAGGATAACTTTAAAGATTTAAAAATTTGTCACTTGCAAATAAATATTTGTGTCCACGGAGGTTAGTGGCATTATTTTCGTGAAAAAAATTCTTTATATAAAATTCAATTTGAAGGCAATACAAAAACTAAAAGATATACCAGTGCTTTCACATACTATACAAGAGAGAAAATTGTGTCAGCTAGGCTAAAAATTTTGAAGACTAAGCTAACCAAAACTTAAATAAAACCAAATGTCAATACCAAACGCCAATGCCAAATATTAAATTTTCTCTTAGGCAGGGATATTTACTGACAAACTAATAAAATTTGATATCCTCAAGATGGATGTGGATGCTCCAATCTATCTTTCTCATCGATTTTTAGGACATCCTATTAACTTTCTGCGACACTTAACTACCTTAATCGTTTTAATATACAGTAATTACCGTTAATGGCGTTAATTTCAACTCAATTAATTCCCGATTTGTTTATAATTTATGCCGTAAAATAAAAAACTTGAATATGTCAAGAAAATTGTTTACTTCTACGAAACCTCGATTTGCGTCAGATTTTTGTGGTAAATTACATATATTGGAAAAAAAGGAAATAATAGACAGCCGGTCAGCGACCCGGGATGCGATTCAATCAATGCTATTCCTCGGAACCAAACTGCAAAAAACTAAAAATATATTCAATAGTTTCATTTATGACAACCCGTGAGTTTAAGGTAGATATATTTTATCACTTTTCGGGAAACAATTCGCTGTAGGGAAACGATCCGGCTATGTTGTTTCCCACCTCGGTGAAAATATTTTCCAAGGCGTTGGTTACCGGACCAACTATCTGTCCGCTAATCATGTCGCTGTTCTCCCTAATCACCTGGTTGATGCCTCTAGTTATCGTGTCGTCCCCTTCATCTCCAGTCAGTTGAAGATGTATTCCTCCAGGTTTCAGGTTGATCAGGATCCTGGGAAACTGCAAATATTCCGCACCGTTTTTCTTGTGCAGTTCTCCTTGCATGTCGCACGTGAATTTGTAATTCGCTAAAAAAATAAACTCATTAAAGAGCGCCTCAAGGGCGTATAATAATAATCTGTTCGCTTACAAAAGTTTCCACTGATAAATCCCGTGCCCTTGTAAGTTAAAACAAGTACGTTGATGTCGATTTTGTATTTGCCTTCGAAATAAATATGTGGAACGCCGCATCTGGCTTGGAAATGATTGTTAGGAATATCTACACTGGAAATAAATATATCTATAAGACAACGAAAATTTTGAAAACAATACTGATAGAAATTTTTCAGTGTATATCACAGTTATATTTGCGTATATTGATTACATACAGGGTGGCGCAATAGTGGAGCAATCATTTTAAAAGTGTTTCGTAAAATAAAAAGACAAACGTTTTATTTAGGTTAACATATTTTTTTATCTAGAACACAATATTTATATTTGCAAGATATGATTCCTCCAAAAATGTTGATTAGAGTTAGTGAACCAAATTATTTCATGGGCCGTCTTATAAAATTCTTGCCAACTTGACGAAATTTAAATTACATACTTCTGCTTTTTTAATTGGGAAACCCTGTATCCATAATCTATACCTATGCCTATCAATTCAGTTTTTTCCGTTATATAGAAATAGAGAAATATTAAATAAAAGTAATATATAGTCTATTCGAAGAGGTATTAGAAAGATTATTGAAGAACTAATTTCTTAGTCTTTTTTGTGAAGTGAATTCTTCAAATTTATTTACTGTTTCAAATTGTAACTTTACTTGATTTCGAGTAATTAACAGGGATTGTTGTTTCACTTCTTTTTTGCCAATATGAACAAGAATTAATATAATTTCGAATCCAGGTTTACCAAAACCAAATTTAGTAACAATTGATCTAATGAATTAAAAAATGATTGTAGAATTAAAAATATATTTTTTAAATGTTTATCTTCTGATAATATGTAATATTTATTAAAGCTGTTTTTTCAAGACACTGACAAATAAGTGAGAATACATTATTTTCTTCGATCGTTTTTGGAACAAACAATATGAATAAATGATTTGCTTCTAGAAAACTCTATATATTACATAAACCATTTCTGTCAAATATTGTTTCAAACAATATTCTTTTACCATAACAAATACAACAAAACAACAAAAAAATTACGTCCCTGATGGAGTTGCGCAGAAATGTTTTATTTGATTGGAGTGTCTAACTTACTTGAGATCATAAATTTCGTAACTTGATGGTCCCCAAACTTTGGCATCGATTATATCGACGCTGAATTTCGCTTGATCTGGACCATTCCTAATGTTGACCTCATCTAAATATAGAGGTTCTATGGCGGGAACGTTGATTTCGGGTATACCAGATTTTAATTTTGGTCGCAGGTATATAATTGAATCCGTGATGCACTTGGCTATATTGGGGTCATTCTTTTTACACACCTTTATGAAAGGGGCTGCGAGTGCAAAGCAATGAGTTAGTTAATTATTTATAGTTGGATTAACTGGAAACTTACGTATAGTGCATTCCGCAAAAACAATTAACGCTGAAATATAACTTAGAATTCGAAACATATTGCTTGAACTATTGCGATGTAGTGGTAGTAAGTATATTGAAAACGTTTCGAGATCCGCCGATATAATTGTCGGGCAAAAGTCATGTAATTTTTGTTTTTTTTTTATTGCACTCAATTTTAACGGGATTTTTGAACAAACAGTAATATAACTTTGTATAAGTTGATCGACAATAAAGACGAACCTTTAGAGTCTATTTTTGCATTTCCTGAACTTTACACAGAATTGTTCACTATGAAAAATTGTTCCATTGTTATAAACAATAATAAAAGAAAAGAAAGAAAGAAATCTATCTTTATGTTAGATGAGAAATTAATAAAAAAAAACTAATATGCCAATTTGGATTAATTTTGGTTATTTACAACGTCAATTGTTAATTCTTTTTTTCATGGGACCACATTTTCAGTCTCAAACTCTCTCAAAAGGATTAGTATTTTCATATTTACAATAAACATGTTATGAGATCGTGGCCTCTCTATTATCTACATCTTCACATAGTCAAGATTGTGTGAAATTTTATATAATAACCGCGTTTAAAAAATTAATTAAAACCAAAGTTGACAGAATTAAAATATTTGAATTCTGTAAAATTTGCTAAAACTGTATAACTGAGTCCTGCCAACTGGCGGCATCTGTTGGTCTTTGTAGAAAGGTTATAAAAAAGCGAAGTAAAGATATCTGCTTCTGTGTAATAGTTTCAATAATACGTAAATAAAGGTATCTAAATGGTGCCTCGAACGCTATATCGAAAATAATACAAAATATTTCTTCTGTTCCTAATGGATAATTAAAGATATTGTAATTGCTTGCATATTTAATTTATGGTTTGTGTAAAAAACAATTGTTTTTGCGCATTATTTTCAAGGGCACGTCTTCTGTTTTAAAGAAGCGTTACTGGCAAAAACTAAGTCATTTTCTCGAACGGTATATGTCACTAACCATTGTTGAATTTTTAAAATCGTTACGGATATTTTAAATTAATATTGGGAATTCACACAAAATTCGCAAATAAGCTAAAAAATTAAAGAATCATTAAAGCATTATTTCCTGATTGCCATTACATGTTCAATTAACCCATTCGAAAACCTTGGCTTTCCGTACACTAGTCATAGCGTATAGTTCGATGACAGTGTCTTATTAATTCTGCTAAATATTGTAAACTTTATGCAAAACAGATCTTAGATTTAGAAGCACAGTGGATAGGGTTCGTCGCTTAATTTCTCATCAAACTCGCTACGGATAAAAAAATACCGGTACAATAATCGCAATGCATTAAAGCTGTTTGTCTAGCGCCTATGACGACTATATTTTCGTTCTTGGATTTTCCGATTACGTGGAGTCAACGAAAAAAGAGTTCAAAGTATACCAGCCAACAAGTTTGAAAAGTAATTATTTGAATTGCGGTTAGTTTTTTTTTTTTGCTTTCGCAGTGACTTCTCACGCGGATTTAACGTGTATTGCAAAGAAGATAAATGAAAACAGTTAGGTTTGCAAAACGACTAATTTTTAAACCTCGGACTAAGGTGGCTTTTACTTGATGAAAATCCGTTTAACACAAATTAAATTAGAACAAAAAATGTTTCCACAGTTTTTAATACTTTATGACAGCTGTTTCGGCAACACCGTTCCTTTGTCAAATACAAAATATGATTATATTCTGACACTTATATATAAAAACAGGTAGTAATAGATTTTTAATTACAGGTATAGGGTTATAAATTTAACTTTGACAACGCAGGCGCATTTAAATCCAATTGAAAAATAAGCGATAAATTCAAATATCACATTTTGTTAATCTCCATAGCTTCCAACAAATTTGGTTTTTTGCTTTTTGAATGATTATGTAAAATATCAAAATTATCGTCAAAGTTGTGAATTTCTGAATTTAAATGAATCGCATAGTTAGAATCCGAACTAATAATTATGAACTCTCATCCTACAAAGTTATATTATTTAATTAAATTACACGAACAGCATATCCCAAGGCCTGTAGTTTCTTTTGTAACAGCACCATCAGTTCAATTTTCAACAAGATTAATTAAAATTTTAGAATATAATACTTTACACCTAGATATGCTATCAAAAATTCATTCGAACTAATAAACAAGATTAAAGACAAAAAATCATCCAAAGGCAATTCTAGTTTCATTTGATGTTCAAAACTTAGTTCTTAGCATTCCACCAATTGACGTAATAAACCCAATAGACAATATTCATTCTCACGCAGAGACAAGTTAACCCTGTCATAAAACAAGACTTGCTGGATTGTTTAATAGTTTGGTCAGACCAAAATTATTTTAAATTTAATGGTCAATTTTATATTGCTAAAGAAGGATTAATTATGGGAAACCCACTTAATCCACTACTTGCAGAAATTTTCATGGACAATTTAGAAAATATCATACATAAACATCCTCTGAGTACAGGATTTCTCTGGTGCTATTCATACGTAGATGATGTTTTTACTTGTTTCACTCGAACCGAAAGACAACTGCAGTCCTTTTTGAATCATATTAATTCGATAACTCTCTAAACTTTCTGGACTTAACTTTAACTAAACTACAGAACAAGTTAGATTTTTCCATTTACCATAAACCCCCACACACGGACACAATAATACATAATAACTCAAATCACCCTTACACACAAAAAATGTCTGCCTTTTATGCTTTCATCAATGTGCCGCTTTTAATATTGCTCTTAAAACTGAAAACACCATAGGACATTTTCTAAAAACCAGTAAAACTAAATTACGAAAAACTCAATAATCCGGACAAATCGGACAAAAAGGTACAACATTTAAGAAACGCATTAACGAACATAAAAGGGCGTATAAAAATAAAAGTTCGGATTCTAACTATGCGACTCATTTAAATTCAGAAATGCACAACTTTGACGAAAATTTTGATATTTTACATAATCATTCAAAAAGCAAAAAACTAAATTTGTTGGTAGCTCCGTTGTGAAATTTAAATTTATAACCCTATACCTGTAATTAAAAATTTACCTAATTTTTCTTGCTTAAATCTTAAAAATTTACTCCTCATAAAAGCTCTATCCTCTATCTAATTACAGTATTTTTCTTTAAGTAAACCACTTAATGATCAATTGTAAAAGATGAATAAAAAACATAACGTTTTGAAATTGTGTTTATTTCGTTATTTATAAAACATATCCAAAAATACATCTCTCTCTGTCTAACGTACACAGTTCAAAAAAGATAACAAAAGCAGAGCCGATCGGAATGAAAAGCGAATAGGTTTAATGGCAACTAGTAAATATAATGTTTGAATGGTACGAAATTTAGTACTCCGATAATCGGTTATTATTTTTAATTTGTTAAATTGTGTGTTTTTTCGTGACGGTCGTAGAAGAAATATAATATACAACAAGTGCGGTAAACGAAATTTGACTCACGAGTTTATTAAGCACTCGCATAATAAACTATAAAAGATGAAAATGCAAAGAATCTATCAAAAAGAGACTTGATAGAATGCGGATCATTCCGATTAACTAACATGTCGGGTGAATTTTTAATTTTAGGTTAAACAATTCTTTTTTCTTTAAATATTTTTTTTACATAAAGGATTTTTGTTCAAATTTATTTGCTTCTGAGCAGTCATTGTTTGGGGTAATACCGGTCAAGATCATCAAACAAAATGTCTTGTGGATTTCGAATAATAATTAAACCAATCCTCACCGTAATGAAGTTTTGCATTTTAACTCCCTTGTCATCGACTTATGCGAAATATTAGCGAAAATCGACAAATTGTTTCATTGCATTCAAAATTTAAATACTAATTTACGGCATTAAATACTCAAGGGGTTCAATAATAATGTGACTGTATACACTACCATACCCGATAGTTTTTACTACGAGGTCAAATGCAAAAATTCTCTGCGGAAAACTGTCTTTTTCTATTGTTTTTATGTTTTACTTAAACCTGAAGCGAGACGCATTGCTGTAGTCGCAGTGTTTCCAGCTGCTCGTTTAAATAAATTATGACGTCACGTGAAAATGTTATAAAAGCAAATTCATTTGCGCTAATTATTCAACAATACTGGTCGACGGTGAAGGGCGTGAAACCATGATTTTCTCGGGGTATTTTTATATTGTTTTTGCGACGATTTTTGGATTTACAGCCGGCACTATCCGTAAGTTCTGTAATATTAGCACAATCGTTTAATTTCATTTCTTTTAGTACGTCCAATTTAATGCTTTAAATATCAACAGGCAGAACGGGGAAGTTTATTTTGATTTTTATTCCGGTTTGTTATTTGTCAGCCGGCCAGAAAAAAATTGCCTTAATTCTAAATGTTCACAATATTTTGTTTTTAAGGTAACTTGCGACAGCGTAGTGACAGTTTTTATGTTTTATTTCTCTGTCGGTTATTTGTAGGTAGAGATTTTTGCAGATTCATGAATTAATTAATTTAAAAAAGCCTTCCTTCGATTAAGTGCGATATAACTTTCAACAACAAATGGTCAAGGTCTTTGTTAACAAGTACTTGTCACGTAATATTGACTGTATTTAAAATTATATAATGCATTAGGTTGAAATAAAATATTTGAGAATGATCGGTATAAAGATTAGCGTTCGTTAGATTGTACACAAAATGACATATTTATCAATAAAATATGTCACATCTCAAATATTAGATAATAAAAACCACAATTTTGACTAGGAGAGAATGTATCTCCTAATTATACTGAGAACAGTATAATTAGGAGATATAACAGTATAATTACTAAATTAAAAAATAAAATAATTAAATTCTGGTAGGGGCCATTAAGATTTAATAACGTTAACACACCATATTATTCGGGATATTGAAATAAGAGAACTAGCTGATTTTAATAAGTATTTTGCCTTAAAACCCAACATTTTTTTCAGCCGAGTACATTCACGTTTGCCACAGAAATGATCCGGACGTAGCCAAATGCATTCAGAATTCCATAGAAGCTCTCAGACCAAAACTGGTTCATGGAATTCCGGAGTTGAGCGTTCCCGGAATCGATCCCTTTAAGTTAGATAAGATAGTGATTTTCGACGGCAGCGACAGCAATCAGCTCACGGCGTCATTAAACAACGTGGAAGTCAGGAACGCCGGAAATTTTGAAATAACTAAACTGAAGTACGTGAGTAAAAAAGAAAAAACCATTGAAATCACAATGACAATAGAAATTATTGTAGTTTTATACTTTCATTATTCGATATATTTTATCAGGGAGAGGGTATCCTGGGTTTAATTCCTTGTTCCACAGAGGGTTGCACGAAAACGATCGAATAAGGAAGGGAAACAGCAAACGTATTGTTAAATTGTTGCATTTTTAATTAGAAAATGTATATAGTGTGTTGGCAAACAATAATTACTTAATGCATTTGTTATGTTAAAACGACGCAGGTTAGATTTGGACAAGCGGATATACAGAGTGGGAGTCAGATTCGATCTTTTGGATATGGAAGGGGACTACAGTGTTCACGCTAGAATCTTGGTTGCTCCAATAGACGGGGACGGGAAATTCTACGCCAATGCCAGTAAGTTATTTGTTTTAAAAGTACAACATTTATGCTTTTCTATAATTAAAGGTCATTATAGGAGTCAAAGTTCGTCCATATATATATATTTTGGAATTTGAAAATTATATGCAACGCATATGGTTCATTTCCTTAGAACTAACTGTAAAATTGTTCGTAAATGCATCTTCAACTTCATTTAATCTAACAAATGAAGGAGATGTTTAGGATTACTTCTTAAAAATATATTTTTTAAATTTATATTACTTGGTATAATAAATTTATATAGTAAATAAAATGTTAAATACGCGATATGCGTAAATATGCAAAATTGGTTGTTTTTCTTACATTTCACACAAAGGGCGAATACTGAATAGGTACTTACACTAAGTATGTTGCCGAATTACCAGAAAATCCCGTTTGGATTTGAAAATGATTGAAGCTCATTTCGAATGATAAATACAAATATAAAATAACAACATTAATTTTTTTTGTACCTCATAGGAGGTTTGTTGAAAAATATTGATGTATACATATTTTTATACTCTTATGCAAAATTTGGCAACCCTCAGATATCGTGTTGAAGTTGTACTTTAGATTTTTGAATATGAAGAACTTTTATATGGAATAATTTTTTTTTTGCGAAATTAATAATAATTTTTTTATATGCTGTCCAGTTAATTGGACATACTATAAATCGTTTGGTTAGATTTAAAATGGGCTTTCCCAACAATTTGCATAAATATAATGTTTCTTGTTCATATTCGTGATATTATGATTTCTAATGATTATATTATATTTGGTGTATTTGATATCAATGTTTCAATTAAATTAAAAGTTTTAATGCTTGTGTATTACCCACAGCTGACGTGGAAGGAAACGTAATCATTCAGTCAAGTTTGGAGAATAACTATTTGCGATTTAAATCGATTGATTTTAAAATCAAAATTGGAGACTACAACGTCCGTTTGGAGAACCTTTTTAAGGGAGACCCAATTTTAAGTAAGAGGCCCTTTTAATAAGTACAGGATTCAAATTTAATAAACATTTTTTTTAGGTCAAGCGGCCAACCAGCTGATTAACACCAACAAGAATGAACTAATTCAGCTTTCCATACCGTTCATTGAGAGAAAATGTTCCGAAATATTTTTGCAATTAAGCAATAAGATCACCGAAAACCTCAAGTACGATGAACTATTTCCGGTTTAGAAAGCCCTACTGAAAAAATATTGTTATTCTAACGCAAAATAATTTGTGTCATTTTCTTACTCTAGCAAAACGTGTTTGATAATTTTTGTTACTTTTCTATGCTATACAAACTTGTTGGCTTAAATATTGTGTTATAATATACTTATTTTTGAACAGTATATTTCGACTGAATGCGCTAAAATTTTCGCGTAAAAGGAAAATTCATTTTATACAAGAATACGTTAAAAATTTAGATTTTTTGTATTCCATGCAGCCATTATCTATACAGAAAAAAAATACAAATCGTTCACGAACTATACGTGCAAAAATTCTATTTTGAAAAAAAAAAAAATTAAACAAGGTGAATTATAGCAGCGTAACTTAAAATAAAGGTGTGAGAACAGAGGACTACGTAATCCGCAAACTTTTATTAAAATTAAAATGAGGATTCGGATCAACAAAATATGCCGAATCGTCGAATTCTGCATTTTTACTAAGCACTTGCAATAAAATGACATGGTTAAACAGGTTATTTAAAATAATCGATAGCGACAATAATGATATTACTGGGGAAACAATTGCTTATATGAGAAAGCATCCGTTATAGCATTTCCCGTATTCATAACGACCCCTTCCAGCGACTTTTGAATAATTGGCATCAGCTCTTTCAAAAACAGGTCCAGGTTTTTGTTAACCACGTCATTGATCATGGCCACTAAAAAAATTAAATTGTAGTACGGCTGTTATGTACATGCACAGGAGGAGGAAGTTTAACCGACGAAAAGATAAAAAATGCATATAACCATACATATCAAAAACAAAGCGAATCAAAATATATCATATACTGTCACTTATTTTGTCTGAAAAAAATACAAAAGGCAGTGCCGCCCACGTTTTTTCAAAAATTTGGTTTTGTCAAAAAAGCTAACCTAATTAGCCATTGCCAAAAAAATATTTTTACAAAATTTTTGAAACCAGTGAAACTTAAGCATTTCCGTGACTATATGCACCCTTTCTTTTTAGACTTCACAAGGAATCAAAAAGCACCATGTACAATATTTTCGTCTTAGCAATCACTTACGCAGCACTTGATCACCGTTGAATAAGTTTGCCAGTCTAACAGATCCCCCACCGATCGAGACTTTGAGTTTGACATCGGTATATTTCATGTATTTCTCGCCATCTTTGTCGTAAAGTTCTCCCTGGAGTTCCGCTCTTGCTTTAACGTCAGCTAAAATAATTTCGATTTGTTAGGTATATCGTTGATCCCCTAATAAAACGTCTGAAATTATTGGAAACAATAACTTATGCAGGAGTAACATGTGGGAAATATTTTAGCTTACTTATATTAGCCTCTATGTCACCGTCACCCCTCACTTGAACCATCAAAAGTTTTCCGTCGACGTGATAGTGTGCTTCGATTCTCAATTTGGGTAGATCCACATCAACAACGAACTGATTGGTATCCATGTTTGCTCTGAAAATATTATCCAAAAATTTATTTTCGGTTTTCAGTCGACACCAACTTCTCTTATGAACTATGAAAATTCTTACTCGATGCCTCTAACGAAATAGTCGCTGCATCCCCACGCGCTAACTTCTGTCACTTTTATCGTCATCCCTGCCGTCTCTTCAGCGAAAAAGTCTTTCATATGCAGAGGCTCTAGGCTGGGTAGATTGTATTCGGGAACACCTAGAATTATTTAAGGGATGTACTCTGCAGGTACCAAAATGGTATTCTCGAAATACCTTTGACGAGGAAAGGTCTGATTTCTTCGACCGCTGCTATCAGGCACGGGATCAAATTGGGATCATTACGGTGACATACGTGGAGAAAAGAGGCTGAAAATATCCGATGTATAACAAGAAAACTAGATAATGTATCAAATCAAAGTAATTATTTAAATAACTCGTGACCACATTACACGTCCTGAATTTATTATTTAATTAAATTTTCCCGAAATATTCAAAAATTCTTGCAATATTGATTTAATATATTGCAAAGACAAAACACAGGAATCCGGAAATCCTGTGGTGGGAAAAAGCGATAATATCAATACTTTTTTTTTTAATTTTGCGTGTCCAAAACTAGGACAACACAATTACAAAAAGTCAAGTAGACCAAATGGAGTCAAAACAGTAAAACGTTCGACCGATCCTATTTATTGGAAGGAGCAATTTAAATTTGCTGTTACTGTACCTTTGAATGCCTTGAATAATCCTTCAAATTCTTGAAAAGAAAATGCGGAAATATGGGTACAGCAGTATTAAAAGAATTTCTTTATAAGGTAACTAGGGATCTGAAAGTTAGTGGACAATGGAAGTTCTAGAGGTGAACTATGAAATATTTAAGTCAGACGACATGGAAGATCATGAGATGAATGTTAAATATTAAAATTTTAATTTTGCCCCTGAGATGACGACGAAACCGTATATTATGTTAACAAGGAATATGTAATTACAAACATTGATAGGGTTAAATAAAGAAATAGTAAAAGTTAAGATATTAGTTTTTCGAAAAATAGGTTGTTACATGAAATATCAAAAAAATGTGGCCGATATTTGCTGGACATGATTGAAATAATCTAAGCAAAAAAATCTTATTACGAGTTATTTTGCAAGAAAAAAATGTCTTAACATTAAACCCTTAATACATACTGCACAAAATTAGTTTTTCTATAACTTTTATCAGACAAGAAAATAAATTGAGAAAAAATTTGTAAAAAATCAAAATTTCAACGTGATAGAAAACAAAGCGTTTGTTGTGTTAAAGTGTAATTAATTAAAATTTTTCTTTGGAAAAATCAACCACCTTGTTTACGAGAATGATTTTTGCTTTTTGTTAGAGAATCAAGATACTTTAAATCAACGATAATCGTTCCAGGTATATTGTTGTACGATTTTTGTGCAGAAAAATTACAATTTGCCATCACATATGGTATTTTGTTTTGTTGTTTATTTCGGTTTTTCGTCGTTTGATACAAGAATTATTTGTTATTGCTGTTGAACACTTTAGAAGAATCACTTACGTAATTCATCCGCAAACGCTCCACATCTGATCCGATACACCAAAAATACGAATATAATACTGACGAACCGCATTGCGTACAAGAGATCGCAAGAGATCGGCTATTCGCGATGACATTTTCCCAGTTTTCGGCGTCGTTTATATAAATTTTACGGTAGAAATGTTTCGCACGCAATTTCCTGATAACGCTATCAATTTTCGCAATTAACGTTCCCTATTATTGGAAACAGACATTTAGTCTTTTAATGACTCTTAACATGTTAACCTCCATTAATGTTGATCTTACTCTATCTAGTTATCGGCTATTTACAGATATTTTCCTGTTTATTATTTAAAAAAAATAGGAATTTATTTTGAACGTTTTAACAACATCCCCGCAAAAAAATAAAAAAATTGTACAAAGAGCTCATCAAGAGGTCTTTATGAGTTATGTTTTTATAATTTTAACAGATTTATGCGATTTTTCGAATAAAACGAGACAGTTTGATCATGATTTTTGAGTCAAGAAAGTTTCTTAGTCATCTATTATCTATTATCTATTATCTTTAATTATTTATTTTTACAATATTTCAAGTGAATAATGGAAAATGTGTATGCTATAATCCTGGTACATATTTCATGTGCTGTTTGCAGTTCCTAAAGTAAAACTACATTTTCCTTATAATTGTTTGCAAGAGTTCTTAATTCTCAATTTTCAATTTAATTTAGTGTTCAAGGAAATTCTAGAAGGCGACGTTAAGGAATTATTATAATGTAATAAATTTAATTTTTCCCTAGAGAACGACGGGATAGAGACTACCAGTTGAAACGACGATAATAGCAAAATATCACGGGTAAACACAATAAAAGGTCGATCAATTAAAAAAATTAATAAAAAACTGGTTTAATACTAAAAAGTTTTCTTTATCTATTAATCTAAGATGGTTGATTTGATTCAATCCACAATGATTTATTTTATAAGAGTTCAGAATTAGAAGCTAACTGAGTTCCTAAGTGATTTTTTTAAAATCTTTGTTATTTTTAACAGAGACCGAACGATAAGAGCAATAAAAATGTTTGTAATTAACATAGATCTGCGCGGAATATATTTTCTAAGCATAAGTAGTGTTTATTGAACTAATTGTGAATAGCATCTAAATGCAAAAAAATTCGTCTAACAAAACATATGTTTACATTGAATGGATATACAAGTAATGAGCGATATCCGTGTATTATCCTACGAATAATAATACATTTGATAAAGTGCCATACAAAAATTGTTGGGTAAGTATACGTTTGAAGACATACAGCTTGTCGTGCGGCATTGTTAATGATATTTTTTATTGAAAACTTTGACTTCAGAGAAATAACAAAAAAATGCACATGGTTTTTCATTTATTGGCAATCTCTTGATCCAATCAATTAATATCTTGGTTATATCATAAACTATAAATCCTAATTGATTGAGCCAATAATTTTTTCTAAGATTATAGTTGGAATTTCTTGTATGTGCTGATAGATGCGAACTAAAACGAATTTCCAAAATTCCAACAGGAATAAATGTCGAGTGAACTAACATTGAAGTGGTGCATGAAATGGGGGAGGGTATAAGAAGAGTATGTATATCGCTACAGTTTTGCATATTTTGTAAATAGGATATTATATGCTATATATTTACTATTTTTACTATTTACATATCGTTTTTTGATTTACTTAACGAACTCAGTTAAGCTAAAGATGTAAATTTTCGAGTTTTTTCGAAGTACCTTTTAAATAACTGGACTAGCGTATATTTGGACTTTTCGTCTGATTATAAAAAAACATATTTTGGAAACATTTAATGAAAAATTCAATCAAATATGGCGAATGGGTTTTTGATTTTTTTTTTATTTACACGTTTTAAGTCATAAACAAAGACGCCGGATTTATATTTATTAGAACATATGTATATGTAGTTAGTCCTAGCTATGTTATAAATATTTGCATGCAGGGGAAGACTTCAAAGGATTCAGTTTTCACTTTATAAGATTGGCGATTTAATTAAAACGGTATGTACATAAACAAAGACGATTTAGCACACAATTCTATCTTTAACCATCATATACTTCGTTTGTTTGAATAAAATTATTTTCCGAAAGGTTCAGATCTTTTAATTTAATTTTTATTACTATCAAAATTTTATTTTCTAGGAACTTTCATTTCTTGTCTTTCTCGCTTTGAATTATTTTTGTTCAGTTTAGTAATTTTACTTGCTTACTCTTAATTGAAAAATGTCCATATAAACATATCTCCCAAGTGGGTTCATTTCCGTGAGGCTGGTTGTTCGAATTTCGACGAAAAGGTAAATCCAAAAAGGAGTGAGAGCTCATAATAATGCTTACTTGGCATTAAATTTACATTTGGTTCCAAAAAGCTTCAGTCGAAACCTATATTAGCACTAGTTTAAATTAATATTCACAAGTGTAAAATTATCACGAAAAAAATGTTCTTAGAAAACCTTGTTTTGTAGCGACAAAGCAATCTTTTTTTCTGAATTAATTGATCCAACTTGTAGTTTACTATTGTACTCATTGTTATTATGTAGTTTTTATGGTTCATATTATTGTTATTAACAAAATATTGAGTCCACTAGGAAGAGAACAAGTTCGACCCAGCAAAAACCGACGCAGAAGTTTTTGTAAAAAGTACACCAGATACTGTTGCAGCCCAAAATTTAGAATTAAATTAACAATAACATTTGGAGTGAGACTGGGGATAATAAAGGACAAGGAACAATCTAAGTAAATAAATAGGTAAATGAAATCTTGCTAGTATGCGTCCAAAATGCAATTTTTGTATTCAGGGCCAATGGCTTCAGAGAAAAGTCTATTAAGATTGTTTAATTATATTTACAATTTGGTGTGAGAGGGACCTTTTCAAATGCTCTTTTCGTTGCTGTGGCACAGTAAGTCCACAATCTAATTTTGTAGTACAGAAAACACCCCGTGAACATATGAATATTATCTAGACAAGGCATGAATATGCTGTTACAATGATTAAAATGTTATAGTACTGCAGTAATGCAAAGAAGCCGTTTAGAATCCTGTGACGACTTCCATAAATTAATTTTATATTACTGTATTGCAAACTTTAACTTGCTGGTAACTTGCTCTCTCTATTTTTGCTGGGAGTCTAGAGTAAATCCAAAATTTTTGCTGCTGCAAAAAGAAAAAGAAAAGAAAAGTACAGTTGCATATCATGGCATAACGATCATGATACAAAATTTTAATGATATGTATGTATGTATACCTGGATGTAAAAATCGCTACTTGACAACTGGCTCATGTTAATTTTAACATTGTTGGAAATTCAATGCTTTTTGTGAATTCGAAATGGCTGCTATCCTCTGGATATAAAAGAGAACAAAATATGACATTATGCAAGCTGGATTTCTTGACACGTTTTGTAAATGATATTCACTTACCGCCTTTTTATGATAAGAATATTAGCTATGGAGGAATAATATTTCGTGATTAGGTCAGTGCAAATTTTATGCACTAAAAGCGAAGCCGTTTTAACGGCAAATCAAAATTTAACTTTTCCACAACTTTTTGTATGGAACGACCAATTTGTTGCGCAATATGTGATATTTTGTGCATTAATGCCAATTATAACCCAATTAGGTTGTAAACAACCGCTTTTTGCTACCGATTTTTCTAATTAAAGAGGCGTTTTAGTTGATTAGGAGAGTTTCTGGTGACTTTTGCCCGTTGATTTGGACCTTCGGACAATTAAAACCCACAAGCTATAAAAACAACAAAATTGTCTATGTCCTCCCCACACACGAGTAGATATGTTTTGGGTGAAGACAATTTCCGTGTTCACTTGGATTTTGGCGGTGGACTGTACCATACGTAAGCATTTGAAGATTAATTCGTTAAAGTAGAGCTATAATTGCTCGAATTTGCAGCTTCCTATATTAAGGTGTGCAGCAAAAACGATCCTCACATAGATGTTTGTATCAAAGAATCTATCAGTTATTTGAGGCCCCAATTAGCAAGCGGTATTCCAGAATTAGATGTACCGAGTCTCGAGCCGTTGGTCATCGATCATTTCCAAGTTAACAGTGGGAGGGACCAGGCTAGGATTAATCTGGGAGTGAATGATGTGAAAATATGGGGTGCATCAAAATTCGACATTACGGAGGTGAAGTAAGTTTGAAGATTACCTTCGTCGTCCAATGAATTTTGTGTCTACTTTTCTACAATTTTATAGGTTACTACTTAATTCTAGAATAAATATTTGTTTTTTTGACATGGCACCCTGTGTAATATTTAAAAATTCATTACAATTGTTACAAGCTTCTCAGAAATGTACAGGGTGGATTAACGGATGAGATTACTCGTTAGTATAATATTTATACAGGATAGTGTAACGGCACACCACAATGAGATTTTTTTAAATTAATTAAGCTCGCAGGTCCCCGGGCGTGTTAAGGTCCACCATAAACAAAAATGTTGCTAAAAATAATTATTTAAATTAAAACATCAAACGAGTATTTTTATTTAAAACAGTTCTCTTGTAAAAATAATTTGTAACAAAACATGAAACAGGTTTTCTTTAAAAAAAAACGTAAACTCGTTATTGGGCCTTATTTCCAATCATAGAGGGTAATAAGGCCCCTATCTTCTGTTTAAATTTTGTTAAATCAAAACTGCAAAATACGCAAAAAAATAAATAAAAACGCAAATAATCCTATATTGTATATTGTACTATCATCACAATAAACGGTTTGCTAAAATTTTTGAACTTTCTTTTTCATTTTAAGAGTGGATGAAGCCCAACTCTCTTTTTTCGTAAAGGTGTTAATACCTCACCTTTACTTCGAAGCGACTTATGATCTCGATATGCAAATGTTGGTACTGTCCTACAAAGGAAAGGGTCCTATGTCTGGCAATCTGAGTAAGTATGCTAAGCATGATAATATCTAAAACAAAAATTTCAAAATATCGTTCCCCAACGGTTTCGATCTTGTAATTCAGAACGGCAAAAATAAAATTTGTACTTGGTTATTGATATTTGGATTTAAATAATCGTAACTTATATATTTTTCAGCCGATATGGTGCTAACATTTCAATTGAACGGCGAAATAATTAACAAAAATGGCGTCCAATACTTGCACTTTCCCAGAGTAAAAAACGGCATGACCCTTGGAAAGATCGAAATGTCTTTTGGTGATGAAAAATTCAAATCCGAGGTTTTGGGCAAGGGCATCAACCAGGTGCTGATGGAGAACGGCGATATGATCGCTGAGCAGTTTGCTCCTGGTCTGGCCGAAGCTTGTGAAGGACTTTTTACGGATATAGGAAATCATATCACCGAAGCTTTTCCATACGAAGAGCTGTTTCCGCTTTAGCCCTTAACCTAACGAAAATAACCTCACAAAATTCTCTTAAATATTGTACCTCATAATATATTATCACCAGACAGAAAATAATTAATGAAATTATATTTTGGATTAAAACAGCATTGGGAGCTCTAGAAAAAAGATCAAAATTAATCATCATGTTTTATATAATACCTGTTTTATATAATACCTACCTAATTCCTACATAACCAGTAATTAGGTACTCAAGTAAGTACTAAAAGTACTAAATATGACTGGAATTTCACATTAAAACAAACTTTTCAAATCCCCTATCATACGGTGCTGTAGAATATATTTTAAATATTAATATTATCAATAATAAATATTATTTCAAATACTAAAATCCTTTTAATCATGTTACTACTTTTCCGAAAGTCTTAAGCTGATAATTGGTTGCATGCTTCGAATATTTTTACTAGGTTATCAGATCCAAAGTGAAATCGTTTTATTTTCTCATTTAACAACATTTAACCATTGTTAAGAAGAAAACATTTATCCCAAGTTACCAATTATTTTTTATTATTATTTTTGTCCGTTTGTCTCGTTCGCTTTGCTCGTTTCGCCAATACGTTACTTACTAGTAGTTACAAATATTGCAATTATTTTGTTCAATTTTTTTATTTTAAAAATTTTGTGGACCTACGGTGAATGTGCCATATAAGAAAAGAGATTGAAATTCATTTTGATGTGTGAGCAAAACTGGATTACAAAGTTCCATTATAAGAAAAGCAAAGCCAACAGTAAAACTCTGGCTAAAAATTTGATTCGATTTAATCCAAATTAATTTTTTTGTTTTACTCTTATTAATGAAATATGCTATTGGAAAGATACGAATAAAGAGTGCATGAAAAACGATTGTTTGTTGAGTAAGTTATTTATTCACAAAGACAATTTCTTTAATATGAACCATATAAATATATAATATATATACCTGGAGGTTTTTGAACATACGGAATTTAAAAATACTAACGGCAATGTTGTAAAATTTCTGGACCATATTTTGAATTCTGGGATGTTAAGAATTTTTTAATTTACGATGATTAATATGACAACACTGTTGTACTCAGTTTTGAATTTTGTCTTTCAAAAATTCCCAAATATTGAATTTCCAACTTTCCAGTTATGAAATTATTTAAGCGTTACTAACCCGGTTTAAAATGACCCTTTGGCAATCGAACTATTTTAGACAGTATTTTCTAATTTCTTTAATTTTTCCTATCCCAATGTATTTGTGAATTACCTTTTTTCTCACCCTGTATATTAAAGGTAATCATAAACAAAAGGACAGCTAAGCTAAGGAAATATATAGGTAACTACCTCACAAATAGATATATCGATTAAACTAAATTTTGCACCAAATTTTTTATATTTATCCTTTTGCAGAATTATTTTTACTCTTTGAAAAATTGTCTGTAATAACTATATTTGTAATTAATAAATAACTTCTGATGACAATACTTTTGTTTGCGTATTTGCGACGCTTTGAAATTTAAATTGTTCTTATCTTTTATGTATTATCACATACCTCAGCTATGCACATAACTTTAGTCGCGCGTGTGTATTTTACCAAGTGCAAAGACTTAATCGGCTCGTGCATAACAAAAGTGGGGTGGTCAAGAAAAACATCCAAAATCCATGAGATCAAGTTAGCAGTGAACCAAGCAAGGCCGACAAGTCGGCACCGATAGCCCGATATAAAAATCAATAAAATCCAAATATTGCTTCAATTCGTACAACCAGTTTCCAATTACCAAAATTATGAAAGTGATTTTGACGATTTTCGTTGTGCTTTCTGTGGCGTATTGTGGACTTCGTAAGTACATACTTATTATAAATAAATTATTAATTTTTTGCATGTCAAAATATGTTATTATAAAATGTTATGGGTGGTTTGTAAAAAAAATTATGTTTAGTAATAGTATTTTCACTTGTGGCTCATATGCACTTGATTTTTTGTTATTGTTTTTTGAGAGTTAGCACGTGGATATAGGAATATTGCTATTATAAAACGCAACATTATTTTAAAAAATTATATAATAATTTATTTTGTACTGATAGAGCTCTACTAATATTAAAAAAATAATATTTGCTTTAATTAAGTAATCATTAATTTATAATTTTTTCCAAATATTAGTACTAGTTTAATCAGTGTACACTAATTTATTTAAGCCTGAATTTGATTGTAAATCCTTCCATTTAAAACGTCACATTCATATTGCGAGGAAATTTCCTTTTAATAAACTTGAAACGTAAAAAAAATTGTAGTAACTTAATGAATGAAATAAATAAAGCAAATAAATAGAACAAAACACAAAAAGTGACATGTTTCATATAAATTTTTCAACATTTTGGCATGCTTGACAAATGAACCAGTGTGAAAAAAATTTTGCCACCCACACATTGCGCACTAATAGGTATTAAATTAGGTATTTTTTTGTGTTAAATGATTTTTTTATTTTCAAAAATTTTCCGCAAAGCAAAGCAAAATGCGCCACAGAAAAACAGTTAAAAGTAATTTAAATTTATTTTGGGCATGCACCTCTAGAATAGGAACAGCAAAACGAATAGGAAAATTCTGTTCAGAGAATCTGATTTGGTTAGTTTGCAACTAAAAGGGGTTTTTGAATTCCTATTTGTCGAAAACCAAGAGATTCGATTTTAACCAAATTAGTGAAATAAAATAGTTTTTGGTTAGTTTGACACTTGCAACAAAATACTGCCTGTCAGTTATTTTATATTTTTCTTCTTATATTTCTGAATATTTTATTTATTCTTTACCGTAATTATTTGCGCATTTTGCAGCCCCATACTTAAAGATATGCAGCAATAAGGACCCTAATTTGAACAAATGTATAATAGATTCTATAGACCATATTCGTCCCAAACTTGTAACTGGAATCCCGGAGTTAAACGTTCCATCGATGGAACCACTCATTCTGAAATCGATACAGATTCGCAGTGGACCCAGCCAGGCTAAAATTGACGTTGATCTTACTAATTTAAAGGTTTGGGGACCGTCCACCATGAAAATTACGGATCTCAAGTACGTAATATTTAGACGCGACGGACTAATCACCTTACTTTATGGCGATGCTTGATTTGATTTCAGAGCGAACATACGCCAACACCACTTTAAATCAATAGGAATCATACCGAGCATATATTTTGAAGGAGATTACGTTTTGGATATGAACGTGCTCATTCTTAAATACAAAGGCAAAGGACTCATGAAGGGAAATATTAGTAAGATTTCTTTTTACTCATTTGTATGCTAGATACGAGTACAACGCATTAGTAAATTTATCGTGAGTGTAGACAATCGTCCGCAGTAAAAATTCTATGTTACCGGAAAATTCTGGAGATTCTGTAATCAGATCGAGTGTCGTTCGAAACAAGTGTTTTAAAAATGATAAAATATATGAAATTGTAATAATTTTTAGCTGATGCGTTTAAGCTCACAAGTTTCAGATTCTTCTTTTTATACGAATCCAAAAAGTGGGAGTTGATGTGTGATCACTAATTTTTGAGATATTTTAAAAACATTTTTTTAATTTTCAGCCGATTACACGTTCAATTGCGACATGAAAGGAGACGTATTCAAAAAAGGTGGCGAAGATTACCTACGATTTCGAAGGTTCAAAATCGATTTGAAAACCGGACCTAGTTTCTTACATCTCGGCGATTTGGATTTCAAAGACCCCGCCATAGCAAATGGCGTCAATGACGTGGTTAGAGAAAACTCGGATTTAATTCTTGAACAAACCACGCCGGAGCTGGCTAAAGCCTTGGAAGAAGCATTAACGGAAATTTCAAATCGTATCGTCGAATCCGCACCTTATCGGGAACTTTTTCCGGAAAAATGATGCGCGTTATGCAATGCACAATCTAAACAGTGATTGTTTTAAATCAAATTAGTGACTTCCGTCACTAAGTTTGCAAAAAAGAATCAAAATGCCTACTGATTGCGAAACATTTTTATTTTACTTTTCTGACGTTGGAATCAATGCAATCCAAGCAACAGGCCACCTCCTAATAAACCTCCATGACCGATAGCAATGCGACCTGGGGCTACAGCGGCACTCACCACACCTAAAAAATAATTACAAATGTGTTTTTTATGTTTTATTATGTTTAATTAGCTCACATTTTCCGATCTGGTTAAAACTCAATAAGTACAAGTTTTTTCAAACTAGTGCGATTTCAGCTACTGTAAGTGATATGACGACTTTGTGTTCTTTTTTGTGGTCATTGTGTTATTAAAAATGGTCAGTAATGAAGTAAACTTAAATATAACAAATTTTTGGTGCATCTTTTGAATTAGATGCATCTCCATCGACGCCAATTTTGCATGTTTATATCATAAAAATCATTCCGTATTCATTTTATCTGATTAGCTAACTCATCAGCTCATCCATTCTGCTAGAGGTCCATGAAATAAGAGGTACAAAGTTCGATGAGATTGCTTAAAATATTTTATAATTAATTTTTATAATTTTATAATCTCACTAATAATGTCTGATGTCAAAAAAGCATTAATAATATATTCTATATACTTCAATAAAAATATAACTTAAAAACATAAATACATGAAGTTATTTCATGATTTAAAGAAAACGAAATATCGTAAGAAATGTTTATCATGGATAAAGTAAATTTTCTTGTTGATCCAGGTATCAATATGAAAAAAAAAATTAATGGTTCAAGAAAAAAGAAACGTCAAAAACTTTATTTAGATTTTTCACAGGAATATATGATGTGAAACACCCGCGGATATATAATTGCTTCTTGAGCAGGAGGAAATATTTTTCATTCAAATCGCCTAACCCATTTCAGACAAGGACGTCGCGTTACCATGGCGATAATTTTCTCTCAAGTATTTTTATTACCTCCGGGGATAGGGGCGGCGTCCACGATCCCGGCTTGGGCGGCGGCAGCGATATGGCTGCCGTCAGGTCCCAAAAGGACTCCTTCGGCGGCGGGTCCTTTTATAAGAGCACCCGGATTACCTGGGCCAACCAAGGTAGCACGTCCACCCAAACCTAGGAGGCCTGCGTGACTATAAACTGCCAGGCTGGCTACCAGGCATGCTACGATCTACATTGCGGAAAAAATATTTAGGGTTATGGGAGCAATCGTTGTTACAGGATCTCCAATACGATGCAATTTCTTCAAGTAGGAATTATTATTTGTTTATTTGTTTGATATATTGATATATATTATATACAATATAATAAAAATGTATTACAAATATAAATAAATAAGTTTTTATTTATTTTCGGTATGATAATTTCCATGATCGACCTAAAGCTATTTGCAGACATCATTTCTGTAAAAAAATATCTTTTTATCTTTTTTCGTCTATGTTATAGCGAAAAGTTTTCTTGATAATTTGTTGTGAGAGCTGAATGGTCGATCAGACAACGAACCTCAAAGAACTTTAAGTTACCAACTGGCAAATAACAAATTACCAATTATTGCATTATTACTTTTACCAAATTAAAATAAAATCGGTGTTTTACTGTTTGATAATAAAAATTTGGGCATTTATCACAGTCGCGAAACATAGAAATACAACTTTTATAAAACTGGTTAAATTCATATCAGCAAAATATATAAAGAAAAGTTCAATAATTTTATGTGCTATTTTTTTGCAACTATATTAATAATTATATCATTTATTGCCCACATATCTTTATTCACTTTTAGTGCCAAATAGAAAATATCTTTTAGTTATTTGTTTATATTGATTTCGTGTTGGAAATTATACTTAATCTTACCACAGAGTTCATTTTGAGTCGATGGATTGGATACACCGCAAAGGCGAAAACTGAACTGATACAGTTTCCATCAAACACCCCTTCCTTATATATGTAACGAATCTTGAATTGACATACCCATAACCTTAACCTTCACTATATGTTATTGTCTTACGCCGCTTTGTGTCTTGTTGCAACATAGTGCAAACAGATGTTAGGTGGATACAGTGCACTACTTGTTTGTGTATTCGACAAAAAGTCGCTTGAATAATATACATTAATAAATATGTTTATCGTTTTTTCTATCAATTACTCATAACGGCAACAAGTTGTAGTTGCGGCTGGGCCAAATATCGATTCTTTTCGTGTATAACGAAGTCCAGCTTTATACTGTGGAGTAAACAAAATGTGGACCAACATTTTGGTTCCGCAAATTCTTATTTCTCAGAATCGAATTTAATAGAACACTCACCGGTTCAAACTAAAATTGATTATCGAGAACCGTTCAGTCTCTAGAGAGTGAAACATATCTGCAATGCAAAAACGTTACAAAACTTTTTTATTTCAATAAATAAATTAAATTTGGAAAAGCATTGCTCAAGCGATTTTTTATGCCAAACACCATAATATTGAAAGTCCTTATACAGGGAGTTTCGTGAGGCAGCTCCTCCCCTGGATTTTTTTCGATTTCATATGTGCCAGTGAGTTTTTCATGAATTTCGAACCTAAGAACTCGGGGGTCACAATCTCTTCAAATAAAATGTGTTCAAAAAGAAAACAGCAATAGGAACATGTATAATGACTATCGCGTTTTTATAGTTATGTTTTGAAGTGATAACAAATTGTGGATTGAATACGCTTATTCACAGCTTGGAGCGTTTTAAGTTCATGTGTTCTGTTTAACGACACAACACAGAAAAACGGCGTTTCAAACAGAGACAGTAGAAATTCAGAATATGAGAACTCACGAGATTTACATCTTACAAAGGTTTTATAAAGGATATGAAAAATAAACTATTGTAATTGCAATAATTTTTTGCCCCTACCACAAGGTTTTTTCTCCACTGAATGGGATCAGTGTTATAAAGAAATGATTTAAAAAAAAAATTATTTACTAAATGGGAAAAAAATCTTAAAAATTGTCACTGACCTAATAATATGGAAAAATTTTTATCGTGGACTTTGTTGAGGTCGAGTATTTTTCAAGGCTCTGTCGCGGACCATCTTTTGCTTATAAAACCGGTGTAGTATCGCGATGCCTGCTTATTTCGTCAACCGCCTAATCGGCGGCAAAGCAAAGAATTTGCGAACATGAACGCCTCTTGGCTTGTGTCCTTTTCCGGCGTTGTTGTCATTGTGATAGTTGTTTTGCCATCCATAGATGCGATTATACGTAAGTATTCTGCATTATATTTTGAAAGGATTTTGCATTGACAAGTTTGACACTTACGTCCCTTTTGTTGATGAAAGACGAAGAACTTTTTGATAGATATCGTTAATGATATTAACCATTATTTAGAAACCACTTGCAGAGCAAATTGTCGTAATAACAATGAACCATATAAACAAAATTACCATTAACCATTATTAAACCTATTGTATAGTATTAAATATAATGTATTGATGGCTACTTGAATATAACAAAAGATTAATTACTGCTCCGAGACAATAGAATATTGTTACTACGGTGCTGTTATGCACTAGTAAATCAATGTGTGATGACAATTTCCATAAGTATACTTTCCCAGCTCTCTATCTCTTATGATTTTTTTTTAAATATGCACATTGTAACAAAGACTCAAGTTCCGAACAAACAATATCAAACTACACGGTTTAGTATAATATTTAATAAATTTGCTAGTTTCCACTAATGATTGTAAGAATAAAAAATAACTATAAAAATGTACATACAAAAATTCAATTCATTTTTCTTTAGAGTTCATCAGAAAACTAAAATTAACCATTTTATTTTATAGAATAAATTCCACTGCCACAGTTTCAAAATTCTTTCACTAATCGGTTTAAAGCGCCTCATTAGAAAGTTGCGAGTCCCTAAGTACTATAAAATATTTCCAGTTTGAACTATAACTGTGTTCAAGAGCTCAATTTGTTAGATATTTCCCATAAATATTGTTAAACAATGCACCGCACGGCCTTTAAATTTAATTCGTAACGTAGGTTGATATTTTTTTTTCGTCATTTCGGGCGCCTTACGATGAGGCGCGCATAACTTATCGAGCTTCAATGTACAAATAAACAATAATCTTATAGCAATCCATCGTAAATAAGAAACACGGAAAGCGAATACTAATTTTTAGTCCGGTTTCAAGGAACTTTGTACATAATTTATTTAGCATTTGATGTTTTTTCAAAAATGCTAATTTTCACATCGAGGGAAATAGTAGCTTATATTTTTATTGGATTGAATAATGTATTTATGTTTGTAATTTTAAAAGTGCAGATAACTTATTTTGTCCATTACATGGATATTCGATGTAGAAGAGCAGTTATTCACTTTCATAAACCTTTATTTAAATTGTAAGAATCAATCAAGTTTTCAAAAAAATGGCATAAATTATAAGTCCGCTTTGTATACGCAAACAATTTTTTTGGTAGCAAATAGCCTTGGCACCCGCTAAAAATATATTATTATTGTTATGGTCTTTAGTGTAATTTACAGTTCAATTTTTATTTTCAGTTAATAAAAATTTTAATCTAACAAATACATTTTTATTCTATTGCGGTCTGATGTGGTTTTACTCCTCAATAATTATTGAAGTTTTAGAAAAAAGTGTCGTTATTTCATTAAAATTCCCAAAGAAACCTGCACAGAATACCTTAATAAAATTTACCTTGGAATTTTGTTAATAGAACCATTAAATTGTGGCACGTATCATTTTGCTTGCTTTTATGAGGAGTAATGTATTTTATTAAACTTAATTTATCGTGATTCTTTGTTGAATTGTCTCATTGGCGCTTGGCGGTTTGGCGGTGCTATGAAACAGAGACGCATGATATATATTTTTTTAAGTATTGATTCACGGATGGAAAAATGTGATGACACTATATTCCGGGATATCATCCGTTCGCTTGTTGAACTCCGACTGGAATCCGCGCTCCGAAAACAGTGTTCGAAGTGTTTTCGGAGCGCGAGCATTGAAGATGCCAAGTGAGATTTTGGCGAAACGTCTGCAGGATTCCAGTCGGAGTTCAACAAGCGAACGGATGATATCCCGGAATATAGTGTCATATATATATATATATATATATATATATATATATATATATATATATATATATATATATATATATATATATATATATATATATATATATATATATATATATATATATATATATATATATATATATATATATATATATATATATATATATATATATATATATATATATATATATATATATATATATATATATATATATATATATATATATATATATATATATATATATATATATATATATATATATATATTGAATTGTGAAATTACCGGAATAATTATTGAGGACTAAAACCACATCAGACCGCAATAGAATAAAAATGTATTTGTTAGATTAAAATTTTTATTAACTGAAAATACAAATTGAATTGAATAGAGATATATTCTTTATAATTTTGAAACTTCAATAGAACATTGCAATCGTTAAAAACGCTATTTGAAAAAAAAAAGCCTTAATAGACCCTTTTGTAAATACACCAATGCTTACCGTATAGTCAATGATCTGGATCTTATAATCCAGGTATGCAAAAGAAAATATTTTATTAGAAGTGTGCAACCAATTTGCTTTAATAAATGGGTTGCTTGAGCACACTATTTAGTTGCCACTTGTGATTTAACTTTGCTCACTATTTCAAGTTGAATTTCATTCAATTATTCATTGCTGCATAACACAAAATATTTGTATACTATATGTTTAGCCTAGTTTTAAACTTGTATACACCGATTTGAAATTTATGTATATGGCTATTATGAAATATTTTGTGCCGCCCCGTATACAACACAAAGTTGTTTGTGTTGACTTAAAGACTCATTAAATAAAAAATTAAACCGAACAAACCGGAATGGAGACATAAGTTGCGCGGCCTTTATCATGTTTTTTTTATATGTGTAGTTCACCTTTTGTTATAGTGTTGATTGCATTTTAAATTTTACTAAATATAAGGCAATTAGAGATGCATCACACTGAGGTGTATTTCTTTAATAAAGCTCATATGTGAACAATTTTGACTGTTTTTTAATTTAAACTTTTTGATGTGGGTATCGTACATTGAACATTGATTTAGAATTCTTGGAATTCGCAGCCAAATCTGTTTGCGTCTTTTAAAAGTAATAGCCATTTTCCAATGTTCTGCGCCTGTATTTTTTTAAATAACACTTTTAATAACATAATAATAATAATATTACTGTCTTTACTTGAACAATATGATGGGTCAAAGTTATTTCAAAGAAATAAATGGTCCAAGTTTAGTACAAGTCTATCTGGTTACTCTACTGAAAAAAACAGACACAAACATCGTTTAACAATACTACGTTAATTATATAAAAATTTTATCTAGAGAAATTCCTGTAATTATGCCTGTGGAAATAAGTTAAGCAAAAATAAATTATATACATTTATATACACTGTAGTTACTTTTAGGTTATAACATTGAAGGAGAATTAATTGGTTCGATAATGTTTTGAACTCAGTGATATATATATACATAGGCACTATATTTGTTATTTTAGTTTAAGCCATTTAATGGAGATTTAAAAGATATTTTAACATTTTATTTTGAAATTATGTAATGAGATGTAAAGGAACTGGTTGGGAAATGAGTTTAAATACTTTATTGTGTATTAATATGAGCGCTGAAAGATTGCAGGGTTATGACGTGGCATATTTAGTTTGGCATTATTTCTAATATTAATATTGTAGACAGTGTTACCAAATATTAAACATTTATTACACGAAACAAAAATGTCAAGAAATGTAGGACTTTACGCTCATTTATTTTGAGCCATAAACGACGTGCGTATTGTACTATCTGAACACGCTTCTTATGTTCCTGATCCGACAAAAACACAAACGCAAACCGCGTTTCAATTGTTTACTTAAAATATATCTATTATTATATAAAACCTTCATTTAGGCAAAGGATTTTTTGAATATTTTTTTAGGTGTTCTTTCAATCTAAGTTGCTGTCTAAGATAATTCCCAGATTCTTGGCACAATCTTTTAAATTTAATTTTGTTGCTGATCACTATATTTAATTTGTTCTTTGGGAAGTTAATATTCATGTCATTCGCAAACACCGAAACACATGATTCACTTGGATTAAATTTTAAGTCGTGGTCTTCAGACATCTGATTTTGTTTGAACTCGTTTTAGAATGTTGAAGAGTGTGTTTTATTGAAATTAAGGAAATAGTAAAAATAGTAAAGCAGAAAAAAACTATAAAGATTCAATTTCTTTCAGCGTCTTATATAAAGGTCTGCAGAAAAAGCGATCCCAATATCGGAAAATGTATCATCGAATCGATAGACAAACTTCGTCCGAAATTAAGGGATGGAATTCCAGAATTAAAGGTGCCAAGCATAGAGCCCCTGCCGTTGGATGAAATCAAGTTGAGGAGTGGGCCCAATCAGGCTAAAATAGACGCCAACATCACAAACGTCAAAGTGTGGGGTCCGTCGCATTTTCAAATCATTGATCTTAAGTGAGTATATTAGAATTCTTATTGAGCATGTTTTGGCCTGCGGCCACTTAAAACTTGGAATTGAAACTTCAATTTAATAAAGTGCATTGTTTCAGGCCCAACCTAGCCAAGAATAAATTTGTAGTGAGGGTGACTCTGCCCAATTTGTACTTTGAAGGGGATTACGATATAGACATGAACGTACTAATCTTGAAATACCAAGGACGAGGTCCCATCACTGGAAATTTTAGTAAGTACAATGAGTTTTAAAATGTATTAATTTAAATTAGACTTGCCACTCCTTTCTCAATGGAAAGTGTTCTATAATGTGGAGGAGATGATGAAATTAACAAATCTGCCATGATTTTAGTATTTGCGTTTAATATTTTTAATGAGGTTACCTGTATCGAATTGCCAACAATTTAAAAATAAAGAAAACAACTATATATTTCGAAAGCGTACAATATTCCCAATCAAAATTTTAAAAAATACACATTGCATTCCACTAAAAAAAGTGGGATTCCATAAATTTTTGGTCTACATTGAAAAGGTGCCGGTTATTTTTTTGTAGAAAATATTCAAGTTCATATAATGCTGCACGTTCTTGTTAATTCAAGCAAATTCCTGTAAAGTCTTCTTTCTGCTGATTGTCAGTACGTTTGATTCAGCCAACCGGAAAACCACCACCTCACGATAACGCGAGTGCGGTTGGTCTAGTCATTAGTAAATTGTCATTAGTAAATTGGATTCCTTTCGCATTATTTTGAACCTCGCTGTACCCGGGTACAAAAGTATGCGCCCTCACTTCCCTCAACATTTTGGTCAATTGCAGAAATCAAGTTGATATTTCCAATTGTTCAAACAATAGGGGCGATGACCTTAATTGTCTGGTTTACTGGTTTTAAGGTTCGTAACGATAATAATTGCCATATCCGTTTTTTAGCTGACTACAACTTCGACTGCATAATGAAAGGCGACATTGTGAAAAAAGATGGAAAACAACACTTGCACTTCCGAAAATTCGGCTTAAAGCTGTCGATAGGAAAAAGCCATCTGCATCTGGGTAATTTGTTCTCCGATGACGCGGTTCTTGGTAGGGCGACGAACGAAGTGGTTAGAGATAATGCGGATTTATTTGTTAACGAAATAAAGCCCGTTTTGGAGAATTCCCTAGCCCAAAAATTTACCGATATCGCCAATAGTATTACTAGCACATTTGCATATGAGGAACTGTTTCCTACGACATAAAATGATTTAAATGGCTATAATTGTTTTATTTTGTTATTTGTTATTAGTTTTTTTCCAATTCGACTGGCAAGTGAAGAAACTACATTAATTTCGGCACAAACGAGGAATGCGCACAGACGTCTGATCGACGTTAGTAAGTGAATGTCAAAAACTCAAAAATAAAATATATTATAAACCCCCCCCCCACCCTCAAAGGCTAAATAAGATTGAACAAAACTAAAAGTATAATATTATCTAGCAAGCAACAAATTAAATTGAATATTACTACATTATTTTATTCAATCATTAATACGGCTTGTTCAAAATTCCTGATAATATGGCGGGTGCGCGGGCCCAATCAAATATTGAATTGTCTAATTCCAACCGTTTTGAAAATCAAACTTACAAATTTTTACTATTTTGAATATTACGGGGTAGTTTTCATATTTGTTAAATTGAGGCCTAAGTAAATAAATAAGAAACAAAAGTTCAGATTTTCACGAAATTATACATTTTCGCAATACAATTGGTAATATTTAAAAACTACCTGCTACTATATATACCGAAAAATGACAATAAAACCTTAATTAACGTTGTTGTGAGAATTTTTCTCACATTGTTAATCTTCATGGCTTCCAATAAATTTAATTTTCTACTTTTCGTGGCTGTATATAAAATATCAAAATTGTCGTCAAAAATGTCTTCTTCTGTGGTTAAGTGTGTAGCATAATTAGAATCTAGAGTATTGTTTTTAAATGCTCTTTTATGTTCGTTAATGCGTTTCTTGAAGAATCTACCTGTTTGTCCAATACAAACAAATTGTCATCTGAAAATATATAATTTCGTGAAAATCTGAACTTTTAGTTCTTATTTATTTTGTTAAATGCATTTTCATCAAGTAAAAGCCACCTCAGCCTAAGCAAATTTTCAAACTTGGAAATTTTTATAACTAGGGCCCAAATTTGTTATAGCAACAAGATACATTTTGTTCAAACCCAAGGTTTGATTTCCTTCGAGTGTCAACCAAACTAAAAAAGGACAGATAATTTTTTTTTGAAGAATTATAATTTCCAAAACATTAAATATGTTATTTTGTGCAGATTAATTCAAATTTCGCAAGAAACTGTCGACATAGCACTCACATTTTCTGTAACGGTATATTACATTTTTACTTACAATTAGGATATAAAAAACTTAATATCAGCAGCCTCTGCTAAGGTAATACACAAAGAATCGAATATTGCTCATTAAGTAAAAAGTTTTTTTACCTTAGTTTAGAATAAATATAAGCAATTAAATATAAATTTCCTGCCCCCCCCCATCCAAAAGCAAAAGCTTTAACAATTGACAAATTGCAACAACAAAGTAACAAGTTTTAATACTTCATTACTGAAACCACTTACGCAATAACTTGCTTATTAGTGATTACTAAACTGTAAACATGTAAAAAGTATTAAAGCTTAATTAACTCTTGCACCAAGAAAAACATGAGACGATTATATTGAATTTGTCCCCTAATAAAAATATCAATAGGAACCGAGAATCTGGTATAACTCAAAAATGTAAAACACAGAAAAAAGTATCGAACAGCTGAGTCTGGGTACATTTTCAAATGTTTGTCAGCAAACATATTGGGGCCGACCTGTCTTTTTTTGCTAAGTAATCCAAATGCACTGCAACGTTGCTACTCATCATTATTTCATCTTCGATTTAAGCGACAGAAAATCATACTAAAAAATTTATTTTTTATTATACTTATTGTGTTGTTATCCGTTTCAAGTATCGATATGCTATTTTCAAAGGAGCACAGTTCAACTCTATTTTTCTAAGGTTTTCAGATTATTTCATCATGATTTACTTTAAACAACCGAATTGGAAAACGTCTTTCTACCTAATATTAACGCGGCGTTACGTAATAAAAAAAATAGAGAGCTACGAGTTTCTTTGTTCTGGAAGAAATATTGTGGTCGGAAGCGGAAGGAACGGCGGCGATGGGCAATCAAGGCAGTTTGTAAAGAATGTTGCGGACGTTGACTTACAAAGGCTTTCACCAGACTGCGTTGAAGATTACACTATTTATACGCTATTTAGGGAGGGTTTAATTATATAGAATCATATTTGCCTTAAATAAATTACACGTTTAACTGCGACTGCTTGAAACGCGCAAACTCAAAAATCAAAGAGATAGAAACATTTATTCTCTCGCGTCGTATCATTTTATTTATAAATAATGTGCAGCAGGCTCAGTTACTAAAATTACATATTATTAAATATTTAGCTAGATGAGACAAAAACATCAAAAACGCATGTCAGAAACGAAAGAAACGCTGCCAGTCTTCCCGAGTGCCTGAGAGAGGCTGGACAATTTTGTTCATCCTAGATATTTAAATATATCATATTTTTATTTACCACTTTTTTGCGGTCCCTCGTAAAGTAAGTAACAAAACAAAAGACCCCATATTATCTTCGTTTGCGAAATCGAAAGTGGTGGAACCTCCAGTCTCGCTTTTTATGTCCGCACAGCCCGGTGACACTCCCAATCAGATCTGCAACTCAATTCGATATGAAGACTTATTTTGTGCCACTCTTACTTTTGGGTATTGCTAATGCCAAAGTTTTACGTAAGTATTATAGTTTAATTTTGATCATCGCTATTTACTTTTTTTTAGCATAAAATATTTGTGAAGAGATAAGTCTCGAAGAAGTAAATTACTTCAAACAATTTTTTTCCAAGTTTTAAAAAGTTGAATTTAGATTAGTTTCATGTTAAATGTCAGTTAATAAAATATTTATTTCTTGTATAAACTTGACAATACAAAAGCGTGTAAAACGCCATTTTAGAGACTTGTTTAATAGTCTGGAATTAAATGGTACCTTTTTACCAATCTACCATCTAAATTTTACCGTTTTAACGATAATTAGTATATTATGTGAAAACTTATTACATTTTTTGACTAATCATTATCAATTGGCAATAATTTTCGGCAATTGTTTCAACCTAATATTTCTTCATATTGTCTAATGAAATTGCAACGACAATCTTTTTTTTAGAAAAGAAAAATTATTCAATCTTTTCTTCAAAAGCTGCTAGATTTATGAATAAAACATGCTTAATAATATGTGACTAAAATATATTACTACATAACAATTTTGTTATATATCATGTAACTTAAATGTGATTTGGAAAAAGAATTAAGATAAAATAAATTAAAAATAGTTTTAAGAAGATAAATATGTCAGGCGTAAAAAAATAAGAATATATTTTTTAGATTTTTTATCTTCTTCATGGAATTAATCAGTTTCCTTAACTAATTAATGCCGAAAGCAACTATGTATTTCGTCACTGCATAAAAACAAAAACTAATGTTTTTTATCTTTAACCATAACTAAGAACCTGTTTCACAAATTACGTCGCATACTTGAAACAGAATTTTTCATCAGTTTTAATTGCCAAGACGGTTCTTGCAAGGCTGCGCTTAAACGAACAATAATATACCGGCCGCTGAAGACGCCACAGTAAATATTACGTAAAAATCCGAAGCTAATTTTTACGCAACATTTTTTAACTTTCACCGCCAATATTAGCAAGTTGCTGACATTGTTATTTTACTGGCGAATGCATTTCGGTCTATCATTTAGCTTTTCTTTAAACCAATGATCTATTCTAATTATTTACAACGTATTAAATTTGGAACATATACAATATACGAATTTTGTGTGTCAAGGAGACGCCAAATGAAAATGCAATGGTTAAAACTGCAATTAGGAAAATAATAGGTTTTGAAAACTGAACTTTGACGTATTATGTTTGGTTAGGTAGTTCATTAACAATGCTTACTTACTAAACTAACCAAAACTAAAAAAACTAAATTTGATGCTTCTCTTTGAATTTGATATATTCTAATTAATTTTATTTCAATAATAATAATTTCCAATATAGTTTCCTGTTTTTGGAGAAGGAGTAAAAATATATATTTAAGTTGTCACGATTGGAATATTATGTTATATTATATATTATTATTATCTACGTATTGTACATATATGAATACATAAATGAAGTTTTATTTTAACATGTAACCATTTTATTGAGGTCTTATTGTTTTTTCTTTATTTAATATAGTGAAAAGTTATTATAGGGTCTATAAGATATTCAAAATTATTTGAGTTTCGAATGGAATTTTAATAAAAACTTTGTTAATTTACAAGTAATAAATTAAAACTATCAAATAAATGCAAACGGTTTAATAAACGTGTTAAATTTTCACTACTACTACTATAAGACAATAGGTATGTAACTAAAAGTGCCTCTAACAAACTTACAATTTAAAAGGCAATTTGATATATTCTAATTAATTTTATTTCAATAATAATAATTTCCAATACAGTTTCCTGTTTTTGGAGGAGGAGTAAAAATATACATTTAAGTTGTCACCATTGGAATATTATGTTATATTATATATTATTATTATCTACGTATTGTACATATATGAATACATAAATGAAGTTTTATTTTCACATGTAACCATTTTATTGAGGTCTTATTGTTTTTTCTTTATTTAATATAGTAAAAAGTTATTATAGGGTCTATAAGATATTCAAAATTATTTGAGTTTCGAATGGAATTTTAATAAAAACTTTGTTAGTTTAAAAGTAGTAAATTAAAACTATCAAATAAATGGAAACGGTTTAATAGACGTGTTTAATTTGGCACTACTACTACTATAAGACTATAGGTATGTAACTAAAAGTGCCTATAACAAACTTACAATTTAAAAGGCAAACCAAAAACAACTGCAAACATTTTTTTCAATGACTCTTAAATTTTTAATAAATATCAATATTGATATTTCAAAAATTTTCGAAATTCGAAAGGCTAGCAGATTTTAATAAAAGTTTTTGTTTAGTTTTGATTAAAAGAAGACATAATAAAATGTTCCTTTCTTTCAACATGAACAACAAAATTAATTTTATTTAAACTAAAATGGTCTAAAATATTTTCAGCCGATTACCTGAAACCGTTTGTCTGCCACAAATCCGATCCGGAATATGAAAAATGTGTGCTGAATGGTTTTGAAAATGCTCGTCCTTATTTCCTGAAGGGAATTCCCGAAATGAGTTTCCCTCCATTAGACCCATTTGAGCTCCCGCTTATGACCGTCAACAGGACTTTGAACGACTTGATCGCCATTCAAGCAGTTTGCAGGAATATCAGAGTGTTGGGTGGAGCGAACACTGTAATCGACGGTGTCAAGTAAATTTTCTCCTACTTCTTGATGTCATTATGTATCTTTTATTTTCAGGGCGGATCCACTTAGCCATTCTGGCGAGATAAGGGTAACCATCCCTTGGAATTATTTGGAAATGGAGTACGAAGTGACCGGTCAACTCCTGGCCATTCCACTCAGGAGCAAAGGTTTCTTCAGAGGCAATTTTAGTAAGTGCTAATCCATCGTGTGCATGCTCAACACAAATATTAATATGATTTTGCAGCTGATACGCAAATTCACGTCAAAGGGTCATTAGAAACGTACCAAAAAGATGGCGTGGATTATTTCAGGGTCCAAAAACTCAACAGCAAAATCACTGTCGGGGATGGATACATTAAGCTAATATCGAAAAATCCAGATTTGCAGCTGGGCGGTGGGTATTGGTAGCTCTGCAAATTCGACCAATTCCCATTCACTGCACCAAACAAATAAGCAACAAATTAATTTCCCTATCTTTTTCTGATTTATCGGGGTTTGAATGAACTTTGTTTAACTTTAATCACGAAAAAAAAAAAATTCTTTCTGGAACTTGATAAACAGGCTAAAGTATAAAAAATGTTAGAACAAATTCTTCAATTTTGTATTTATATTTCTATTTTATTCTATTTATATTACAGGAAATCGTCAGTGTTGGAAAAAGTTTCAAATTTAATGATAATATATTACGTAATATTTAATTCCAAGTTTAGACAATTATTATAGGTTTTGCGCCAACAGACGAGATTCTGGAGTGGTTTAGAACAAATTCAACTCCTGCTCGTCATGTGACCACTATCCTAATTAACACTTTTCTTTAATTTTCAGTGTGAACTCTTGAGAAGGACGAATCTTCGCAGCAGTTTAATTGATTTGATTGAACTGACGTCATGGCTGTCTGGAGTTCATTTGATTTAAAACGAAAATCCATGACGTCAATTCATTCATTTTTGGTAAAAACACAAAAAAAAACTTTTCACAAAGTTGTGAGAATTTTGTACAAGCACATTTTGATCCCAAATCTATTTAATTAATGTATCATTCAGTATAACAAAACTAACGTGTATATTTTTTTTAGCCGATTTGATATCGTCTTTTTTCAACGAAAATCCCAGACGTGTAATGGACGCTGTCAACCCGATTTTTGTCGAAACATCCAACGAGCTATTCAGAGTTGTGGCCGATCAGATTTTGGCCAACCTGCCAGCGTCAGAATGGTTGCCGGCCTAACCAACATCAGCAACGGAAGTGTTCAATTAAAGTTGTTTATTTGGCCCATTCAATCAGTGAATCTTAGTTACCGCTGCTAGTCATAAAATGTTCAGCTTACAAATTGGGGGTTTGAGGAAGAAGTTTGGGGATTAAATTTTTGTAATAAAAAACTAAGAAATTTTATAATGTTTTTGTTAAATACATACAAGTTCATTCATCCGTAGCATTGCGAAAGATTCGCAACAGGTGCTGTGGTTGAATTATATCTAATTTGATGAATACCGATAATGTTATTTCTGATTACAAAACTGTTAAAAAAATAATATGCCCCTAGATTAGATAAAAGGAAAAATCAATCAGTTCTTTTACTAAGAATAAAGCTTGATGTAATTATCATTGCCAACAAGTCGATAACCTACTCCTAAATAAGCCAAGGATTTCCATTGAATTATGTTAAAGATGCTTCCTCCCATACAACTGAATACAAAGCAATAACTAAATCTTTAACATTTCAATAGTTATGAACGTAATAAAACTTAAGAGATTTATAACAATTTAAGATGATGTGAACCACAATCAACGGAGATAGCATTGTTTACATTTCAATGCGATGCAAATAGCTTGACGGGCAGAAACAATGCTGCCTTTGCTGGACATCACATGAAATTTTAACCGATACTATTCACAGAATAATATTTGTGTATTGAAAGGCATAGGTAAATAAGAAATTTAACTCAATATACCCCTAAAAAAAACAAATATTTAACAATAATGAATAAAGGAGAACAGCAATATAGGGGAGTTTTTAACATTGCTTTCAAATGCATATGCTTTTGCTATTTTTCATTTTATTTGTTAAGGTTAAGGTGTTTTTGGATATTGGATTTGGAATTACAAAGACTGATAGCAAAAATGCATCAATACTGTGCAGTTTGCGAAGAACTTTGCGTTTTGAATTCCGAAGTGTCATTTCAACTGCAAATAACCAAATGGAAGAAGACGTGTGCACTTATTTTCTTATTTTGCATACTTGTGCTTAGTATTATCTTAGTATTTTCAAAAAACATTCAAAGCATCGGTTATGTATTGTTTAATTTAGTTATTTATAATGTAACTAAACAAAATTAATCATTCATTTCTAGGCAACACTTCTTACATCACGCCCTTGCCTAAATGCCTATACTGCGACCACAACAAAGAGAATACAAAGGGAATTTTATGAATTAATTAGGCGGTGTCTTTTAGTTGAACGTCCGTGATAACAATTCAATTTAGAATTTTTAAACAAAGGAGAATAAAACTAATTTTATCCTAACCCATCAGCACTCAATACAAAGTAATCATTCTTTTGCTTATTCATTGATGTTTTCAGACGAAACGGTTAAGTCGGTTAAACGGACGAGTAAGAAGAAATCAATCAATTTACAATTAGATTCCTGATTGAAGAACCATCAGAATGGAACCAGAACTAATAGGTTATTTTTTTTATTTAAATCAAAAATTCGAGGCAGATATATAAAACATTCTTGGAGCGTTAATTGTTCTGTATAATTTGGTAGGTGCGTGTTTCGTTCAGCAGTCTATTTATTTATAAAATTGATATATTGATATGAGATACTTTTGCGTCATTAGCTCAAAACATCCTGCCATGCCTAAAAATTTTCCAAAAGAAAATAACCGTAGACTAGACTGACCACACGTAAAACAAAACTTGTTATTACCATAAATTTGAATCAAATCTCTCAAATATACCAGTTTCTACAAGGACCTTTAGAAAAAATTTCCGAAAATAAAGTGAGTCAGACATACGATCGATCGTTGCAGGATATCCTTGCGTTTAGGTCTGCAAAGGCAAGATATGTAATTATCGTATTCCTTTGGTCAGTGCAGTTCGTCGAGGATCTATTAAAAATCGTTCACCTACAAGAAGAACGTAATCCAATAAGAAAAGGCAAAGGATGTGAATGTCATGCGAAATTTTGTTTGAAAGAGATGACAACGGAAACATATATTGCCATTTTAACTACAATGTACCTTATTTTTGTCAAAGATTATTCCAAATTACATACAAGGTAGAACCATTATCAGTAAGTATAATAACATAATGTTAGAGAGGCAGGCAGAAAGTAGGACTGCGGACGAATACCCCGACTTTTGGATTTTTTTTAATTATGCCGAGCAAAAATTCATCTTCAGAAACCATTTAGGTCTCTATGAAGCTTATGTATTGCAATATCCAAGGCCGGTATAAAAAAATGTAAAACCTTTAAAGATATACTGACAGTACATGACCTATATGTCTTCTTGGCCAAATCCCAGATGAATGTGATTACAAGAAATGTTGGGAATATTCCAGTCTATACATACACGGATACCAGACGTTGACGGACTAGACTTGGGTTAAGTTATTAACGAATTAACTTAATTAGTATTAAGTAAATAATAATAATAAAAACATCAAAAATAAATAAATGAAAAAATAAAAATAAATATAGAAATAATAAACATTTTTCTTACCATTCCTATCCTTTCCTTCCATTTTTTCCACTTTTAACATAATTAAATTAATAATAAAACACAATACAGATAATTTTAAAATAAAAAGAAATAGAATTTTTAATTAAACCAAACTAATAAATAGAAAAAATAAACACAAGAAGCCTAAATAATAATATTAATAATCTAATGTGTCTAGGCTACTATAGATGACCAAACATAAATATTAGAAAAACAAAAATAAAAGAACAAGAAAATTAGTAGATTATTAATTTAATAGATCAGATTTTATAATGTAAAAATAAACTTAAATTTATGAAATAACTAAACTTTTCAGTCCATTGAGTTCATTTCTCTTTTCAAAATAATAAAAGGATCTTAATGTTAAAATAGGCTACAAAAGAGACATTCAAGCGTTTTTTAGGATTCGTATAAACGATATTGAGTATTGAGAATTTGTAGAAGCGAATATAACTATGTTCGCTCTGATACGCCCATGTCTCGTTTAGCATTGACAAGTTTTCTGTTAAAAACATTAAAATCATACGCCGCTTGCGAATGTTTACATTTATTGGTTTAAATATCGCACTGGAACGATGTTCCGCAGCACTTTCGCCCTACATTTACTAAACCTGTTTTTGGCTTCGTTATGGTTGAGTGTTTGTCACGGAAAGGGCAGATCGTTGCGTAAGTAAACATAATATTTTCTTGTGTTTTTATTGACATTCTCATCTTCACAATAGTCCTATAAATGTACATTATAATTGAAAAAATGAAAATAAAAATAAAAAACTTAATTAATCACACAGACAAAAGAATAATAATAAGTAAAATTAAAATAAACTAATGTATATTTCCAAAACTATGTCTTATTACATTTCACAAATTACCAATGAAAAATGCAGCAAGAAACTTCGAGAAAAGTCGTAGATAATTTGCATAAATTAAAAATAAATTATTATTTTTATGGTGAAAATCATTTACATTTAATTGTCAGTAGATAGTACCTTCATGCTTTGTATTCACAATATCGTCGATACTTCCTTTTTTACGCGCGTGATTGAGGGAATGAGGATGACAATTATTCCTTTTTATGCATTTTACTGCAATGAACAGATTTAGCGTGCGATGTTAACAAAAAAACAATTTGATTTTTCCAGAATTACCTTTTTTACTCTCGAAATTAACAAAAAAATTAAGAACCGACGACCGTTTGGAAAAACTTTCTTAGTTCGAATTTTCCTATCATTAAACCGTAATTAACAATTCTGTTATTAGATTTGCTTGTAGCCTTTGACAACTATTAATTAATAATTACAAGCTCGGTCAAGGCGGTAAGTGTTTTAATTACACCTTTTAACTTTATTTGTTTGCTCACCATTTTCCGGTCGTCCATGAACTACCACCCGTATTTATTTAAGTAAAAATTGTACAAGACTTAATTTATTTATTAGTTTTATTCAGTATGCCATTTTAGCTTCAAAACAACCATAATGACAAAGAAACCTGGGCCATTTGTCCTAACCCGATTTTTCGATTATTATCAATTCAAGACATATACGAAGGCTGCTCACTTCAAAATTGAAAATCATTAACAATTTTGATAGCCATTACAAAATACACACTTATTGATCTTCTTTGGATCAAATCAACTCCATCTTCAAATCATACAACCTTGTGACAGTGCTATCAAATAACTAGACTACTAGACCTACGGTGACTTTAAAAGTCAGTTTTCGGTGCCTACCATTTTGAACTTTTTTTTAATGAATTGTTTGAAGAAATTTTTTGAGTAAATTAATACACGTAATATAATTTAGGTCTGAACAGGATCAGTGAATCATTGTAGTTCAAATTTGACCCTACATTGTATTTAGGGATTTCACTAAATTAACAAACTGATATAACTGGGCACTAGTGAGGCATATTGGCTCCTGGTAATTTGGAATTGAACCAAGTAGCCAATAATAAAAAGCCGAAAGAACCAATATTGTTTTCAGAACTTTTGTGGACGATGCGTTTCTTGTTGATTATTAAAAAAAAAAATAAGATTAAGCAGTCAACAAATAAATGCAAAGTTTCGTAGTCTTGGTGCTAAAAGACCTCAATATTCCACAAAAAATCAGTAAATAGTACATTACTTAAAATTACTTAATATTCATAAAATTGCATTGAAGAAACTCTTGGAAAATACAGGCTAGGTCCAATGCGCTGGGTATTTCAATAGACGATGAAATGGAAACAACTTCCTATAGTCCATATCATACTAGTAAAAAATGTGGAAATATGACTATATAGTGTGACCTATTTGAATTGGAGGCAAAATTTAAATATCGATATTAAAATAATTTTATATTATTATATGTCGCAAAAAAAAACAGAAAAAAATCCTACTTTTCTGTGAGCAGCAGATATGAACTTAATGCACCTATTTTTGTGATAAATAATTAGTTTTCCCTCTTGATTTCAAGCAGATCATAGTCAAAAATAGCATTTTCATAACTTACCGGACTGAAATCTACAATAAATCTGTTTATAAACCCACTTTCTTGGATTGAAGGTAGGTTTTTCTTGTTCATTTCAAACAAAATCCAATCAAAATCGTCTTCTTCGGCTTTTTTTGTAACGAAAACGTTAGTAAACCTGCAGATATCCACGGAAAACCGCCCTTGCTGGGTCAAATAGTTGCCGATTTCGATTAGATTTCAGTTAAAATGTTGTTTTTAACTAGGATCTGCTCGAAATCAAGAGGGAAAACAAATTATCTACATTTTTAAGGTAGATTTCGGTACAATAAGAAAAAGTGAATAAGAAAAACCTACTATCAACCCAAGAAAGTTATTTTCTAAAGTATTTTTCTGCAGCTTTAATGTAGATTTCAGTACGGTAAGTTTATTTATATTTGTTATTTGTACCAGAAACGGGGATTTCAAAATCATATCTACATTTTTAAGGTACATTTCGGTTCAATAAGACGCGAAAAACCAAATTCTGACATCTGCTCGTTTATTAACGTCTTTGTTGCAATAAATGCCGAAGACGCCGATTTTGAACGATATTGACATTAAAGCTGCAGATAGCTAGTTAAAAACCCACATTCTTGGATTGATAGTAGATTTTTCTTATTGATTTCAACCAGATTCCAGTTAAAATCTGCCCTTCCGACAAATATCGTATCTAAAACCGCATCAAAACTCCAGATATCAGCTTAAACTATCATTTTTTGATGCAAACAGTTACCTTTTCATGTCACCATCGTTGAAATACTAGTCAAGATCGGCATCTTCGGCCTTTATTATAACGAAAACGTTAATAAAACCGCAGATTTCGACGTAAAACCGTCCTTTCTGGCTCATTTGATTAGATTCCAATCGAGGCACTTTGTACTAGAAGACCTTGAATATTCTACACCCCTCCAATATACAAAAAATTTAATAAAACTATGGATATGAGTGTAGCGAAATTAATGTTTAAATTTTAATATTCTTTTCTCGTTTTTTAGCATCAAACTTCCCCGTCTGTAAACGAACCGACCCTAATATCAATCAATGTCTAGTGGACGCTACCGAAAAAGTTAAACCGTTCTTGGCGGAAGGAGTTCCCTCGCTCAAAATCCCTCCTTTCGAACCTTTTCAGATCCCTAAAATAGAATTGGCACAAGGGACGAGATCGTTGAATTTCAAAGCCGTTTTAACTAACGTCCTCGCTTACGGATTGTCGAATTACAAGTTCACTAAATTCGAGTTAGTTCACTCATAATACTGAGCGTCTTTAAGTAACTATTAATCTCATGGGAGCTTAAACCATTTCAATTTTTCTTGTAATGCTTTTCTTACAGAAGGAAACTTTGTTCTCGGTTTGATTTAAAAAAAAATATTATTATTACTTAGTACGACACTCAGGTTGAATCATTGTTTATATTTCAAATTTCAAACCCAGAACGAGATGCCTCTTGCTCCTCGAGTGCAGCAGCAACAAAAAAGTTAACTGTAGCAAACTCACCAAGAGATTAATAAATACTTATCGGACATCCTGTATGTTCGCGAGATTTACGTTGCAGTTACGATATACCGGGTTTCCAATTCTTCTGCGAGGCCACCATTCCGGGATTAAACCTAGAAGGTGACTACACTGTAACCGGAAGAGTTCTGATCGCTCCGATTGAGGGAAAAGGCAGGTTCACCGCTAAAATAGGTGCAAAGGTAAAAGCAAACTTTCTAAAGCAGATACATGGTTTATTATTTTAGATTCCTGCGAAGCTTTCGTCTACCAAAAGGTGAAGCTGCTGAAAAGAAACGGCTTAGATTACTTGACCCCCGATTTTACCAACAGCACCATCAATGTCAGTGGTCCCAGGGTTAAGTTGGATGGTTTGTTTGGCGGTAACGCCCAATTAAGTAGGTGAAACGAACACAACGTCATATTCGGGACTAATACACCAATTTCAGATGATGTGACGAATAAAGCCATCAATGACAACGTGGACGAACTTTTTGCGGAACTTAAACCTGTGGTAGAGCAAACGTTGACCAGTATTTTGGAAGATATTCTGTTCAAATCGTTGTTTGTGAATATCCCTTACGATAACTTGTATCCAAAGTAATATATCTGGACAGATAGTATTCGTATTGCACAGAGTATTTGTGAATCAGATAAAGTGAAAACAAGAAACTATACTCTATATAGTAAAATCAGATGGAAAAATTATATAGTATTTGACTTGGAAGTAATGAGAACACTTATTTTGTAAATTTGCGTTTGCTGCTCGATTCTGGCTCCTTGCGAAAAAAAAAGACAAAAACTTACTAAGGTTTTTTTTTTGCTAGATTACACTGGATTTACCCTCGTTTTTAAAAATGAAAATTAATTAAAGAAATTTTGTTCCAAAATACGGTTCCAAGATGGTCTGAAAACATCCAAATATTTATTTTACTTTAGATATCTACTTTTCGTTAAAAAATTAATTTTATAAAATGTAATGTTTAGGCTCTTTAAAAAACAAAAATTATATATTTATTTAGAAAAATCTATTGCACCCCGTTAATGGTAATTTTTTTAATATTTCGATACTATTTGCTTACAAAAAAACTCCTTTCTGATTAAAATATATTAAAATACACGCAACAGGACTGAACAACGCATGATTGCTGTGCTGGATAAACTTTTTTTTAAATACCACAAACAAGCACTATTCAGAGATTCCACAAAAGTTTGGAAAGTAAATTTATCAATAAATATACAGACACAAAATACTTTTATTCGTAACCAAAACTAGCGTGTATGAATTGACAACGTAGGAACATATATTTAATGTATAATAAACTAAGCTACAGGAAACACTACAATAGCTCATTGGCTTTCAATATCCCGGACCAACAGTTTTTGGCAGTATTATTACTATTGGGTAAAAAATAATTTAACTGAAAAAAAAATGCTAATGAACCTTCAGGCCCAATCGATAAATGTCAACAATATCCAAGGCAAATATTTTCTTTATTTAAATTAATTTCATAGACATCAAAATTTTTTTAAAAATATTGTAAAGAAAATTATCCTGCCGGCCTTTTAATACTAACAAACTAAGAAAACGAGAACAAATAATTCTCTATAATTAATATTATTTGTGTATATGTAAATAAGCGAATTAAGTTCCAAAATAGAAATAAATAGCATTCGTTATCACCTATTGATTTGTTTTGACTGTATCAAAATGTCTACTAAAAACTTTTCTGAACTTTTGATGTCTCTATCCGTTGAGGTATTTAGAGGGGCGTTGTATTAAATTAACCAAGTCTTTCAACTGCATTTTTCTCTAAAATTACTCAGCCTACATTATTTCGGAAACAGTTCATCGACAGAAAATCTATTGAAAACCCTACTGACGAACTCCAAAACAGTTTTTCCGATCGTGGTCTCGAGCGTAGGCCGCAGGTCTTCCAGTAACTGATCCATGTTGGCGTTGAGGATTTTATTAGTCTGTTCAGTCAGCTCTGGGTTGTTCTTGAACAGATTGTAGAAGTGGAAATTGGGCTGCCCGAAATCGATACTTTCTATATCCAATTCGGGAAACACCAAGTACTGCTTGCCTTGTTTGAACTGTCTACGGCCCAACATCGTTGCCATGACTTTTACGTCCGCTATAAATATTAATATAATAATAATAGTAATATTAATAATAATAATAAGAATACTAAATTGTGAACATAAATAAAGGAAGTAAGTTATATTGCAACGTGTAATTTGGTTTTTAATTCCTGACAAATAAAATGACGTCTTATGGTGCCGACGAAATGGTATTTTATACAGAATGTATGAAAAGCTTCGTACAAAATATTGGGAGGTGAAAGTGAAACCAAAAATGGCATATGCGAAGCATTCAATCTTAGATACAACCTCAGATTGATGTAACCGGGTGGATATTTCTCGAAATACCACTCTTTTATAATACCACCTTTTCAAATAATTGCAATATACAACACTTTATTGATGGTCCTATATTCCACCTATTCAAAGAAGCAGATTTCCAACCAGTGCAGTTTCTAATTTTCAATTTAAAATAGCTAACAGTAAATTTCACATTTCACATTTTGTATTGATAATAAATTCGTAGTTATCTCAAATTTTTTGCTATGATCTTTGAAACTTCAAAAGAAAAGAAACTAAGCTATTATCTTCATTCGGGTTTAAAGGCCGTCGTCGATTGGAATTACTTCCTAACGTTTCGCTAGCACGAGTGGCGAGCTTCTTCAGAGGTCCTTCCATCTCCGATGTTGGACGTAGACGTAGACGTAGACGTAGACGACGGCCTTTAAACCCGAATGAAGATAATAGCTTATCAACGGGCCGCGAAAGCATTAACCAATTTATCAGAAAAGAAACTGTTTTAAGAAGTTCGATGTAGAAATCATTTGGAGAGCTGCATATCACCTCCCCGTTTATTAATTACTGAATTCGCAAAGTTTGCATTTACTTTGCTCTTTATGCATGACCGTGTAAATTTAGTAAATTATGTAATAAAAATCTATCGATCAATTCAATTGCTGGTTAATTTAATATAATAATTTAATACAAGTTAATATACGAATTAATTGCCAATCAGTGCAAATTATTTTTTTTATAATCACAAAATACAGTTCGTATTCTCCTTGCTTCTGTTTTAAAGTTATTTTTATCCAATATTTTTTGACAGACCAAACCCAAGCAAGCAAATTGAATTAAATATTAATCATTATTTTGGACGCTGGTGATCTTCAAAATTGTCTATAAAAACACTGTGTTTATAATTCTGGTAGATAAATTTTAAGCAAACTTAATCGCCACAGAAAAATCACTGCGAGAAAAATGTAGTATTGGGAATTTTGAGGAAAAAAATTTTAGAAATACTTACTAATATTTCCGTCAGCAGGTCCCGATCCATCGAGATTAAAAAATAACACTTTCCCAACGATAGAATACTGCGCTTTAATCCTGATGTGGTCGAACCCCATATCGAATTTGATTTTGTTCGTGTCAAGATCTATGTCGAAATCTTTGATCGTGAACTTGTCAGCATCATAGATTTCCACGTTGACGAATTTCGCTTGAAAACCACCCCCTGCATCCAGACCCACCTCGGGTAAAATCAGGGGGTTCATCTTGGGCAATCTGAATTCGGGGATGCCATCCTGCAGGTGCGGTTTTAAAGTTTGGACGGCTTTCAGAAGGCATTTGTTGAAGTCGGTGTCGTTTTGGTGACACTTTTCGATGTAGGAAGCTGCAAGATTGTTTTGCAGGAGCTGTTTAGAATATTGATAGAGGCAAATGTCGCTGTTTACAATTGGGCAGGAAACACGGAGGTTGATGTTTGAAAATTGCACCATTAGTTTCTATTTATCGCCTCCCTGTGCAGCAATTTACTTGCTATTTCAGGCTAATCAATGCTACAGAAATGTCGCGAGTGGGCTATTGAGAAATCCGAATACGGTCTTAATAATAATGAAATTTTAATGGCTCAATGACAGTGTCCGTGCGTGATATGCATATTTTGTTGATTCAATCGCTGTAGGTGGTATTTTGAAGTTTTGGTTGTAACGATCGCTTCGTATTTTCTATTAGGATATTTTTTATTATTCAGGAAAATTCTGTGCAGAGATTTTTAAAAATGGCTTTTTTTACCTACCAATAAGTGCAACATGCGTCGGCGTTTTGGGTCAAAATAATGGGTCAGAAAAATACCGGCAAGTGGAGACAAGCCGATGAAGACAGTTCAATCGATATATTTGAGGAACTTAAGAGAAATTTAAAACTTTCGTTTATGAGGAAAAAAAGTTAATTTTCCTCACAAGTTGGAACTTAAAATCCTTATCCTGCATTTTGCGTTGCCATATACTAACTTACATTTTCATCCATTGTATGTGGATGATTAGTTTTTTTATTAAAACTTTTCAATATTTCTCTACGCTGACAAAACACATTTCAAAAATTTTGTTTGAAAATAAATCAATTAATGCGCAATGTTGTGAATACTTGAAATTCAAATTACGCCATCAAACGGCCAGAATGTCAATCTAGGATTTGCCTAAGTAATTAGCCAGCATTCCTTTTTAGGTAGTTCAAATAAAAGTTAAAAAAGTATTTTTCTGTTGTGTAAATTTCCGAATTTAAGTGATAATGGTGATTATAGTGGTTATAACGACAGTATAATCCTGAATTTTTTGAAAAATCAACTTTGATTCTGAACTAAATTGAACATGTGATATGTGTCGTCAAAATCCACATATTTCGCAATCAAATTTAATTATGCCTAAGCTAAATGATAAAAAAAATGAAAATGAGGTTCATTTATGGGTGAAAGTAATCTCATTGTTTATCCAGCATATAGGGAGATCGCCTTTAATTACGCATACATAGAAAACACACTATCGACGAAATTGAAAAACGTTGCATTCGGTAATATTAAAAATAATAAAATAGAAATCTAATAATTATTCTTAATAACCTGTTAATAAGTTGCACAAGGAAGAAGAACTGTCATATTTCTGTATTTTCGTCATAAGCTAAAAATGGATGGCGATTTTCTTAGACCATTTTTCATACAATTAAATGGAATATCAAATTAAACTTACGAAATTTTTTTGCTATTGCCACCAAACCATTCATTCTCACTACCGCCATTAGGATACACAATATGATTCGTGTGAAATTCATGACTGTATTTGATCAAAAACGAAAATCGGAATGAAATCGTGTGTTATATGGTCAAACGTCGTCAACAAAATGTGCGTGAAATTGTCCCCTGTAGTTCCGAAACCTCACAGTGATAACCAACACAAGGTGATGCGCCGAAAACATTAATATTCCACCAGCGAATTTTAGTTGTATACACAAGCGTCTAAATTTTCTTGCGAAACCATTAATTTTTATAAGGATATTTGGACAAGTGCCAATCTAAGAATCAGCATTATTAATTACAATAACAAATAGTGTTTTTGTTTTAAACTAAAAAATATAAATCGATTCCTTACGTCAGTAGGTGCAAAAATATTTCAAATAAAACATGATTCCATTTTTAAGGGAAAACATTTTTGAACGGAAACGTTTTTAAAAATATTCCATTCGCAAATATTTTCCTTAATATTTACCCTTAATAAAAAATATTTGATTTTTTTTACATTCGCAGGTAAATAAATTAGAGTGTCACCTTGAAGCAGTGATTGGCTAAACCAAAATTACGTAAAAAAGACATTGTTTTCGTGTTTTATACACCAATGTTTTACAGTGGTGGTAAGCTTATTTATACATTCCAATAATTGAATTTTAATGTGAAATTATGTCTATAGACAATTAAGCAAAACGCCATAGAAAATTACATTTCCCTTAAAAACAGAAAATTGAAACACTTGTCCTTAACCAACTCAACTTAATAAATAACACTTATATTAGATGTTTACAATCACAATTTTTAGACGACTTGTCTCACAGCGTTCAGCTAGGCGCTGAGTCCTTGTTTGGATACAGGTACGTAAAAGACTTCCAAAGGTACATTCGTGAGCAGCTTGTTCGATATACTCATGAATAATGTGGCCAGTTTTTTCTTGAGTTGAGGCAACATAATCTTAAAAACTTCCTGCCCGTTTTCTCTCAGGAACAGGTTAATAGCTTCCGCTGAAATATCAAAATACCTAATGTTAAGTTAATAGGCATTACATTTAAATTAAATATTTGCTGATAGTGTAAATTCTCGTTTACACTCAGTGCTGCCGATACACCGATACAACATAGTATGTATCACATTGCAATGTAAATTGTAATATTCAAAATACTCACTTAAAATCCTATTATTCCTGTAAACATTTTTCACCATCATCCTCATTTTTTGAACTGTTAGATCCAAATTCAAAGAATCGATATGTAGGTATTTTTTACCATTTTTGTCATTGAAACTGGCCCGACCTTTGATCATGGCCACCAAATCGTCTAAAAAATTAATTTTAAACAATAAAAATATCAAAGAAAAATTTACAAATCTATAGCTTTCAAATAAAGATACGAATTTATCAATAGAGAAGGCATCCACCATTTTATCAAGAATATAGATAAATCTCTAATTCAAGTGGGCGTACTTAAGAGGTTGTATTAAAAGCCATCTGTCACCAGTTTTAGGAGCACTTTTCAACATAAAAGTCTCGTCAACTATCTCAGTGAGTTTGGTTACTTACCAAATTGCCCAACAAATGTCCCATTGCCACTGGCAGGTAAGATTATTAGCACGCCACTACTTTGATATCGGGCGTTGATTTTTAATGAAGGGATTTTTATCGTTGTTTCAAAAGGCCTATCATTTTCACTGAGTCTGAAATAATAAAGGTTAGCTCGTTGCCAACTAGTTTCACTCACCTACTCACTTTAGGCGAGACATGGTAAAGTTGCTAGCTCCAAATATGTTCATTTCCTTCAAAGATATCCGATATCCATTTGGTCCGCCCGTCAAGGATAAAGTCAACTCGTCCATTAGGAAAGGTTCCACGGAAGGCAGCTCCACTTCGGTTATACCCGCGGCCAAATATGGTCTTAAATGCTCTAATGCGCTTTTGAAGCATTCTATGACTTTGGGATCACCTTGGTAACACTGCTTTACGTAGGGGGCTATAAAAATTCATCTTTTGTTTATCCATGTCTCGAGAAAGTACCCTAACAAAGTTTAGGTTGCACCGTGCTACATTCTATTTTAAATTAATTAAGTATAAATCTCCTGAATATCTTTTTAACAAAAGCACTTTTCGTACAGATGTTCATGAATTGAATCTAAGAAAAAAAAATTAAAAATTTGTCTTATCGCATTGCACACACAATAAACAATTTAAGTGTTTTCGATTTAACAATATCAACCAAAACTTTTAAAAACCGGCATAAAAAGTATCTTCTTGGAACTCCATAATTTCTGTATCGGAAAGCCACTCTGCTTTCTCCTTTGTCCTGCGACTTCTCTCTTTATCGAAAACTACATTTAACGATTTAATTAATTAATAATTAATTTATTTAATTTTGTTTATTTCATTTTTTTTGTTCTTAGAGTAATTTGGTTTACATTAAATTGAGACTTGAACAGTGTCTGATGAAAAGTATTTTTTTAATGGGGATACTTTATACGCAATTTTAATTGCGTAACTATATAAGACATAAACAAAATAAGGTGAATGTACTACTAATTAGCAACTTTCGCACAAGGAGATAAACGAGAGGTTTCACGAAATGCAGGTGAAGGTGAAAGCGTATTCAATCTTTCGGGGAACGTAACAATGCAGAATGAATTACTTGTTGAAGTTAAAAAAAAGACAATACCAATTTTCTTTGCATTTTTTTATATGTCCTAGCAAATCTATCTCTAACTGATGATTCGTTACACACTCAAAATCTCTAAAAGAACCTCAAAAAACAGAATTTCTCCAGGTGTAAGTGTAATTTTACCCAAAAAATAGACTTTTCTTCATATAGGTCCAGGTGATTATTTTCCCCACCTCAACATAAAAACATGTACCATTCACACACTCTATAATAAATAAAACCTTCTCCCTATCGTCAAAATCCAAAAATTATGGTATTTCAGGAAGTAAAAAATTAATATATGCAAATTTTACAACTGCTAATAATACTGTTATATATATTTTTTAAATTCTCTATTTTCCAAATGTTACAGCTTTGTTAGCCTGTGTTAATTATGATAATTTTGAGTGGTGCGTTTTCAAAATGTTTACCAACAATTATCTTGGACCTCCAAACTGTTTTCGTCAACCACTCGACATATTAATGTCTTCTTCTTCTACATAATTACATATACAATGTATCGATATGTATAGGAAAGAGTGACAGATTCAAAAAATACATAAGATATAAAAAAGCCGATTTGTAATATTTTTTTGTTATCCAAAAATAATACTAAAAGTTCTTAAATAAAAAAAAAATTAAAGCATATTTCTGCAACGAAAGCTTCAATTCTTTTATCACATTAGTCTTGCCTTGAGTGTGTTGGAATTGTAACAACGCAATTTAAAACGCCGCTGAATAAACTGCACTTAAATGTTGCAGGTGAATGGCTGTTCGTTAAAATTTCATAACAGATTGTTAATTTCATGTGAACAAGAGAGAAAAAAGCAAATTGGCGTTCGCACTTCCTAACAGGGACGAGGTCGTTCCGCTTCTAAACTGCTTAAATCGTCGACGATTTTTGGAAAACTCTATTGACCCGAAATAGTTATTAACAATAGAAATCCCCTTTATTTATTTATAAGACACGCGACAATCCAAGTACTGGTATTTTTAACTACACATTAGAATTGCCTAGAAAATTTGTCACTTTTACTGTAGTTAAAAGAAATTAATTTTACATTTCTCATTAAACTGAGTGCTAGTTTAGTAGAGAAGCAAAATAGTAAAAAAAAACCACTTAAATTTTTGGCCATTTTTCGCACCTTAATGAGAAAAAAATAGAAGTGCCATATTAGTTTTTTTCCCAATATCACAAAAATTTCTAGATCCTCAACATTACAACGGGGATGTAGTGATAGAACTTTCATACAAGTAGGAAGTTGTTTCTATATGATCCATTCGTATCTAGTTATGGCTGGTTAGTATTCTGTTTGTCTGACAACTTTCATTCATCTTATATAACCACCCCATGTAATAGAATTTATCAGTTTAATCGACACCAGTATCCATTTGGCCTTTTTCACGACATACATTAAGCGAGAAACTTACGTGGATGATCGGCGTCCATTTCGAGGCAATCCGCCAATAAAAGCACACCAGTGATAGTCACTATCTTCGATAACATTATTATACACTAAGTCGTTTGATTTTTAGACTCAAAAACCTCGACTGCGCCGAAGAGAAGATTCCTCTTCAAATGATAAATGAGTGTTGCGTACGGTTGCGGATTACCAATTTGTGGCGTTAGCTCGGACACTCGGTACAGCGATGACTTTCTCTGCATGTCGCGCTTTGAGATAGGTTGTAAACCCGCATTTCTATCGTTGCACGGAAATTAACAGTAATTTAATAGTACAATGACGGAAACTGGACATGCCGAGTTTCTCTGATTTTCATGAAATATAGTAAAGATAATGAAAAAAAGAAAAAATGGTGAATGTAATAATCAATCAACAAATTAAAATAAAAATAGGGTCAACCCTAATCATAAAATCAATGGGAAACAATATTGAAAGAAAAAAATGTTACTTTGTATCAGTCATTCCATTGAAGAGGATAATTTCATACAGTTTCATTTTCGTGGAGCTTCCATATATGACAAACATTTGTAAGTGATCTTAATGAAATTGATATTCGTTATTGTGAGTATAACAATCAATAACACTGAAACTGTTGTAAAACGCCTTGGTATTGAAATGAGGCATTGGAGTGCTTGGGTTAAGATTTTCGTACTAAAATTCGAGTCTCATGTCTCACCTATCCAACTCAATGTTATATAAAATAAGAATAAAAATAGCAAACGGTGCCTCAAACTTATCGAAAAATTGCGGAGAGCTTCGTGCACATTTTTAATTATCATCAAAACGACGAAATAATATTTTGCTCAAATCTCGCTTAATGAAATTATACGTTAAATATTAAATAATTCAATTCAATTTAATGCAACTTTAACAATAGTTTTCAAAACAATAGCCTTACATGTAGGATAGAATTTATATGGTTACAAATCTAAGTAATCTGCCTCAATTGCATTAATCGAGTGACACATTTGCTATAGCTTTCGTTTTAGAGTTGCAAATGACGTTCCCCTATTTCAGATGGTGTTTCTTCTCCAGCCAGTTATCACAGCAGACTGCTATAAGAAGCACCCATTTAAAAAACTACCAAAAAAACAAAAAATTCAATTTGAAAATTCGTTACAAAATGATATTTATTTTGAATCCAGCAACTTTTGGCAAGTTTAAAAGCGTTAAATTCATATGCTTTTAAAAGACAATATGTTGCTCCTACTTTAATTAATATTGTAATTAATAATACATCTGTTGAGAGCTAGAAAATGCAGTAAAGTACATTGTAAAACTTGAAAATACATTAGATTTTAAATAAAAACGTACTTTGGGTAATTATTGAGTATTTTATATATTTAATGGCATCGTATTGTCTATTAGTATTAATTGCTGATGTTCTGCGCTCTAAACATTTCTGCTGTGAATTTGATGAATGATTTTAAATTTATTGAAGAATTTGGCCTATCTATTACTATAATAATAAAGCTTTGTCACACTACAACTTCAATATGCATGTATTAAAACGAAATTTAGACTATAACTACCTCCTATCTTTTTCTGCAAAGTTATAAACATTTTTATAACTTTCCGCCTTTATTTGTAACCCACATAAATCAACTGGAAAACATTTTTTCACGCTTGCCTGTTCTTTAATTAGTTCTTATAATTTTTAAGACTGACTTAATATAAACACAGTGTTTCGCTAAAAATAGCACTTTTGCTGGAGACAATGACGAAATATTTTAGCAATTGTTTGTGCATGTTTTACACTTGACGAGGTGTGTTTCGAACAAGAAAATTGCGGGAAGGCTCAAATAAAGATTAATGAAATTTTTTATAAATAATAAAATCATAGTACTGTATTTTATCCGTAGAAATAAAACACAATCTCAAAAGATACAGGACCATACATTTTATTAACTGAAACCAGCTTAAAGAAATTCACGCCATGAAGAAATTTCCGCAATTATTTAAATTCAAATTAAGCAGTTAATTGCGATAGAACCTCGTTGCACGTAAAGCATCATTTTTATGTTATTATAATACTAATCGCATTTGATTCTACCCCTAATCACAGTTTGATAATTGTCAATTTGCGCAAATTATATAAGCAATTTAAACTATTTTCTTATAATAGGTATAAGTACAAGTTTCGTGCATTCGAAAATATTTCACACCAAAATTACTTTTAAACGTACAGGGTTGGACCGCAAATTTTTGGACTACATATTCACGACGTAAACAGATTTTAGATATCTTCTTTAATTACAAACGTTCTACATTTTTAAAGTATAGGTTGTAGCCACCTTGGGCTAGACATGCTTTTTTTGAGTTATCCAGTCATTTTCTGAGAAAATTTTGTTTAAAAAATGTATATTTGGTCAATGTTTTAAACAATAGTCAGCGGTTTTAAGTAACATTTCGTATCAAAGTTAAGGAGGTCATTGTCTCCCCCATTTCTCTACAAGTCCTTTCTCTCGCACACACTGATATCGGCAGAAGAAGAAAATTGTGTTATACATAATGTGGACCGATTAGGTAACACATTATTGCACACTGTCTATAGTAGAAAGCTTTTAATACTTAAAAATGTGCTACCAGGCGTTTTCAAAGATAAAATTGGGTAAATCGTTGCGCTAAGGTGGGGGAGCGTTGTTCAGATTCTTCGTTTATTGAGAAATAACACATGCACGTACACACCGTGTATATCGAGAAAATAAAGTAGTCGCGGTTCGACATATAGGTTCTAATTAATTTTTTCCAATGTTTGCAAAAATAAGTATTTAAGTATAATTTTTCCGATGCATTTTTTGAAAACAAAAATGTCGCGACTGCTGTTCACGTTTGTGTTGCTAATCGGTGGTACGACATGCCAAGTGGATTTGAGTAAGTATCTGCAAATATCGTAGAAACATTGTTTACAAAACCGTAACGTCTGTGTTTTTACAAAAAAGGTAATAGCGATTCCCAGACTTAAGATTAAGTCGAAACGCTGTAAGAACGACTATAATCGTCATCCCACTACCAAATTATGAAATAACAGACACGCTTACCTAAACAATTCAGTCCTGCCTTTCATTAATACATTATTTTTTCATTTCATATTATTTCATTTATACATTCACGAGATAGAATAGAGATGAAATCTTTATCTTTATAAAAGGCAGATCTATCGCCGTCGTAAAAAATTTACTGCCAGATTTGTCAGAAGGCTTTGAATTTTAGAGGCCACAAGAAGCAGATTCGACGCTTGTTAAGACAAAATAAGAATGAACCGATTATCTTCAAAAATAAAGGTTTATGGGTTTGTAAACCGTTCGGTGGATTACGTTTTAATTGTGAATACGCCTTTAAATCCTTATGTTCTACTTTATTTTCTTTTTTTTTCTATCACTTCCCTTGTCTATTCAAAATCTAATCTTAGGATCATAAAACTTAGCTTTTATGTCTAGACATATAATTGTAATACTTAATACTTTTAGGACTGAACTTTGACTAATTCTAAATTGCCTTTAGTCTCTTTTTGCGAATAATTGTATATAATCTATGCAAATATGTGTGTAGTAATTAATTTTCTGCGAATGAACTTCATTTATTTATTATTAATATTTTTGAAAATAATTTATATTATAGGTTTCCTTAATTAGTGTATTTTTATGATCTGTTTCGTGGTCGGTGCAATACTTCGAGCTATCACTAATTTATCCAAGTTTCACAATTTTTATTCTGGAAGAAAAATCATAATATTTTTAAATCTACAATATTTGAAACATTTATATACCTTACATAGTTTCATCTATCGGGCCATTCTTAAGCGTTAATTTTCTTTTCGTTAGGCTTTATTTCGCAACACAATTGTTAAATTGATTGTCAACTGAACTCGCATATTCTTGCAGAAAACTATTTTGGAAAATGTAAGATGGGATCGACCGCATTCGATACCTGTGTGAAAGAAGGAATGAACTCTTTAAACCCATACTTTAAACAAGGTAAGCATTACGTTTTAAGGAATCAACGAATCCTATTGATTCTTTGATATGCTAAAGGCAATTAAATTTCACTGACACCTTGGGCGAAATTGTTTGTTACAGTACCATTGCGGTTTTTTATTTCGTTTTTATATATTTTAGAACTGTGGTGACATTGCTTGTCGATTCGTTTCATTCCTATTTGAAGATAATTAAACCACGACAATAGGAACGATTTTCTGCTCCATATTGATTGAACTTAAACAAAACCGCATAAGATTTGCCTTTTATTTATGGTCCGAAATTTACAAGCCAATTCTGCAGAAATTTGTTCTGCTGCACAAATGTTTCATCACCCGGAAGTAATTTTTGGGGTCAATTTATTGCGGTTTATTTGCTTATACTACAAATGTCAGAAATTTTTTACTGAAATCAATGTCGGGATTGTCAATTTTAAAATTGCGCAGACACGAACAATGCCAAGTGCACAGTTTCACAAAATACTACTTAACAGATCCAACCGCTAAAGAAAATGCAACAGGTAATAATATTTTAAAGCTATTGCCTGAAGAACTCTGAAACGACCCTGTTTCTGTCAAGCATTACTTTATAGACAATGTGTATGTTATGTTTATTGCATCTACAGGCTTGCCGGAATATGGTGTGGATCCGTTCGATCCTTTCTACGCAACCGAAGTGCGTCAGAAGAGAAGTAACGCCTTTTTCGACTACAAACTCGTCCTCAGGAATGTCACAGAATCTGGGTGGACAGAATCGCAAGTTACAAAATTTAGGTAGCGATTAGTTATACGTTCCAAAACTGCTGGCTTTTGGAAGTTTACACTGTTATCGTTTACTTCGTCTACTAATTTAGGTTCATTTACTTATTTTCATAGAAGCGATTTGCCTAAAAATACGGTCCATGTCACGCAGTTCTTTCCCGACAAGCGTCTTGATGGTTACTATGAAATCGAGGGCACATTCCTTGGTCAGAAAATTAAAAATTCGGGTTCCTGGAATCTTAAGCTGTTCGACTATGTGCAGACGCTGACAGTGATGAGAAAGCCTGCGAGGGACTTGAGAGGCAATCCCGTAAAGCGACCGCCACTGAAAGTGAAATGCAACATTCAGACTTGCAAAAAGTTAGAATTGCATATAGGCAATTTAGCTGGGGGTAGGACGATTGTGGGTAAGTCACTTTAAAACGATAATTATAAGGCGGATGCGCCAGGCTAACGAGCGAAGTTAAATGAAATAATTCGAAATATTTGTTGACTGGAAGAAGCTTATATTCCAGTAGCAAGAAGCAGACAATTTTATCAAGTAATTTTCAAATGTATCACCCATTATCTTATTTAATATCAGTTTATGATCTGGCCCAAAAATCGGTTGTATAATAAGAATATTTAATAACGATAATGTGCCATTTTATTTCTTTTAAAAAGTTGCACTAGAAAAATGTCTACAAAATCAAAAGATCCATTCATATTAAGGGCAGACGAATTTTTTTAAATCGACAATTGTTCAATTTTTCCATGTACCTCAAAAACTACAGGCGCCATTCAATGTAATATAAAGAATATAATATAAAGAAGTTTCCCCTACGTTAAGGTGACCAGACGTCCCGTTCTCGCGTCCCCATATTTCACAATTTGTCTAGCGATACAAATAATGTTTTTTATAAATTAACGAAATCCCATTTTATGTGTCAAATATTACATTTTGTTATATTTATAAATTGTACTTATGTTAGGAATTAAGAAACATTACGATGTTATTTTTATTCTGTATGAAAATTTTTGTTGATACCTCCCCCCACTACAACAGAATTGTCCCGATTTGCCCATCTAAAAGTCTGACCACCTTATCCTACCGACACATTAAAAATGAGACAGTCTTTATGCATCTTCATATTGTGTAGGAATTTTGACATTAATATAAATATCTGTTGGCATTGAAATTTCTATTTTTTCTTAGATATTCTTTGGTTTGGAGTTTCAATCTCCTACTCCCCTCTTTATTTGTGGAAGTAGGGCATGCTATATAAAACTGTTTTGTTATGACCCTGCCTAGGACAAATTGAACCATTTGACAGATTTGTTTACAAAAAAAAATAAAGAATTGTACTAAAGGTTCCAAAAGTGCTAGATATGTGTAGGAACTTAGGAAAATAGAAAGAATAGTTTATTATGCAATACGTGTGGTAAACGGCATTTGAGTCACGAGCAGAGCGTGTTTTTAATAAACGAGTAACCTAAAAAGTTCACCAAACTTTGAACTTTTTGTACTACCGTTGGTTTTTGCGGTAAAATCTCCGAAAACATCCGATTGATTCCAAACGCGTGCGGAATATCCCGGAAATGTCCGAAGTGGTTCGGATCCTTGTGAAACGAAACTCACGTGGTAAAGTGGCGCTTTCTGCACGCTTGATTGGTGTCTAATTGGGTATTTTACAGAAGGGAGTGCAAAAAAAGAAAAACATCTTGTTTAAGGCCAGGTTTACAACGACAATTCTTTATTGCCCAAGAAGTTGTTAACATTGCGGGTGTATTGGTAAGGGTAGGCATGAAAAAAAATTATCATGAAAATTTATTATAGAAGAAATTAATCAAAAAATTGCATTACATAAAGGTGATTACATAAAACTGTTGTTGTTTGTTTACAATACGAATTTGTGAACAATAAATTCTGCTAAATGCTGTCCAACTTAAAGTGTGCACTCCTCACGAACGTACATATTATTAGAAGTTAAATAACGAAATACTATTTCTCTAGCAAAGAAAAAATAACATCAACATCATAATTTCCACCGTACAAAGTGAGTCGATCTGTCAGTCTTTATGGTAATTTTATGTTACCAAATCGTGCAGAAGAAGTTCAATGTTTGCAAAACATTTTTCGGAATTTCAGAAAACATGCTCGATTGGATAATCAACAACGCGTGGCAACCGGGTTTCGTTATTATGGCGCCATTAATCAATGATTTGGTCGGTACCGCCTTCACCGAAATTTTCAACAAGGACTTCCAGTACTTCCCGTTCGAGAGCGTGTTTGCGCGTTGAGGATTCCCGAGTGTTGAAATTGTGCGCTTGTGGTTTTTCGCTTCCGCTTTGCAGACGCGTAAACAAAAAAATACGCAACCGCAAGTCTGAATAATGGCTCGGTGCAAAGTGTCTCCCGTAATCGCAACCTGTAGATATTCTAAGTACGATATTAGTGTGACTTTTCCAACGCTTCTTTATTTTCAAAAGAAGAAAATTAAACTAGACTTTGGTCAGCAAATTTAACGGTTTTTACATAAAATGTTTCCTTCTGTTTCTGCCTCCTTATTGGGCATGAATTACAGTAACCAATGCGACAAGAATATTTGCTGCTCTGGTCAAGCAAAAGTTGGTTTCTTTAATGGGATACCGTCAAATCATCATTATTATTATTATTCATCTTGTTTTTGGCTTTCCAAAATTATGTACTAGTTTTATTTTATTTTGTATTTGGCAGTTTTGTAGAAAAATAACACAGTTTTAAGTCGACCCTGATTACCAAATTGCAATCAAACGAAAGTTTCAAAAAATTTAATTATTTCACTTTATAGGTAAAAGCAAGGCGAAAATAATACTTCAAACTTTTAAAATTTATTTTTGTTAGCTATAACTGTATGCAAAATGTTGAGTATTAATTAGATCAAATTATGTTTCAAATTATGTAAAATGTATAAATATTGCTATAACTTTTTGTAATCTAATGAGTGCTATTGTAAAATGCATAATGAACCAAGAAATATGTTTCCCCATTAAAAAGCAGTTAATTATACTTGACAGTGATGGGTTCGTCAAATTTAATAGACTTTCAAATAAAGCAAACTTAAATAGATAAGGAGTACTGGTACTCATTCAAGTAATGAATTATTTATATTATTTTTGCTATTACAGCATTTTTTAAATTAAATGAAGTATCATTTTAAAGGAAAAACTTTTCCTTGATTCTGAAAGTGGGTGATGTAGAAATCGCCGTCAAAATCCCTCAGCAGCAGTGCTTTAAGTAAAGTTTTCATCATACAAAATTAAACCCATTGTTATATTTTGAGTTTAAACGTTATGAATCATACTAATAGCTGTTTGAATTCATTTGATTAATAAAAATTCTTAGGTAAATGACATAACCTGTTGCGAAATTCTAAAAAAAATCGAATTTTGAAAACATACATGTGCTTGCATTTTTCTGTTTATTGCTCATCATAAATGTATATTTTCTCTTTGTTTTGTAGTATGGCGTAAAATCGTCCTAACAGCGTAACTTAATTGCTGAGTTAAAATTTTGACAATTCGAAACAAAAAGTCCTCGGGCTTTGGCTTTGGGAAATAACAAAACAATTGTTTTTGCTTTTCAACAAACGGCCACAAGAAACAATTAAAAAGGAAAATTTCGCTATCTCAGACACGTTCATTGTTTTCCGTAATGTTTTTATTGTTCGGGACATACTTCCCAAGAGGTATTTATATTTTTACATCAGTTCGACACTATGTCGTTTCAGCTTAATGTCAAGTTGCGGAAAGTGTTTCCCGACTAGAACAATACAAATTGCTGGATAAGTTCCCAGTTTATAATCCGATTTAACCGGAAATTGCTTTATGTTCCCTTTTTTATTATTTCTATATATCTATATTGTGAGCGTGCTTACCTCAACAATACGATTTACAGGTTGTTTTGCATACTACCTATATCTTTTTAAGTATTGGTGCTTATTCATTGTTGTAGAATTGATAAATTATTCCTTTTTGCAAATTCTCAATTGGGAATAACAATTAAACATGTGAACAGGTCGAATAAATTTCTGACAAATACTTAATAACAATAACAAAAGTTTTGGTTGACCGGACATATTTTCGTGAGAATACAGAAGTGTCTTTTTAAAAGTTAACATATGTTAGTAGTTATATAGAGTAATTGTGATACCTACAGTTATTTCAAGAAAATGATTGTAGGCTATATAAACCATATTCAGATGTCAAATTATTATGTATAATATTGTTAATAAACGGCGGTATTTTAATCATAGTAAGTAACTTCACATACATATACACACATAGTCGAGTGGAATATCGGAACAACAATAGCAACTATTTGTTAATAAAAATAAAAGTGCCCCTGCAAAATGTTTTGTACTACAAATGAAACTTTCGCCATCTACAATTTTGGGGATGCATTCTAGAAGTTTTTTTTTGCTGTAATTTTCTTCACCTTGTAGGAAAAAATAACTCTGTTGCATATCGCTATTATTGTTCCAATATTATTAGTTTAATTTAATCTAAAAAATTGTAAAAGCTAAAAATTAATGAAATATTCTCTACCAGTCCTTATGACATTGAGAGTGGTGAGTTTTTCAAAAAAACAGCCTACTGTAATACTATTTACAAATCTTTTGCATTCCTCCGCGTCTCTTATTGATTACTGGAATTGGCTTACGTTACTGTTGGCTCCTTAAGCTTCAGTTATATGTTATACGAATGCATAATTTCCTAGCACGAATAAATAATAAACATAAAATTAAAAAATGAAAAAACCTTATTAACTAGCAGAAATGGAATTCTAGGTTGTCTTTGTACATCATCCAGCTATTACCGAAATTTACATAATAATATATAAAATAAATCTTTTTGACTAATTAAATTTGAATTCATATAACTCCCCCGGTTATCGCTTTTTTTTAATACATGGCGTAGTATAGACGTATAGGCCACCGAGCCCCGATGTCTAAAATTAATTTTAGATTTGCCGGAACGCCACCGTTTTGACGATGTATTTTTAAAACGTCAGAACCGAGTGTGTGAACATCCTGTATGTTTGCTTCTCTTCGTTCGAAAGAATTAAAATAAAATTATATCTCGCATACGGACTTCTATTTTCTCTCAGTGAGATGCAATATCACGGGATCAATCACTCGGAAAATGGTCTACAGATATTTACTATGAATTGATGCACTTACTCTAAACTTTTCCCGTTGGTAGTGCATCAATTAACACAAACCATTATCCGTTAGTTTGGTTTGGTTTTGGTTTTGGTATGTTTACGTAAATTTTGAAAATCGAATTAGATTGACTACTCTTTACGCGAAGGTAAATTTCAATATTAGATGATCAAAAAAAAAGTAGGAATTGTGATGGACATGCATTTCCATTGCATGTTGACCTTGACATGACAACACCTCAACATTCTATAATAATAGTTTCGGTTAGTTTTGGTTACTGATGTAATTTCGTAGAATCCAGTAGCGTGGCTATATTTAGAAATTAAAATTAAATTAGCTCTAAACATTTCAAAATACACATTTTACACAAATATAAATTATTAGAAATGTTAAGTGTCTTAAAAATATTAAATTAGGTTCCACCGCTGAACTTCTTAGGTGGACAGAATTATTCTGCTCTATCAACTTCATTAAAAATAAATACGTTGGTATAAGAAATTTTGGTATAAATATTTTTTTGTGAATTTGCTTTAGACAATTTCATATTGAGACATTTTCAACACCAAGGAGATGTGAAATGATACATAGGTAACTTTTAAAAGTAGAATGTAACTGGAGCTTCATAATTACCACCCTGTATATAAAAAATTAAGCAATTCAAAAACCACTCAAAAAGGCAGCGACAGCCGTTGTATACTGACGTCATGTTCCAACGTAATTTTGAGTCTTGCAAAATTGGCGAGATATCCTGCAAAGCCATAAAAGAAACTTCGGAAAAGGCACTTTCAAGGAATATTTAATATTTAAAGCTATATTTAATATTTAAAGCTATTAGTCGTGCCAAGAATGGGATGTGGTTTTTATGGTTTTTATGAAATACTGTGATTTCTGAAAAGGCGTTTTTAACTAATTGAAACATATTTAATATTTTAACATTTTAGTGTCAGTTAAAATTTCAGTAATACTGATCACTCTAAATTAATCATGTTACTTCCCGTCCATTCACAAAAGGCGTCCATTTTGAATTTGTAATTCAATTTTCGTTTTGCATATTTGGTTCGTCCGGCACAAAGAATGGGATGTGGTCTTTATGAATTGCTCGATGATACACGTTCGAATTGTGGGGAATTACATTACCATTTGTGGCACAATACTTTTTGGTTACTTATTTTTTTAATTGTCTTATGCGATTGCACAATTTGTAATCAGATAATAACTTGTGGGCATAATCTAAAATGAGGTATTCATGTGCAAAGTACCTATAATATATAATGTCTTTATTTATAAATTTAATCAATTCTTAAGTATTAGTATTGGATAACAAGGAGGATACACCACTTTAGGAAATAAGGTCTTCACTAATATAATGTTGGTAACCTATAGTGCATTTTTTATTTACCTGTTTTTTTTGTTTCAAATTTCGAAAACAGTTTTCTAAAATGTCGCACATACAAAATTTTCCAATGTGATATCCCACTATCGATGTGTCGTTGTGGTCGTCAGTGGTAGTTAATATTGAAGATACAAAGATGTCGTTTGCAGACTACGGTCCAACGCTGTTAGGACTTGTATACGCCATATCTTTTTTAATATAAATCATATTTTGATTTGGTGATGTTTGAATTTAAAGCCGTTATGTGTTTTATTATTTTATGACAAAAGACAATTATTATTTATTATGAATTATACTAATATATTGTCTCAAAAAGCCATTTTATAGCTTCGATAGTTTTATTGTTACCTACAGAATCCTATAAAACCTAACTTTAAATTCCTGTATCAATCAATCACTAGCAGTTTAGAATCCCAATTTAAGTGTTTACATTGACGCCCGGAAGTTCAAAACATCCAAACAATGATTTTTGAATAGATTATATTGATTAGATTATTATATTATAATGATATCAGAATAGATACAATACATAAAATGTAAAAAAAAATATTTTGAGTGTTGAAGCATCGCGAAATACTATATCATACAAGTTTGATGAACGCCATGTTAGTCTCTAGGTTAACTAAGAGCGAGCAGCGCTCAAAGGTGGGAGTGTTTAAAATAAAGGAGTGATTAAAGAAATTTATCGACGTGTTGCAGACTAAACTTTTTCTAAGACCATTAACTTCTGAGAACATTTTTGCAAAACAGCCTCGTTAAGTGACGTGTGACGTCAAAATCAGAACTGACAAACATGTGAGAAAAGTCACTCCCTAAAATCTACCAAAAAATCCAGTACTTCCCAAATCCGTGGCTAAAGTACCGGAAACTTCCGAATTGGCCCGCCATAGTAGCTAACGGAGTGGACGTCTTACACTTTATGCGGTCTTGATTAGTACTGGGTGACTGGGTATTTTAGGGGAAGTAGTAAAAAAATAAAATTTAAATTGAACCATTAGTGAAAACAACTATATAACGAATATAAATTATGCAATGAAAATTTATTCTTGCATTTAACATTCGGACCCCGAAAAAACAAAACTTTGAGTTCAAATTATTTTCAATATTAGTAATGTTCAAAAAGTAGCTTTTTATCTTTAATAATAACGAAGTTTCGTACAAGGAACTATAATAAATGGGACATCCGGTACTTAGACAGAGAATTTTATTAGGCATGACGAATAGAACGATTACTATATAACACTAGTAAATAAATTGGAGAATAATATTAAACTGTAATGAGGATTTTAAAACGACCCTGATCGGATATTTTCGGATATGCAGGAAGCACCGTTTAGTCTACCTTTATTCCTGTACATACACCCACATCTGGTACGTATTGGAAATTCTCCTGCAAAAAGACGCACTGCAAATTCATTTTTTAATCTTTGTAAATATTTTGCTACGTTCAGTAGATCTTTTATTCATAGGCTTATATATTTATATTTCATTGCCCTAAAAAATTTCAGCCAATCTATATTATTTAAACAAATATTTTATGTATGTTGAATTGAAATATAAATTAAATGTATTCTTCTTTATATTATTAACATTTATATACTGCATTATTATAGCTATTAAAATTTCTAGAAAACCAAAATAGAATTTATTTATTCATCAAAATTAATGTTAGTCCCTTCAAAGTAACTCCCCCTACCCCCAGATATAAAACAGATGTGCCAACGTTATTTCCAATCCTTGAAGCACTTCTGGGAAGCACTTTCTGGTATAGTCTTGAGTTCCAGCGATTTTTCATTATCTCCTCAATCGTTTTAATCCTCCTTCCTTTCTTGGGTTTCTTGAGTTTTGGGAACAGAAAAAAGTCGCAAAAAGTTAGACACAAGCAACCATGAGTGAGCAGGAGCATGAATTGTTTTCCCGGATGTTTTCTTCGTATTGCTTCTCGCAAACGGTGCAAAACTTCAAGATAATACTCTTAATTGACCATACGACCTTGTGGTAAGAACTCTTGACGTTTGATCGAACTTGATGTGATTTTTTCGGTTTTAGCGATTCTGGGTTCTTCCATTGAGCATATCATGATAATCATTGACGTCGTTTAACGGCTCTTAAGCGATGCACTTTCGACGGTCATTTTGTTTTCAAAATTAAGCTGTTTCGAAACAAATTTCGCTGTCCAAAAATTGCATGGCACGAGGGAATAGAGATACCGACGTCTTCAGTCACTTCTCTAATAGTTATTCGACTATTTTTCAACACCATTTATTCCACTTCTTCAACGATTTCATCAGTTATCGACGCGCTGGCGTGTCCAGAGCGAGATTCGTCATCGGCGTCTTTTCAGCCATCTTGGAACAGCTTGTACCACTTATAAACAATTTTTGCTCATAGTAGATTCACTTTATGACTTTTTCAACATTTCAAGTGTTTTTAAGCACTATATTCCATTTGTGACACAAAATTTAATGCAAATTTTTTGTTCCATTTTTTTTGGTTTCGCAAAAAAAGTGAACATAAGATAACAAAATAACAAAAAAATAAATCTAACACTACATCTAGTTATGAGTGGAAACGCCAATATTGGCGATTATTCAAAAAATATACTACGCCCAATTTCTAAATATTATCATCAGGATTGATGGGACAGTACACTTGGCCAGGTACTGCAATGCCAATGCTGCAGTATGGCCTGCAACTTAAATCGGGATCACAACGACTCTGCAGAATGAAATGACTCAATAATTTTGATCGTTAATAACAATGTCCTCATCTTTTTCTGGACAGACTAGACTATATTTAATTCACAACTAATAAGTTTCAATTAAACATTAATTAATTGAATACCTAAATGGTTTGATTGAAGAGATCAACTGGCGTATATGAAATCGATAAATTGACAGTCGTCTATTTTAAACAATAAGGGCGTTATAAGTATTATAATTAATAAATTAGTTTGATCGACCTACTTTTTATCACCAATCGTATAACATTTTTAAAGCGTTACAAGTCGTTTGTTATCTAGCTGGGGTTTGGCTATTTGTTCCGTTTTCTTTTTGACTTAAATTGTTATAGAATTACGGAATTGCCACGCAAAGCAAACTTAGGTTATACAACACAACCGATATTGCTATCAATACGGCCCCCCATCTGACCTTCCCCCATCGATCCTCGCTTATCGTTTAACGTAAACAAATAAAATTTTAACGAAACCGCTCGTACTATTTTATATGTTACAGAATCTACATCCAAGCGAGCAGCAATATTACAACTTTTATATCAAAATATAAATACTCACATCCGGTGCCGTCATTCTGTACACAACAGTGTTCTTGTTTAAATAATGTACGATATATTAATTCCAAAAATACATCAAACGTGTTTTTTCCGCATAAAATTTACATTTTGGTTTCCAAAAACAGTCGAATTTTAAATATTGGAAATTTGTTTTTTTCTTTCATATTTTCACATCTAGAATTCCGAAGGATTAAAATGAACACGGAAGTTATATTTTATAATTTGAGAAATTTCTTAGATAATATTAGATAGGTAAGAGATCAAGCTACGCGAAGATTAAACAAACGAATTCCGACAATTTTTGCAATGCTCGGGTATCTTTTTTTTATAGGGTTTGACTTTATAATAATAAAAATAATCTTTGTTTTTCAATTCGAAAAATTCAATGTGTAGGAGATTGTCAATAATGAATTACAACAAAATGACGCATATTCTAAGATTACAAACAGTAATCTATAAACAAGGAAGGAAAAAGATTAACTAAAGTACTCTTCTACACTAATTATCACACATTTTAATTTCATTCGGTAAGAGGTTAAAAAATCGCACACTACTTACACTTGGAATTCTATAAGAACTATTATATTTCGCAAAAGGAACTCTAACGTCTATAGATCTATTCACAGAGTAAAAATTACTGGTCAACGAAAAATCCTGATTTATTTTGAAACACATAAACAGGCATTTCAAATACATAATATCGACTATACAATATTAACCACAAGCGCATTTGTCGAATCAGTCGACCATTTCCGACCAATAAACACTTAATATTTGTGATTCTGTTAAAATATCCTTCAGGTTATGTAATGGCCCCCAACCCTCATACCAAAGAAGAGCAATAAATAAATGAATATCAAATTAAATCTTCACTATTCATATGAAGCGAAAGGTCTCTACATGGCTTTTCACTATAATGGAATCTTATAAAAGATGTTTCAGTGGATTAATCTATAAGTTATTATCATTAAATCAATCACATCACTCAAAAACAATGTTACATTTGTCTTCCAGGCATGAATCACACCTACTCGTCATAGATATCGTAAAGTCATCAGTAAGCTTTTTAAACGCTGTTTTCTCGAACTCTTTCGAGCCACGCAAACTCTCTAAACCGTCGATACAAGAGGGATGATCATTTTACCATGGATGACTTCAACTTTATTTCAGTGTATACACCATCCGTTTTATACATTAGGCTAACATATTGTTTCTTATAAGATAAAAAGGACTCCACAAATTTCAGTGGACGAACGCTTATCCGCAAGATATTTTCGATAACATTATGCCGTGATCTACATAATCCAATGCCCTTGCGAGATCACAGAATACCCCATCAAGACGCTCGCTGGACTCTATAGGATTAACAATACCCTCCAAGAATAAAGTAACTGCTTGAATGGAGGATCTCCCACTTCGAAAACGGAACTGGTTATCAGATAGTATTTAATTGTTTTCAAGATAGAATGAAAGTCGTTGCAAATATGCGTACTCAAACAACTTCGAGAAAACCATGGTGACTGTAACTGGTCTGTAATTATTAATATTTGTTTTACTACCTTTTTATGTAATAATGGACTATCTTTCCAATTTATTGGCGCCAAGGAAATTTCTCTTCACAAAAGTATAAGTTTACTAGATGGGTAAATAAATGGCTTGATAATGAATATTAGAATTTTCGTTAACTCTTGCTAAACATAAAACGCTAAAAAATGTGTCTTGGTATGCAAACAATAGCTACGAAAAACATCGAAAAGCTATAACTAAAAAAAAAATCGTTCTGGTTAATTTTGGTTAGTAGGTATTATTTCTAAAATAAAAAAACAACTATCAGATTAGTAGTCTCTTATCACGTAAACAATAAAAAACAACGGAACATAGTTTTTGATAGAGAGCTACTGTCCTTAAAATTCTAAGTAACAAGAATTATCATCATGGCATGTAAACAAACAAAAAGTGCTATTTTCAATGTAACTAAAAAGCCGTCTTTGGCACCTTTCAAGCTATTATAACAGAGACTGTGACATTTTTTAATAGCATTACTTTTTAGCAAATCCATTATGTCATTAAACTTTTTTTTTACGAACACTACGTATTCTGCGGCGATCACAGACACACTGGGTTATGTGCCGGTTTTGCGCGTAAGATCGTTGAAAAACGCGGGAAATTCAATGATGGCTCTCACTCTCGCTCTAGCGGAACTAAAGTAAGATAACTGTGCCGGTATTGTTCGTTGTTACAATACAAATATGCGAGCTTTATGGTACAATTAACTAAAAATATCTATTTTTTAATATATGCCATTATTGCACCCAGTGTTCATATTCATTACCTATAGATTTAAAAAAAATATTGAAAATTTTTTCTTTGTCAAGAAACAAAAAATGTTAACTATTTAGGTAAATCGTGCGTATCTGATGTCTCCTGAAAAAATGCACCCTGCTCTTTCCCGACCAATAACTTTTTCATTATATTTTTAAGAAGGACTTAAATATCTTGAATTTCCATGTATATCAATTTCTATGCGCTTTGTTCGAAGGGTTTTAAAGAAGTTGGGCAACACATTTTAATAAAGATATATCAGTAAATAAAGTAATCTGACAACCTAAACACCCTCACTTATATAAACGATCAAGAGAAAGACTACAATCTCTATTTTAAAGTTTGTCTCAGTCACATCACATCATCAGAATAGCTTGAATTTTTTTATTGAATCAAAGTCCCGACCTCAAGTTGGTAAACTGGAAACTATTTAATGGGTAAATTTGGGTCACATTGCATACGTATTTGCGTTTGGAAATAACGAATGCTCACTTTAATTAGCATCAGCATAAATTTTTCAATTCTTCCAATCAGTTTTTTATGCTTTTGATATACGTATTAATTAAAAAAAAGCACCCTAAGGTCAATACTATCGACCATTAACGCGTATATTTACCGAATTTATCGGCAAAGCACACATGTTTTCCGCAATTACGATACATGAATGAGTTCTATGAATAGCGACCGGCCAAATTACGAAATTATTAATTGTTTACACAAGGCGGATTTTTATAAACGCGCTTCTCGTTCCGAAAATATAACATGCGATCGAGCAGGTATATTTGCATTAATTATTCGCGTGGGCGGTCAAAGTCTAATCGTTTTCCGGCATTTCGTTATCGGTATCGAACTCGTGAATGGTTTTTCAGCGAAAAATAATTAATCGATACCGTCCGTTCATTCATATTACCGCGCGAGTGCGTATCTTTACCCCCGATGCAGCAGCAGTGTCGTAGCATACCTATAATACCTACGTCACCTTTCATTCATGACAATCGCGCGCTAGGTTATCGATCCTACCCTCACGTGACCCTTGCGATTTTCGTCTTACTTCCTCGGCGAAAAACCCGACGATAATGCGGCATTTAGAGAGGAAGTCGGTCGAGCTTTTTAAACTCTTTTCGAAGGCGCGTCGTTAAATAAACCCAAAACGTGTGGGATTGTGTACGGTTTAGCGTCTCACTTGCCGTCTGTCTTTTTCTCTCTCGGGCACTCTTGCCAGACCGCATCAATTCGAAGACGGCGCCATGTTGCTACGTCTACCGGTTTTTCGGTTTTCCGTTTGAACAACTCTGTAGTTGACTAAACGATTTTTAAACAGTCGAGCTACATATTTGATACCGGTTATTGCATTTTAAATATTGATTTTAATTGAAATTTTGGTAGTATAGGTTATTTCACAGATTTTTGTAACTCTAACTTAAATTGCAAATAAAAAAGGATTTAAAAATGCCGCAAACCCGCTATCTTTTTCTAGTGACGTCCCCCGACAGTAAATAAACATCGAACGTCAAACGTAGGACACATAGGCATGTACGTAGTTATAGAAATACAATTTACTTCTAGAAACCGTGATAATTCAAATTTTTTCTACAGTAAAAGTAACAAAAAAAGCCTTTAAATTTTTTTATGGGTAAATTTACTTATTGTTTAATATTAACGAGTTCAAATTAGATTTGATAGTATCATGGATGGGGTTAATTTTTAATAGTTATGTGCTTGAAGTAAAAAATCAAAGTTACTCTAGTGGGTAAAATCATTATGTAATTACAAATTACTGCAATTAAACATAGATCAACCAGACTTATTTACTGAAATGTGAGGCTTTCACAGCTTTGATTAATCGGCACTGTTTTTACCCACGTGACGTACAAAAATTATCCGTAATACTTACAAAAAAATCATTTTAGTAATTTCGTTGAGGTAGGTAATAAAAATATAAGAGAAATAAATCGGAGGAGAATATGTCTTTAGAAAAACCAGTGTGCCTAAAATTGATTCTCAGAATAACGCCATGAGACAGTAATTAGAAAATTGTCCTTTACACTAACAAATTATAACAGTTTTTTATATATTTTTGAATAATAATACCACCTTTATTAGTACTATCTGAAAGTCATTGTCGACGTGGCAACGCTGCTGCGGCGTGCATCGTATTCCGTCGTGTTTCGAGTCGTCCATTCACTTTTCGGCCGAGAACATGGAGTAGCAAACATGGCGGAAGACAATTACAAAGTTAGGCTAGTGGAACGGCTCAAAATCAAAATCGGTACGTAAATCTTTCCCAATAAATAATTGCCAATCAGCCAAACGACATTCGAATGTTTAATAAGTGTGGCAATACGTCATCGAGAATTTAAGGTTCGATTTGAATGCAGGTGGCTGGATTTGTGTATCAAACGATTTTTAATGACGCTTTGAGCTAATTGTTTCGTTTTTTAGGAGAAGCGAAAAATCTGCAAGCACGTTCGCACGGGTCTTCGACTCAGAGAGATGTGTATTGTACGTTATCGTTGGACCAAGAAGAAATATTTAGAACTTCTGTGGTTTACCAAACTTTGAGGTGAGCGGGAGGTTCAAAAACGCCCCTGTATGTTAATTTTTGATGTATTTTAGCCCATTTTTCGGCGAGGAATTCCAGTTTGACGTCCCAAGACATTTCCGTTTCATCTCTATCTATGTTTATGATAAAGACCGTCAAAATAACAAGCAAGATAAGATCTTGGGCAAAGTTGCTATTAGGAGGGAGCATTTGGCCTCATACAACACCAAAGACCACTGGTTTCCCATAAAAGCGGTTGACGCAGATTCGGAGGTGCAGGGTAAAGCGAATATCGAGATAAAATTTGAACCTGTGTACAATAATCGAAGCAGATCGAATTATGGTGCTAATAAGAAGTTATCAGTGCGGATTGTCGAGTGCAGAGATTTAACTCTCAAAAATGGTGCGTGCGATCCCTACGCCTTAGTGTCTGTAACATACACAAACGGTAAAAGGGTGTCAAAAAGGACGAAAACTCGCAAAAAAACAACAAATCCACAATTTGAAGAAGTGTTTTCATTTAATAGTTCTGAGGACAGTGACAGTGAGACTGAAATCTGTGAGCTGCTAGTGTCATTGTGGCATGACACCCCTGGCATGAGCGATGATGTTTTTCTGGGGGAAGTCAGGGTTCAACTCAGGGGGCTGCAGCAACAAAATGCGGCTCATCCTCAAGCCTGGTGAGTTTATTGCAATTGTTTAAGGTTCCCATATTTTTAGCCGAAACGTGTTTTACCCATTCATGATTGCCAACAAAATTAAGCTACTAAACAAGCATTTTAAAAATTTTAATCAATTGGAAAATATGAGTACTGAAATTTAACACTTTTTTAAATCGGAATCTAGATATTTTTGTGAATTTCACAAATTTATATTTTCTTCGTAGCAAGTAGAATTTAACCTCTGTTACTTATATGTTTTTACCTCGATTTTCACCGCGCTTATCCGCTGGCGTGTAAATAGGAATATCCTTATTTGTATCTCCAAATGTTACTTACTTTTTCAATATTGTTTCTTTATTCCGAATTTTTAAATAAGTTTAAAAAATGTTTGCCTAATATTGAGTCTAATATAAAAGAATTGATTTTTTTGTGATTTTGTTCAATATTAAACGCATACACCTCTATATACAACTTCATATTAAAAGAAAAAAAAAACAAGCATCAGCCTCATGCGAGTTTCAACCATTTAAAAATTGATTTTTATTTATTTCAATTTTTTTCTGATGACCGGCCATAACTCCATTATATATTCAAGAAGTGTGGATAAATGGAGTGCCGACCACTTAAGTGTTTATGTCAACATGCGGTAATAATAAGAAATAATTTTCTTATCCCTCTAGGTACTTTTATGAAATTGTATACACGCGTTTTAATCATAATTTTTTTACTCTAATTTTTGGAGCAAGTTTTATCTGTGACTTACTTACCTTTTTGTGCAAAAAAAAACAAAAACTAAAAATATTGATATTTTGTTGCCATTTTGGGAGGATATCCACGTAGGCTCAAAATCTAAGATGACTTGTTATAATTAAGTAATTTTTCTTTCTAAAATCATTCGAGGATTCTCACCCTATATAATAAGAGAAAGGGAATGGGTAACAAGTACTACAGACCCTAAAATATCGTTGAAAGAAAAAAAAACGAGTTAGTCACAATTAAAAGGGACGGTCTTAAGCAGCGTTAAGGTGATAATAATAACCGCTTCCTAATGAATAATTTATTAATGGGCGGACATTTTCCAAGAGATTTTCTCTGGGACAGACCGATGAATACCAATCGGGCGGACGCCCTCGTCATGAGGTCTGTCACATCCTCTGGACGGCGCGTCGCGGTGTCTGCTGAAAACATCAAACGCGTCGATCGGAATATGCTTGAAAGTGACGTTGAATGAGTGTATATAACAACACAAACAGCCACATTATTTTCGGCTCTACGGCAATTAGTAAATTACCAAGAAAACGGCTAGATTATGAGAACGCAATTTTTTATTCGAGTTCCCGGAGTTCACTTCTCATTTTTGATGAGTCAGTGGTAACGGTGACGAAGTTTTCATTGTTGAATAAATGAATTACGTCATTATCATTTTAAATATTATATCTATGTACCAATGTATATGTAATATAGGCACTGATCAGGAGTGCGCAAAGGATCACTTTAAAACGCCAGCTTACCTTAGACAACCTTATAGGGGAATATCTATATTTCAAAAAAAAAAAAAATTGCTGTCGGGAATAATTTTGGTTAGTTAGTTATTGAATTCTTTAAAAGAGACAGCACCAATGCTATGTGAAAATTGATTACCGTCCAACCCATATAGCTATAAGATAATATAGTGGCCCTACTACGTTAAAAAGTGATGCGTTGCAGGTGGCTATGATATTTTCGTAGAGAAGGTGTGTAAGCGTCAACCCCCAATAGACTGACGTGTGACATTGCTTTAATTTTTCTGGAAAATCGATTAATTTTTATGAGCACAACTGAAATGCGAACATAATTAGCAACGCACAGAACAGTCAGTGCCCTATACCATTGCTGTTTTTATTTTTGGTGTCAATATCTCCGTACCTTACTCACAAACTTGTATAATTGGTGCTTTCCATACTTTGTTCTTTGATGAAATTACAGCAAATGTGGCAAATATGAGGACCTAATAAGATCTTCGAGAAACAGTGATTACTATATATTTTACAACTATAAAATAGACTTACAGAAATTACTAAAAGAATTCCCATACGTTTTTTTAGATACACTTAAATAGCCACGAAGAATGTTTGGGTCATATGTTTTAGTGTACAAGAATTACAGGAAATATAAGAAAATAATTAAGCTGCAAGTTGAATTTTTACCAGAACAAGCATAAGATATACCCATATTCAACTACTGTCTATAGGCGGTGCTTCTTGAAGACTTTTTCCATTAAATATGTTTCTTGTGCGATATCTAGCATCTCAAAGTTATTTCAATAGAGATTAAACCTATCAGTCGATTTGCGTCGATTTACAAACAAAACAAATCGGAAAATAGCTTACATGAAAATATACATGTATGCATGCGTCGTATCTACAGGGCTTCAAGAACAAAAACGCCAAATTAATTACAGAATTATATTGACGCCGACGCGAGTGCTGCAATTCTACACTGCTTTTCCAGACCTTAACTCCTTTTTTGACTGAAAATTTAATAGGATTTCGACATATTTTGAGAAAATTCTGCCTTAAAAATGCCGCATCCAAACACGGACGATCAGTCAGCGGCCATGTTGTGTGTTGAAAGCCGCAAGGTCTTATGGGATAAACGTCAGAATTTGCCATTAGAGCTATCATTCGTTAAAAACGAAATTTTAAATCTCGCGCGCATCCGCCCGTTGAATGGAGCTTCTCAAAAAAAATTACATAGTTGCTTCATGAGTTCCTCTACTGTCAGCATGGGCAGAACCTCTAAATGTCTAGTTGCTATATGGTCCAACCAAATGTTACACCTTAGACGCAATCTGCAAATAACTGAAACTTATTTTTTTAATGTTAATTTGCTTATTATTTAAATATGCTTTAATGAATGGAAATAAATGGATGTCACAAATATTTCAGGGATTTCAGTTTTAAAGTTAAGTGTAAATGGCAATTCTATTTATTACGCCATATAAGCATGCTCCCGGAATGTTTCTCTGGTTGCAACTCACACTCGTTGATTCATGTAAGGGTTCAGATAAACGACGATTCATTGAAATGTATAAAACAATATCAGTCATTACGGCTGTGTGTATTTTTGAGCAGCTTCAACAGCGTCTTTTCTTTTCAATCTAAAGAGAGGCGGGGGTATTACCACTACGGCACAGATGACAACATTGGTAGTAATGACACCTTGTTAAACCTTTTATTTTATTTTTTGGCGAAACGCCTATTTAAAATGCAAAAACCGCAACCGCTCGACCATAATGCCAGTCTTGTCCGGTGCCCGGAGTCTAGACAAAGAACAATACAGGGGCACTACCGAGCTATGGCGATAATTAAAAGCGCGCCAGCTATTATCAATTGTGTTGGGAGGGACATTAAACGGCCACCATTGTTTCTCTTGCACTTTTTTGCGACGTAGGCCGCATTCAAATCGTCAGATCGTTTACCTTGTTTTTTTTTTCTTCAAAGCGCTTGAGATTATATCGCGACGCGTCTTATCACCGGAAATAATAATCCGTTTTTACAAATTGCATCTCACGGTTCCATCGTTATTAAGATTCAGATCTATCCGAAATCAATGGCAACATTGGACATTTGGGCACTAGAAATTTCTAGCAATTCTTAAGCTCGGATTAAGTAAAATTTTTTTTAGGTACCCAACCGTAAACGCGTACCTTCCTTACCTGCTGGAGAATGCATGCATGCATTTCTCCAGTCCATAAAATCATGGAGAAATTTGGAATATTTTTATGCATTTCCAAAAATTTTTTTTTAGCACTTTGAGCATTAATAAAAACGATTTAAAAAATAAACAAATAAAATTTTTAAAAATGCCAATATAAAATTAGAAAGAAACTTCATAGGAGATCTAAGGTAAGGTTGTGGAATTGACCGGTCAAATTTTTTTGTGTCAATTGAGCAAAATAATCTTAAAAATATAATGAAATTTATATTTATTTATTTATTTCAGAACGATCTTTTTTCCTAAATCAACTTCAAGTGCTTTGATTCGCCTTGAAACATACTTCATATATCAAACTCTAAGACATTAAAAAAATGACATCTTATAATGTAAAACAAAACTTTTTGAAGCAGATCTTAACATTATAGTCGGTTCACACGAATTTTTTCTCAAGCTTTGTTGCTTAATCCACCACCAACTATTTAAATTGCCAATTCAATGGCCGTTTTAAGAATTATGGCACAATTAATGCCTACCTAATATTTTTCTGAAATTCACCAATAAAGGCTGCGCTTACTTCATTAAACCTGATGAGATCTTTTGTCGATGTATAATGCTCTAAGTGCCGTGGAGTTTTCTAATAACCTAACAATTCCTTTCTAGTTTACTATTTTGTTTTTTTAGGCTTATGTGATGTCTGATATGGATTTTTTGGTGTAGAAATGTAATTTCTATATATAATAATAATAATAATAATAATAATAATACGTAATAATAATAATAATAGGTAAATTGATAATCATTTATTGTAAAATACATATTATTATTAAATAATGATAGATAACACTCTACAATTGCAAGACGTTATTTAAAACATTTTGATCTAATTTAACTGGTCAAATAAGAAGTGGTCAATTTATTGGTATTTTGGGTAGTTTCTGGGGGAATTTCGGGAAATTTAGAGGATTCAATAATTCAATATGTGACGCGACGCTGAGGTATTTATGCCGTGTGCTGGAAAATGTACCTGAAAAATTTGTAAATGTTTTTTTTTTAAGAAAAATAATGTTTTTTAGGGACATATCGCTCGATCCTTCGATGAGCAAATAGCGTTCTTGGTAAACAAAAAAATGCACAAGACATAAGTATAAACGTTCTATTATCAAATTAACTTGATTGGTGGGATGTTTAATTTGGATTTCTTGGTTAGACACTAACAAAACTGTCTCACTTATTGAAAAGAGATTTTAAAATTTTCTTTTTTCCGTAAAATCTTTGGGAAATTCATGAAATCTTTGTGAAATTTGATATGGGCGTGTAAA